AAGGAAAAAGGCTGCATCACCTGAACCTACGAAGTAATGTTCGTGTGCACCACTGAATGAGAGGGTACGAAGTACACATGTAGTGTGTTCTTTCACCAGCCCTGCTCGTCGCACAGGTGGCACAGAAAACAATAAGTCAAGGTGTCATCAAATCTAACGTTGACAAGTCGTACCACAAACGCAGCATCTCCTCAGGTGTTTCCCCATTATTACCCTTGAAGAAGGAAGCTGCGGCATGCACTTAAGTGGTGGGTGTAGCATCCAGCCATCCACTTTCACTGGCTTTTAGTCCAGTTGAGACATTAGCACCCGAATCTTGCCAAGGACCGACAGCCGGAGATTGCACTAGTACAATTGGGGGGGAGGTTGCGTACCACTGGCCTTAATGAAACACATGACACTGGTTGGGCCTGACTACGTACCCCTTGTCTGTCTCCACGAAACGAGTGTAGCGTGGTCCATAGTGCGGTCCGCTTCCAAGTGTCGGAGTGTACGGAGTACACTACACTATGCGTCCTACGAAGAAACCTCCAGCAGTACCGATGGCGGGACTAGTTCCATCAAAATTGTAACAACACAACCACCATTTTATTTATAAGTACACTACGAAGTACAGCTCTGCAACATTGCGGCGTATGCTCCCACAGGTCAAGCCAGAACTTCAGTCGAAAATTGTTCCACGAGATAATACAAGCACCTTGTCGGACGAGGGCTCTGAATGACTAATAACTCCGTGCTCCGAATGCGACCCTGGATTCCTTCGTAGAGCAGCCTTGGAAAGTCTGGGACGGACACTACTAGAAAGAATATTGGACCCGCCTCTGCCTCTGGAGGCCTGGGGTTAACCAGAGCGGCCTGCAAGCGAGGATGAGCATGGCCAGGCCAGGCATGGGAAGAAAAAGGACCGACCGAACATTAGTGGGGCCACCGGTTGCTCAGAACCAGAGCCTTGGGTCCTTCCCCCCAACTTCCAACAAACTAATACCAACAGCCTCTGGGAGCACAGGATTGTCCTCGTGGCGGGCGGACAGCCAACAAGGAGCCAGAGAATGACGCCTGGATATAAGTTGTTTCACTTTCTTTTTCCTCAAGCGCGCTTGTGCAAGTGGATTTGTCCGTTGTCCGTATAAACATGACGACTCTTGCCCTCTTGATCAAACGCTACACTCGGGTATACACGGATGGAGAGGTGTGAAGTTTAGGCACACAATTCCTTTGTCCATCAAATTTACACTATCCCACACCTACCTCGGTACTCGCAGTGCAGTCGGCTTTTCGTATCTGCTCATCCTAGGAAATCCCAGCATCTGAAGCCTTGGGCTTTTGCTGTCCTCATCAAAGATTATTTCATTGCCCAGACTCAACGGGGCATTTACTCCGGAATCCGAGAAGATAGTACTAACCAGTACCTTTGTACGCTGTATGGTAAGATTAGGGTGAGGGAATACACTACGTCAGTATCCGCCATTCTAGACTTCTTCCTTCGGTTATCGCCAGCGTGGTATTGTGCCCAGGCATTGAGGATTGATTCTGCGACCATCCGCCCTGCGAGGAGGTATGGTACTAGATTAGTTAGTAGGTTAGGGTACATAGGCACATTACACCCTAGACCAACCAAATCCGATTCCAATCTCCTACTGGTGATGTTTAGACGTTTGTGCTTCCCTTTGCGCCTCGGTTTCAATTAATCCCTCTGATTGATCTATGCAGGTACTCACATTAACTTTGGGCGGGATGATGGGCGAGCATTGGAGGGGATCTAATGGAGGAAGGATGGATTTCATGTACATCAATTGATCCACTACAAAGTACAGCCTGGCAGGTACTTAAACCTTTGGATCGCCTTCCATCGTACCTGTGTACGTGGTTTTACTTCGTTGTCATGTGCGGCAATGGTGTCGCAGTAAATTTATCCCGCTAGAAAATTAGGGGTAATTAGCCCCCATCCCGCAGGACGGACCTCTCAAGTACTCCGTAGTCCGCACCCCCCGTGCAATTGATCATTGATGCCTCCAAAGACCCACTTGCCTGCTCATTCCTCTGGATGGAATCCCTCCGATTTCTCATTGTTAACAATATTGATGAACGTCTTCAAACTTGTGTCAATATTCGGTTTAAGAAGCGGGATAGCCATGGACGAGCCCAGACTACTTCGTAGTTCAGCATAAATTGCTTCGACTAGGGATGCCCACTGACCGATCTGGACAAGCGACTTGATGGTTCGTGATGGATTCGCCAGTAACAGTTTATGTGAATGAGACAGGCGTCCTTTCTTGGTAATGTACGGAGTACTTCTTGCCAAGTAGAAATGTACTTCGTATACCCCGATGTTGTGGAGCTGCTGCAGAGTTTTCCAGGGAAATCCTGGGATGGGGTGTACGGAGTATGTGGTTATGTGATTGTGATGCTACCACTTCCCCAACAGACCACGAGGCGAGAGGCAATTCGTGATGGACCAGGTTTGTACTCTGGTCCTGATGAGGGAGTGAAAGCGGGCAATCATGTTATATCTCCCCGAGACCTTGGGTACTAGTGTCCCACACGGCTCGTATCGCACCTGCCCCCATGTGCGAGGCGAGTCAACACGACCCCAGTGTGGTTTCTGTACTCCGTACGAAGTATGCGGCCGACCAGCCTGAGAAAGGGGGGAGGGAGGGCGGGCCACTGAGGTAGGCCGAAGTGGTGGTTCCAAATGGCTCACCAGGTGGTCCTAACCCCTTTCTTACTTGATACAGGTATGTTATTGATTTTGCTCTTGACCGAGGTTGAGGTCCTGTTCGGCTGGTTACACGACAGGTAACACAAGGTTTACTTTGGGCGGGCCAGCGACGACCAGCCCAGGGCCTAAAACTCCCATTTCGCCAACTGTGCTGATCAAAGTCACTCATCAGCAAGATTCTGCTAGCGAGATACTCAAGTGGTGAGTCTGGTGACATGTCAACATGGGTCCGGGCAGCCTGGCTTGCCTGGCCAAGCATTTACCGCTTGCCCCTCTCGGTGTATTCATGCCGGCCTAGTTCGGGGTGGGTTGAGAAGCTGATGGCAATATGGCATAAAATGCATCATCCACACACGAATTGCTCTATACTTATTGATCTTGATGTTTAGTTGTTATACGAACAGGCCTCTAATGTGCAAGCCGCCGATTGAGAGAGAGAGCAGATGCCCTCCCATCAGCACCATGCAGCGGTGAGTTGTCCGTGATGTCGTCTCTGCGACTCGTGTCCGCATCAATGCGGCACAGTCGAGTGTTTCGGTATTGCCTGTTTTTCGTCTAGACTGCCAACCTTCCAAGCAGGGGTTGTTGGGATGGAGCATTGGCAATTGGCAACCGGGCAAAACGCCATCAATTGATATCTCGAGTACGAAGTACTTCGTAGATTGGGAAACATCAGGACGACTCCCTTAGTACCATTGCAAATTGCCACTCTCATCCGACGGCTGAGATGGCCGTATCGAAGATTGTTAAATTGCTTTATGCCAGGCCTAGTAGACTCCAACACCCACCCTGAGTCATTTGGTAAATAATGGCATGGCCGCTTTTGCCGCTCCTGTGTCACTCGAGCCTACTTCGTAGATTCATTTGGGTCCAGTTACGGCCGAGACGGCGATACCGGGGGTTGTGCCAACTTGTGACACTGGGATTAAGGTTTGTGTGCGATGTCGAATGCCATCATTGTACGAGCCATTTGTACTTCGGATGAGGTAAAGGAGAGTTAGTGTGCCTCTCGTCTGTTTTCGGTTTACCTTTCTTCTCCGTTTTATCTTGGATTTCCCTTGCTTTACATTGCTCCTCTTTTTTCGGTCTCTCCTCTGAAGAAAACACCCGCAACGCCAAAGTACCATCCCATCTCTCGATCCCGGACGATCTCCCTCCCAGTTCTGCTGATCTACCAGCCCGAGCACATGAGCTGCGATGAAACACGAACCCCGATCGATGGACGCATTGTTTTCCCTCTTGCAGCGCCCTGCTTGTGCTTGAACTGCCCTCACTTTCCCCATTTAATATTGACCCCCACCTCCATTTCATCCCGTAGCTGGCAATTAAAGGCATCACTAGTGCCAGAATCCTTGCCTTGGTCGCCCAAACAGGCCTCTTACACATTCCTTTCTGTCGTGCTCTTCCACCAAAAACCCCGCTCGACTTTGTCTTTCACCTCCCCCCTCCCAGTTCTGCTTTTCCGTTCGGCGGCCGACTCTCCTTCGGCTAGAGGGGCGATTACGAAGTATGAAGTAGACAATTTGGGACAGGTGAGCATGAAAGCTGGTCTGCCATCGTGAGGTCTTGCATGGATTGGGTAACATTCTTGTGATCTATCCCCGCATTTCATATCTTCCGAAGGAGGAAAAGCTCAAACTTGCCCAAGAGCCTACGAAGTAGGGATGATGGCTCATGAGAAAATATGAGAGCCCTGGACTCCCTTCATCCTCGGAAATACAGCTCTCTTGCTGTGTATCACAGGTTTGTACATTCGTTCATAATCCTCTTGACTGCTTGTATGCAGAGCAAGCAGAACAAATTGTGGATGTCATTTGTAGCCAGCCAACGTGAGCCAGTGATTTTTATTGTCCGTCAAGCATTGCAGTGTAAGAAAGTGAAGCATCTGTCGTGTTAATCATCCCTTCGAGACATCCTCCGCTTTTTTGTGGGACGGACCGACGGCAAGGGCGGCGACCAGCGAGACTGGAAGAGAGTTTTGAGATGGGGAGGGGTTGTGACCGTTGGACAGTTGCTGTCGGCTGATGTCAGATACTCAGGACCAAACACGTCCTGACGCGACTGGGGCGACCGGTGGACAACAACCATCACAGACTGGACCCGAAAGAAAATATCGACATAAGGGACGAGTAAGGGGATAATGACTTAGCCCTACTTATGTCTCGGTATCATTCTGTATTAGTTGCATCATAGAATTGTTGACTGCTGCGTCGCCCTCCAAATCTACGCCGCAACCTCGCAGCCAGTGTTCACAGAGGCGTGCGTCCTCTAAGACCCCGTGATGGAGATGGAAGTTGACAGCCAAAGCGAGCTCAACAACTTGATCGAAGATGTCGTAACTGGTAAGTATACGAATACGATACTTCGTCATGCATACATAACCTTCTAACTTTGACGTCCCGCAGCCTCCAAAGTTCCCGCCAAACGTCGTGGGGGCCCCATCAGGCCGACTGTTGACAAGCTTGCCTCGGCGACCTACGAACACGGCCTGCTGCCCGACCCTCTCAAGGACCTTATCGTCCTCCTAACGCAGACGAGCCACCTCGACCAGGCGAGCTTGGGCTCCATTGTTAGGAATCTCTACCCCGCATCCTCCGTCTCGAGCGATGTCGTGCTGCAGGTGGTGGGCTGCCTGGGTATCGGCGAGCTCAAGCCCTCGCTACCCATTCAGGCTGCGCTGCTGAGGTGGCTGGTCATGATTTACCATGTAATTGATGCTCCGAGTATCCTATCGAGAGCGTATCCCGTTCTCTTCAATCTGCTTGACGTGGCAGCCATCAGGTGCGGAGCGAGCTTGCGCCGCTATCCCACTTCTTCCCTCCCCACCCACCTGTGAAAGCTGCAAATTCTGACTGCAGTTCAGACCACAGCTTTGCCATCTCTTGGCGCTAGTCACTCGGCGGAAACATGTCCAACCTTTTAGGATCCAGGCGGTGTAAGTCTTAGGCGACTTGGTGTGTAGATTTTTCAAGTCTGCTTCCGAAGCTAATCTAGTTAGACTTGAACTCTCACGTCAGACTGGCAAAGACCCGGCATTAGTTGGTCTGCTGAGAATCTACAAGGACTACTACCCGGAGATCATCGTCGGCGACGCCGTCAGGGGACGAGCATCCGCCTTCAAGGTTCGTTGACGCTCACGCCCCCATCTCACTTATTCCTCGCACATCCATGCTGACCGGCATCTTCACCAGCATCCGGATGTCGATTGGCGACTTAGATTAGACGAGATACAGGCTGCCCATTCAGAAAAAACCAGAGAAAATGCAGCCTCTGCCCCTCAAAGTGGCTTCCAGGTTCGCCACAAGTACTTTGGGAGGCCGAAGGCATCTGTCATACCATCAGTCCGCACGGCACATGCAACGGAAGTGAGTTTGGTTGGGCCCCTTCTCTTCCGAGATGTACCACTCACTTATGGCTTGTTTAGCAATCGGTAACTTTGGAGGAAATCAATAACGCAGCGACATTTGTCCAGCACATCGAAACCATTATGCTGCCAAGCCAGCTGGTTGCTGTCCTGGCGGACCCGCTCCTTCAGAAGTTTCTCTTGCTTCGCCCAGATGAGGAGGCGTATACGAGGATACACAACTGGATTTCCGCGGTTCTTCAAGATATCAGGACTGGAGATGCGGATTCGAGTACTATTAATGAAGTGCTTGGCGTGCTACGCGAGTATGTCGCTGTTACCAAGGTAAGGGAGATAGTCACCTCCTAAGGGCGATGACTTATGAGGTCTTTTCATTAACTTCTTTGTAGAAACTCCCACCGTTAATACTGAACTTTTTCGTCGACTTCTTTAAAGTTTGGAATGGCCATGATGGACGAGACTCCGTACTCGGAATCCTCCCTTACACACCAGTCCTGGAGTTTGAGAGTATGTTCTCGAGTACCCTTCAGGTTTACCTCTTTTCTTCTAACACTTGCCAGAACTCTACGAAAATATATTCCATCCCCTAGAAACATGTGTCCTTGACAACAGCGCTGAGTCGCAACTGTCCCTGCTCAAGTTTTACACGGAGCTATTACGGCACTGGTACGCGTCACTCCTCACGTCAGACGAAGTCCTCGAATATGCTCCGAGGACAATTACATCTGTCGTCGACCACGCCCACCAGCTCGCCCTCACTATCACGCAAACCAGCCCGACCCTCGCGGCCGAGTTCGCCGTGATCGAGTTCCTAGAGCAGTACATACCCATCCTCAACGACGAGCGTCTCCGCAAATACGTCCCCATCCGCAACCCCCCGGACACTCTCGTATACACCCTCTTCTTCAGCCAATCACTCACCGTCGTTTCCCGCCTCTGCACCGTCTTGTCCAACTACAAGCAAGGGTTCCAAATGGCCATGGCCGCCAAAAAGTCAAAGACCCCTACCCCGGGCGCCCAGCCCATCACCTCCTCCACATACCCCCTCGACTACATCAACCGCTTCAACGGCTTCCTCATGGACATTTGCAACTGCGTGTGGCGCATGCGCGCCTTCACCGACACCGACCCAAACGCCCTAGGCTGCCTCGTGCCGCGGTCCCGCGTCCGCCTCTTCGAGAATTACGTCGAGTCCCTCCCCGGTTCGGACGCCCCGCTCGCCCTCTACTTTGGCCTCTCGCACTCGCCCGTCCTCAGCTTCCAGTCCATCCTGGCGCTGAGGCAGCTCGAGGATGAGGCGCTCGAGAAGAATCCGAGGGCGCTGGCTACGAGGCACCCGGGACCCGTGACGCAGGCTAGCTTGGTGAGGTTGAGAGAGGATGGGGGATTGGTGCTTTCGTGGCAGGATTATAGGTTGGCGGTGTTGCAGCGGCTGGAGGAGGAGGGGTTCTTGGGGATTCCGGATTTGATGAGGAATACTATGAAGATTTTGAAGGCGGGGTCTCGGGCGAGATGATGGAAGTGTACGAATATTATAACGATGTTGGTAATGGTTTCATGTAAGAAGCGAACGAGATGCACTTTTACACCCGTTCTCAAACATCAAACAAGTCACAAAAATAAGAGAAAAAAGAGGTAGAAAAAAGAGACCAGCCATGAAATTATACTTCCAACATTAGCTCCACGGTTGAGGAAGAAAATCATCGACAAAAAGGCCAAAAAAAGAAGTGCGGTGACTCGGGATTGAACCGAGGACCTTCAGATAGACTAAACCGAAGTTTTTCCTTCAGTCTGACGCTCTCCCAACTGAGCTATCCCCGCTTGAGTTGTTTTTACTTCATTTATTCGTCCTTATTAACGTACTCCCAGCGCACGAACCAGCGCCACCGAGCAAAGTCCTTCATCTCCATCAGCAATGCGAAGTAAAAAGTTGGTTAATTCTGTTTTGGAGAGGATATATTTATGATATTTTTGTTTCAACGTCTATTGATGTTCATTCCTCTGTATTTTCTCTCTACTCATCTGCTTTTAACAGCAGATTGTCTGCATGCAAACCAAAGCGCCTCGCCGATGCTGTAAAGAATCATCAGTGTGGAGGAAAAGCCCTTGCATATTGAGCCGTGAACCAAAGCAACTTAGACATCTTAACCCGACAAGTCCTCTTCAAGCACCTAAACCGCAGTCTTCTCTCCCTCCTCCTTATTCAAGTTCGTCCATGCCGGATCATTAATCTTCTCCCCAGGCTCACCCTTAAAGTGATACCCCCTAGCCCTAGGCCTCTGGCCCGTCGGCGTCGGCAACTCAGGCTCATACGCCGCCGCGAAGGCCTTGCGAGCCTCCTCAAACGCAGCTTCTCCCTCGGCGAGCTTCGCCCGAATGGCGGCGAAGAACTCGCTCATGACGTGGTGGTTGTGGATCTGCAGCAGCGTCCAGCTCAGCATCTCGTTGGCGTTGAGGAGATGTCGGATGAAGGCGCGGTTGTGCTTCGTGCAGGTGTAGCACTTGCAACCGGGCATGGGGGACTCGAGGGACGTGTTGTTTTCGATGGGCCACATGTTTACGCCTAGCGGGAGGTGTTCTGCTGGTTTTTCTGCGTTTTGGGTGGGAGGGGTGAAGGTGAATGTTAGAGCGATGCCGTTGTCTGACATATCGTTGATGAATGGAATGAGGCACATGTCTGCGCCGAGAGCGATTTGGCGGAGGACATGATGAGGTGTGGGCGGAGGTTGGAGAACGAGCCGTGGGAGCGTCTCCAGGGACTTGTAATGTGATAAGTCGGGGATGATGTCGGCATCGTAGATGGCCAGCCCTGATAGCGAATCGGCTACTTCCTCGGATAGGTGCTCGAGGTATTGCCATTGGATGGGGCGCTCCACCGGCGGGATAGGCGCGAAGACTGCCACGCCCTCAGCGCTCGCCGGGTCGTCCTTCCGGTTCTTGAGGAAGGTGTCCACCCAGTCCTCTGTCCTATCCACCATCTTGATGAGTTTCCTAGAATTAGGATTAGAGCTCGTGTGAGGCAGGTCCACGAGAGGGATCGCGATATCTGGCCTCAGCGTAGCGATCCTCTTGCTGTACTCCTCAATGGGGATGTTGCGGAAACCGGTGGACGTGAACACAGCCACGTGCTTGTTTCCATTTCCTAGAGGGGTTGTGACCGGGGGTATCCTTCTGGCGCCCATGATGAGTATGTGGTCTTTGGGGAAAGCTGTGAATGCCTGAAGGGGACGACGCCCTGCGGAAGGGGCAAGATAGATGGGCGGGTCCTTCTTCTCGATGACTATCAGAGTTGTTAGTCGCATGTGTGATCTGAAAAGAAGAGTTGCATCGCGTCCACATACAGTCCTCAAGAGCCATGTACGCGGCCTCGAACGATGTGTGCTTCTTTATCGTATCTGGTGTAAGATGTGGAAGCGTGCCTCGGGACGTGAGCCCGATGAAACCGGGCGTGTTAACAGGGAGTCGGTTTGGAAGACATAGTCTTCCTAACCTCACGCCTGCGCCGCTTCCGGCCACTGACTTCAACACCTGAAACCCCATTTCTTCTGATTCTTGAGTTGGGACGTTGTTCCCCTCACTCATGCTGGTAGATATGCTTCCGCCAGGGGTGGAGGGGAATGACAGGGCAAAATATTTTCACTCCTTGGCGGCGCTTTACACAACAGCAACCCCGTCTCGTATGGGGCGCTCCGGTGCTACGAGTCCCCTTCAGTGACCGACTGCTATCGTGTGAATCTCGAGATCTAAGGCTTCGATTAATATGGCAGGTGGTCACGTATGCAGTCGCGATGAGAAGCGTTCCTCTCTCAGGTTTGAGACTAAACCCTAAAATCCGATATTCGGACGAATATGCGAGGGTATGCGTTTAATGATCATCCACGCCTCGATAGTGGCATGGTCAGGTCCACTGGGCTTAGTGAAGCCCGTCCGAGCCAATCGTGGCAGGAAGTCCCCACCTGTGGGGAATCCTGACCTTCTAATTCCTGACTTTGGGGATGTTGGGCGACACAACGTGCTCTTTAAACTTCCAGCCGAGACAGCGCCGGTCGCACTGGTGGAAGGTTCCTCCGTTATCAACATCCATTGTCCGGCCATTCCGAGTATAAGAGTTGATATTCCCCGGCATCCCTTCGGCAGCTGGGGAAACTACTTACTTCTCTCTCGTTAGGTAAATATAAACAATCACCCGTAAAAACAGTCCTTCATTCCCGTCTACCCACGCCAACGCCCACGCCCCGCACCACCGTTGCACTGCTCATGCTGCTTACGCTGCCTACCACGTATTCAGCCTTTGAACGCTCTTTTGTCTTGCCGGAGTTTCCGGGACCACCACCACCCTGCGGAAGCGAGACGCATAGCGGATCGACACCCCCCAAAAATAAACCCCCCATAGCGTACATAGCCTATACAGGCAACGTCCTCCCATTTCCAACAACACTATGGTTCGCAGGAGCTACGACGAGTCCACACCTCTCATGTCCCACTCTAACCAACCCGATGACGACCACCCTGACGCTCCGATCCCCGACACCCGCCTCGAGATGGCCGATTCAGACGGAACGACAGGGTCGGACGAAGTAACCGCTCAGAAAAGGCACGCTTGGGTGCCCTTTGCCGTCCGTCGACTCTGGAAGTCGACGGTGGCTTGGACACGCGGCCCTGCACCTGGCGGCATTCGCTATACCATCACGCCAATCTTCCCCAAGGTGCAGACGTACCCGCTCTACCTCGTCGAACGATTCCTACCTCGAAAGAAGCAGCGCATCGGTGTCTTGGGGTTGTTTTTGGTCCTCTGGATCGTTACATTCGCTCTCGTCAAGCGGCAGGAAATATTTGCCAGCGAGATTGAGGGATGGGGTGACCCGCAGACGATCGGCTGCGGCGCCACGTACTGGGGTCGTGGGAATAATTGTGGCGTCAACGGAGACGACTGCCGACCCTTTAACGGGACTGGGTTTCCCTTCCGGTGCCCAGCGAATTGCGAAAGCTACCACGTGCTGAACCCGAGAGCCGTGGGCAACCAGACGGCGATTTACCGTCCTTTCGTCATCGGCGGTGCGGCGCCGGGGTCCAACGAGGATGCGATCTACCGTGGAGACTCGTATATTTGTGGGGCTGCGATCCATGCTGGCGTGGTCTCAAACGACGATGGAGGGTGTGGTGTTGTGACGCTCGTCGGCCGGCATGACAGCTTCCCGGCCTCGCGAAGGAGCGGCATCGACAGCCTTGGCTTTGATTCATACTTCCCTCTCGCTTACACGTTTCTCGACGGGATCAAATGCCGAGCGAAAGACATGCGATGGCCCCTTCTCGCGGTTTCCGTAGTGTTTACCTCGGCCATGTCGCTGTTCACGTCGTCCTCGACGCTCTTCTTCTTCACCTCTTTCGTCGGCATCTTCTGGCACGTCGGTCTAGCGTCGGACCCCCCACGCCACTACTCGATTGCCGACCTCGTCTCCAACTTGTTGGGCAAGTTCTTGCCGGCCATGTTCTGCGCGTGGGTCATGTACGACAAGATGGGCGTGCGGCGGACGCTTAAGGGTCTCACGGCGCAGGTGGAGAAGACGGTCTTGTGGCTCGGCGCCTGCTGGGTGGGGGCGCTCGAAAACTACACGTTCAACTGGATTCCTATCCAACGGCTCAACAAACACGATCTTCAGCAACAGCCCGGTGCTAGGGGTGCGCTCGCCGGCATCATCCTCGTCCTACTCATCATTGTCTGCTCGCAGGTCTACTTCTTCCGCCAGGAAGGTCGGCTGCTCAAGTATCTCAAGCTCTACACCCTGTTCGTCCTGTCCATCGTCGTCTGTCTCGTCCTTCCGGATTTGAATTTGCGGTTGCACCACTACATCATTGCTCTTCTGTTCCTGCCCGGAACGAGTCTCCAGATGCGGCCTTCCCTTTTCTACCAAGGCTTGCTCATTGGACTTTTCCTTAACGGTATCGCGCGCTGGGGCTTCGACCCCGTGCTGCAGACCGATATCGCGCTCCAAGGCGATGCTCAGCTAGGCTCCAAGCTGCCTACGATTCTTGCCCCGGAGATTACCGTTGGTGACAACTCGTCGACCATCACGTTCCGCTGGGAGGATCCTCCTGGTATCACCTACGACGGCATCTCTGTGCTCGTCAATGACGTCGAGCGGTTCCGAGGCTACTATGACGATTCGACGAGCAAGGTTGATAGGTTCGTTTGGGAGAGAAAGGGTGATCTCAATGCTAATGAGTATTTCCGCTTCGGATACCTTGATGGTCGGACGGGGTTAGATTACACCAAGGCTGGTGTCTGGACGAGAGATAAGGAGTGGGTTCAGATGGCGCCTGGGCCGTCGAGTGTGAGCGGTGAGACCGGGAATGTGGAGGAGGACGAGGATGCCGGTGCCGTGGCTCGCAAGTATCGAAAGTAGGATTCACAGGTCCATTTCATCCTTTTTTAAGTTTTTCCTCTCTCTTTTTGGGGCAGATTTCAATGGTTTTTCATGTTTTGTGAGCAAGTGGCGTTTAGGATTGGCCCGGTCTTTTTGTTTACAGCATAAAGTTTTTTCCATTAGTTGTATCTGATAGCGATATGTGCCTGTACTCTCCTCTCTGTTGGGACGAGAGGCGTCTGTCACCCAAGGAGCTCATGATGCGTACGTCTTATTTGAAAGTATAGATCACAAATGAGGAGATACTCCTTCATTTTTATGTTATTCTTCGTGGAATTTATATGCTACTTGAGGCTATCCCTCATAACCCGAACCAATGCAGCAGCCTCCTCTTCGTCCACTTGATCGGTCCCAGACTTGCCGAGACAGGAACTATGTAGCCAGACCCGGGCACCAGGCCCTACAGTTTCCAAGATCCTCTCAGCATTCTCAGCCCTCACACCCCCGCCGATGAGAATATCCAACCTTCCCTTCGCAGAGGCGACAAGCCCTCGGAATACAGGCAGATTATCCACGGCGTTTCCCGGGCCCCCGGACGTGAGCACGCCATCAAACCCGCACGTTAACAAAGTCTCAACGGTGTCTTCCACCGACGTCCCCGTGGCTAGAATAGAGTCGAATGCGCGGTGGAAGGCACATCCGTACGGATGGGCCTCTTCTACGAGCCTTTTATTCGCGCGCAAGTCTATCGATGGTAGCCCCGTCCCGGCCCCGGATGAGCTCTCCTGTAACGATAGCACTCCGAAGACGAACCCGTCGCCCCGCTCACGGCTCATCAGTCCCGATGCCTTGAAGGCCCGGATACTTTCCGTCATTGCTTCCAGCTCGTCGTCGCTGTAAATGAAATCATGATTAGGCTGAGGCGGTGGTCCGCGCGGGCGAATCATTACGCGGACGGGTACGTGGATCCCGGTAGATACGGAGGAGGTGAGGGTCGAGAGGGTTGAGATGGGCGGGGTGAGACCGCCGGAGGGGTACGAGTCTGGGGCATTGAGTTCCAGGCGGGTTGCGGTGTTGGCGAGGGAGGGGGTGATGGAGGAGGAGAAGATGGGGATTTCTAGGTTGATTCGGGGCATTTTTTTAATGCACGGAGTTGCTGCCGGAGAGGGCCTGGAAGGGTTGTGGCTGCTCACGAGTTCAGGGAGAACTCGAAGCATATAGCGACTAGACCAAAGTCATCAATTGATCGCTAGCTTCGACAAAAGAAGAAGATGAAAAAAATGCCTTACTTTGTAAGTAGCTAGCTGGGTATATTTGGAGAGCTTTCGAGGAGTAAAGAAGGACGCTTGGAGAGGGGCATCTGGTTCTATTCTCTAAGCGGGCTTCTTTGCACTTGCTTGCCCTTGTAAGGTGACCTGAGGAAGTTTTACTGGTTCAAGCATGTTAATGCAAATTAATTGGGCTCTTCCGTCGGCTCTTAAGTGCATAGCCCTCACGAAGTAGATACCGTCCGACTGACCAGGCGCGAAGTGTCTGCCGCCCGTAGTTTCAGTGGCCGAAGCCGAAATCAGGACCCCAATCACGCTAAGCTCAATCGGCGACCCTAGGCGAAGTCCCAATCCCGATCCTAGGACAACAGCATCAAGAGTTCTTTCAGGCCATGTCCCATGGCTTCGAGCGCCAACTGTCTTGCCCGGCACAGCTCCTTCTACTAGATTGTTCATTTGTAAAGAGGGCGCCCCAGCTCAGAATCATCTCATCTACCGCATATCCCACTTCCATTTTAACTGCTTTCCATACCCTTTGTAGTCCGAAGCATACCATTCCTGCCCCGTCAACACACCTTCCGGCCCAATCGCCCAAGTTCCATCCTCAACCAGGTCTACCCAGTGCCTCAGCAGCTCGCACAGCCTCGGGCTACGCTGCGGAGCCCAGAGACAATTCGTCCCAAACTGAAAGATGTCATTTCGAGGTTCGACGGGGACGAACATAGTACTATCCAGGTCCCGGTTGTTATATTCGAGAGGGTTTAGATACAGCCCTGACATACGCTGAACGGTGCATTTTGCGAAGCGGCTCTCGAATGTGTACATCTGATGTTCCTTTTCGGTTTTGAGTTCCATGTTGGGGACTATGATAAAGGATGGCGTAACGGGGACTTCACCAGGGAGGATCAACGACGCAAGCTCGATTTCATCTCCGGCTATGGTGCTGAGGAAATTCCTATCATGAGCGATCGGAGGCGCTCATGGGTTTGTGCAGAGGGATATCAGCGTCTCGGGCGAGAACGTAGTGATTCCGGGAGCGATGAATTTGAACCCTGGCCTCTTGGCGTGACAGAGAAATTCGACGGCGAAGGAGCTGAGTTTGAGGCTGGTCAACAAATCCCTATCTAGCGGTTCCAAGTATGCGTAGTCCAGCTGGGCAGTTGTCAGGGGCAGCCGGGCTTCGATAGACGCGAGGAGTTCGCCCCAAGCTGCGAGTGCGTCATCCAGATCAGCCTGTATCCATGGGACGTAGGTAATGCGGCCGTCGATGGGATTCCAGTGGCATTTCCCCGTCTCCCAGAGAGCCAGATGCTTCCAGAGGATGAATTCGAGCGGCGGCCACTGCTCCAAGTCAAATGAGGTCCTTGCAGGCCCAAGGCCGGCTGGACAAAAGCACGCGCGCAGCTCGCCCAGGTTGAAGAGTACACCACCCGGGACGCCTGGATGCCAGCCTATGGGATCGGGATAGAGGAGGATGAGCTCGGGATCCTCTTCGTCTAGGCCCAACCACTCGGTGGCAGCAAGTAGATCAAGGCGAGGACTCCTAAGACCCGGAGTAAGTCGCTCCTCGCCTCTGTGCTCTATCAAGGACAGGAATCGAAACCCTTCATACTCAAGCGGGTTGTTCACGACATCCTCCGTCCAATCGTCCGCGGTCCCCTGCAGGAAATGGTCAAGAACGTTGACACGGTCTGGTAGGGGTTCACCACCGTCAACGAGATGCTGCGTGCTCAGGCTCAACAACCTATTGTGGAGCTTAGCGCATTTCTCAGCCGAGAATGGGGCATAAAAATCGTCCGGAAGCGATTCGATTTCCTGGTCGCCTTCCATCTTGACCGAGTAGCACTAGTAATAATAGTAGTTAGGTGTAAAGCAGAATTCATGTTACGAGAACCTTGACTTTGCTAGTTCTGCATATGCACGTACGGACCCTTGTGAAGAACCCATGCAAGGGCATCTCTAAAGCGCGATGCGCACCCGCTGAGCGCCCTTCATCTCATCCTATTTCAACAATTTTTCCTTTTTTTCAAGTATAAGATGATTCCCCGTCATCACTTGACCGTGAATATCCTGTGCAATGCGCCTCCCCCACCCCCTTCTCCCCGTTTTCTGGACCGGCGCAATGCAACCGCAACCACGTTAAGGGAGTTTAGAGCGGTAGGGATTTGTTGAATAAGCCGTCACTTTTCACCCAGCTTTTTAGATTGCAGCAAGGCTCTTGCCGGCCCCTTTTAACCTCCTTTTGGACCAAAAAGAGGAAACAAACGTAACCAAAGAGGTGTCCAAATTGAAATTGAAATTGAAATGGGTATCAATTGATCCTTCTGTCGAGGGTCAAATCGATGGAAATGAGCTCCAGATACGAAGTACTCCTTCGTACTTCCGTGGCCCATGGCTGTGGGACAAGTTCGGTCTACCACTAATGTCGGCAACTAGCCCTGATTGGCTGGTATGCTACCCGCTATTCTTTCCGAATCTTTTCCGAGGAACTGATGTAGTTTTGGGAACTGTTTTCTCCAAGGAATAAATTTCCTCTTCCTAATCAAGAACGTTTATTCCCCAGAGGTTATGAGTGAATGTCGCTCTACCACGCTTTTGGGCTCAAAACAGTTCACCTGTTCTTCGCTGTCATCGAATATCTTCTTCTTTTGGGAACTGTTTTTCCTAAGGAAGAAATTTCCTAATCAAGAACATTTATTCCCCATAAATACGGAGTAAGAGGCAACAATTGCGGTGTTCTCGCCTACAGTCGTGAGGTCGCGATGACCCCAACCATCACTGAAATTCCCGTCGTCGTCGACTCTCATCATATTCTCCATGTCATCAGCACTCGAAGAACTCAAGCGTCGGGTGGAACAGCTGGAACGTGAGAAGGAGAAGGCAGAGGCGCGAGCAGACCAAGCAGAGGCTCGAGCAGACCAAGCAGAGGCGCGAGCAGACCAGGAGAGACGCGAGAAGGAGCAGGCGCAAAGTCTAGCCCGCGAAACAACCCTCGAAGAATACTTACAAGCCTGTCATGAGTATGTCTTGTGCAATCTTGTCCTCATTACCGACGGCTATCTTACCTCAAGGGCTCCTACTACAAACCCTACCGGAAAACACTGTCCAGACCTACTTACTCCATGGGTGGATTTCGAATCCACGCAAATCGATATCATTAGTAAGATATCGCATATGCTCCCTAAGGATGAGCGACTATTTGAGAGCATTGCCTTCCTAAGGACTATTGGCAACCGAATCCGAGGGCGATGGGTCGAGGGTGAGCCCTCACTTGTCTTCGTTGAGAATAATTGCATCGAGGATCCAGTACGCATCATTTTATCCAAGCTCAAACACTACCAGTCCCAGCAAGTCAACCTTGATATTGGTGATGGGGTATACTTCGCAACGAGCGCCAGTAGTCTCCGCGATCCGACCGATGACGTGGATATGAAGGAAAAGAGCCTACGGACAGACCAAGTCTGCGTATATCGAGACGCCAGCAGTCGAACGGAAATTTCATACGTGATAGAATATAAAGCACCCCACAAGCTCCACACATCACACTTTGAACAGGGTCTACGAAGCATGAGCATTTTCGACGAAGTTGTCAACAAGCCCACTATACCCACAGTTGAGCCAGCTAAATTCAAGCATTACGCGGAGCTTTTATCGGCTGCAGCGGTCACACAGACATACCATTATATGCTGGAAGCTGGGCTAGAGTATGGCTATGTGACGAATGGTGATTCGATTGTATTTCTCAAGATTGACTGGACTAATCCAAAAGAGCTATTCTACCATCTGGCACGGCCTGCCCGCGAGGTTGAGGCTAATGAAGATCCTGTTTACAGCAATGCTGTCTGTCAGGTCCTCGCGTTCACTGCGCTCGCTCTTCAAACAAGACAGCACAGTAATGACGAGCGTGTTGCAGCAACGACGTCAAGCAAAACTTGGGCTGTTGATTTCAACTATATTGTGGATAAAATCGTGCAGCACGAGCAAGAGACGGCGAAAGAGGCTGGTCCCTCGACACCCCCAGGAAGGAAGCACCGCCGTATACCAAGCAGTCCTGATTGGGTGCCGACGCCAATTAAAAAGGTTAAGAGAAAACCACAGCCACGACCTGACCTGGGGCTGGGCCCAGTTCTTCGATCACGTAGTAGACGCGAGGGCGGCGGGGGCCCTAGCGCCGGGAGTTCGAGTCAAGCAGGCAGTTCTCAAGGAGGTGGTTCCACCTCGGGGTCGGGATCGACGGCGCAAGCCTCACCAGGGCAAGGCTCGTCGTCTACCCGCTCAACGCGTGGTAGCGGTAACAGTGCTGGCGATAAAGGCAGTGACAAATCTCAGCAATCCAGGCCATACTGCACGGCATCCTGCCTCCTTTCACTCGTGAATGGCTGGCCATTGGACACCAAGTGCCCCAACAAGCTGCTGCACATACGGACGATGCCTGACACGCCCGCTGGCAGACAGAAGCACCCCGTCTCATATGCGAAATGGATAGCTCTACTACAGCAGCAGCTATCTCGAACCCTGGTGGAGGGTGTTGTGACCCTAGGCCAGGAAGGTGCCTGCGGTGCATTGTTTCAGCTCACGCTGCTCGAATATGGCTACACATTTATAGCCAAGGGCGTGACGGGTGGGCGTATACCTACCCTGCAAAAGGAAGAGGCTATCTATCAGAGGCTTCAGCCTCTACAAGGCCGCCATATCCCCGTGTGTCTCGGCTCCGTCGACCTCCGGCTGCTACATCAGGTTCTATACTATGATATTGACGTGCGCATTATCTACTTCCTCCTCCTGTCTTATGGGGGTACCAAGCTCGCAGTGCCTGAAGACCCCAAGACACGCAAGCGTATTGTCGACTCTGTCATCAGCATCCTCGATCAGATGCATCGCCTCGGGGTAGCACACGCCGACATCAGGTTGCCTAATGTGTTGCAGAGCCCTGCCGGAGAGGTAACCATTGTCGATTTCGACCAGGCCTCCATTTTGTCAAAGACGTCCCGCAGGGCCATGAGCGCGCTCTCGCCTAATAAGCGGAGGCGACTATTAGAAGATGATGCCTTGGGCTCGTCGACAGCGTCAGACGGGTCGAGAGAGGCAGCGCTGCATCGGGCTAAGATGCGGGAGGACAAGTCGAATGCGCAGACTCTTTTCACACTAGATATGGGTAGAAAGATTGCCTGGCCTTGGATGAAAGAGAAATGACCTGTGATTCTCAAGGTAGAACGTAGAACCGGCAATTGTGGCGGATGGATATATTTGGTTTACCCTCGATCAGTCCATAATTCTCCTCTTTTCACAGCCTTGGTACTGCCAGCGCCTTCTTCCCAATGTATTCCACTGGGTCTACTGTGAATGGTAGGTATGTGTTGGCGTGCTTTCGCTCGTCCTCGTCTTATCTCGCAGATGTTCATTGCGGCACCTCTTTATACAGCCATCGGCGAGGCGCCGCTTCGAACATGGGACATGACGCAGAGGAAGCGGATAGGATAGACGCGCGAAAGTAGGAAAGGCGATGATCAACCGAGGCTCGCGTCATTGAGTAACGAAAAAAAAAAAAAAAAACCAAAAAAAAAAAAAAAGCTCGCTCGCGGTGCTCAATTCTTTTGAATTCATCGCTTGCCGCGTAGCTACGAAAATTGCAACTTTCTAACCTTCTGAGCGATAAGTGGCCAATGGTCGCAGTGCTTCATGCTTGAGCTGCTCAGTTGCGGGTTCTTGCCGTGGGCTGGGATATGAAGTTATTACGAATGAGCGAGCTGAACTCTGAACCGAACCTCACCAATTCACCGTACAACCCACACATCAAACCGAAAGCTCTTTCATTCCCAAACCCGCCAAACCAAACTAAAACAAAATCTAAAAAAGACCAAAAGATATCAATTTTGTATTTCCCATTCTCATCTCAGAAAATGCCTCCTAGAATCCCCACAGAGGAAGACTTCACCTCTCTCGCCCCAACCCTCCACCTCGCCACATCCTTTCCCTCCCCTCCAGAGTCAACCACAACCCTCCTCATCCTCTTCCACGGCTTCGGCGACAGCGAATCCTTCATCAACTTCGCCCGCAGCATGAACCTTCCCTGCGTCCTCAGCATCGCCGTCCGCGGGCCCTCCGTGCTCCCACCCAGTCTTCTCCCCCCCTCATCAGCGTCCTCCTCGCCTAACCACTTCCACTGGGGGGATGACATAAACCTAGATCCTTCGACGGGGGACATAGACGCGGACCCGGGATTCTCGCGCGCCAAGACTAAGGTGCTGGATACGTTGATTCGCGGCCTGCTGATTACGAAGCTGGGGTGGGAGATGGATGATATTATCCTTTTCGGCTTTGGGCAAGGAGGGTCGTTTGCGTTGGGGTTGGCGACTGATATCGCCAACCCTCCGAGGCTCGAAGAGGTCGGGGATGAAGAGGTGGATCCGAGGACGCGGAGGGGTGCGCTGAAGGGTGTCGTGTCTATCGGCGGGCCGTTGCCTCCTTCGATGGTCTCGACGCTGAGTGGGAGGAAAAAGTCGAAGAGCAGGGCCTTGCTGGTGCAGGTCGACAGCGGCGATGTGGAGTACGCTGAGAGGGAGTTTGAGAGCGTGCGGAGGGTGAAGTGGGAGCGGAGCGGGGTGGATATGCCTCGGAAGAGGGAGGAAATGTTTCCCATTATGGCGTTTTTGGCGGAGGTTTTGAGGCCGCAGCACTCATTTGGCAGTTGAGTTTAGGGGGTGGACAAAATACAATCAAAAAGAGTCATGTAGATGTAAAGGATCTCGCTGTGAATTGTGACAATGAATTACGAGCATCTCTATAGGATGAGGAAGCAGAAACAAGCAACCCAAATAACAGTCTTAACCATGGGGGTTATCTTCTATTCCCCATCCATTAATGTCAAACCCGCTATGTAAAAAAAACATTGGTATACAATGGGACGAGCCCTCGTGGCACCGTTCGCCAACTCTACACGGAGTCCTTCTCAATGTTTACTCCGTCTCCTCCCTCCCACCGAGCTCCCAGTCCATTTCGGCACCCGGCTTGGTTGCAGGGTGGGTGGCTTCTCCTAATCCGTTCAGTTCCCGCCGAACACGGGCGATAGAGGGGGGCTGGCGAGGATCTGAAGCTGGAAAATATGGAGTACGTTAGCGGGCCTTGATTATATATATCTTCTCGCCAAGTAAGGAGATTGTGGGAAAGGGGAGACTATGAACTTACCTGCCAGGGCCTTGTAAGCCTTAACATACTCGGGAGCATGCTTCGATATTCGTCCCTCCACTACATTCTTGTAGTAGTGTTCCTCTGCTTAATTGTTAGTGGCGGTCATGGAATGGAAGCATATCTAGACTTTTAGGGACCATCGGAAGACATACCGAGACAGACGCCGGTGTAGCTTCGCCGTGCTAGGCTACCGAATGCATCTTGCATCTTTCTCCCGAGCTGGGCAAAGCTCTGCTCAGGGTGCGCCAAATGGGGTCCTCTTCGGACATGGGAGAACGGGATGATGTGGACCCAGAAATAGTCCTCTTCTTCCTTGGACCACGATTTCCCTCCCATCTCTTCGTCTACTTTCTGATGCTGGTGGGAAACGAGTAAAGTAGGTGTACTCGACTGCCGTGGATGTTTGCGCAAAGAGCCGTTATAATCCTCGTGGGATAAGAAGTGTGATAGTGGATAAGGGATGTTGATGAACGAAGAACAGTTGCGGAATACATCAAGAAGATATATTAGGAGGTTTGAGGGAAAGAAGACGAGGAGAGAATTCGAAAACAGCAGATATAAATGTGTGTGTGTGTGGATGGGAGAAAAGAACTCAGGAAGGCGCGAGAGGAGTGAATAATTGGAGGAAGAGAGGAGTGAATAGGTGGAGCAAGAGAAGAATAACATAGGCGAAGAGGAATATCCCAAAACAGGGATGAATAACTTGGGGAAAAGAGCGAATATCTAGGGAAGCTTCCCTAAGAGAAATACATACCAAACTGGAGGACCTGCTGTGATGTGTAAAGTTGTTTCTCATGATTCGATTCATCCATCTACTATGAATAGAGCCGAATGCAGATCCGTCAGTCAAAGAATATGACACAGAACGTAGTGTATTGATACAAAATGTACATCGTCTCGAAAGCTCTGCAGCTGTCGCGTCTATAAGGCCTTTCTAACAATGGCAAGAGTTTTATGATTCAGAGGGTGGATTTGGCCGATATCCTCTTGCCCATATGGATCCGACGAATTGCCTCTCCATTCTCGAAAACTACTCGCCTGTTAGATCCAACTCCTGCTTTCCAGTTTTCCTGTATTCCAGTCTCGGAGTCATGGATGGACTTACGATGCTTTTCCTGCTTAGAGGGACGACGCCATCCTTGACCCAGAAGCCCCAGGCCCCCATCATGTTCGCCATCATGATGTCTGTCGTGAGCCGATCACCTACAATTGCGACATGGGAGGGATGAGTGACTCCAGTCTCTGGATACTGGCGAAAGTACTCCATGACTTCCGACCCACAACCTGGCTTCTTGTCGCTGTGGCCGAGCACGGGGATGCCCGTCTCCTTCTCTACGGCCTCTGCAAGCTTCCTTTGCGGATCCCAGGACGTGGCGCCGGCCGTATTGGATACAATCAGCAGGCGGCGCCCCGGATACGCTCGCTTTAAATCCTCAAATCGTTCCTTGAAGATGCTGTTACTACGAGCCTGCGACCTTACGAAAAAAAAAAAAAAATGTGGTTGGTGGGATCTACCTTATACGGCTTATATACTTCGTTGGAGTCTGGGGACGCGAAGCAATCATCCTTGTCTAATACGACTGCACGAATATCTGCCTTCTTCCCTTGTTCTTTGAGCACCGAGTCGAGAGGGATGGGCAGGTCGGCAAAGGTTGGTACGGTGTAGTGAGGGAGACAGAGATAGGGTCGTGTGATGAGCTTGAATACATTCAAAGACGCGGAGAGATTTAGATTTAGACCCATTTTAAGTGATATGAAGAATTAAAGATTGGAGCGAGTGACACTGTCTGTAAAGTTGCTGGAGCTGGGAAACTCCGATGAGATCAAGCAAATCGATGAAGTGAAGTTGGATTCGAGCCAGCATCGAGCTTGAGTGCTGACTTATCCATCGAGCTTCGAGCTGTATGTACTTATACTCTTTAGCACATTGGAATTAGCAGTGAAACTTTGTACTTATACGAATCAACCTTGAATTCTACCCTGGCCAAATTCATTGAACCAATTGAGGCGCGTTTAGAACCTCGCGTCAACTATTGTAAAGGGATTGATGCCACAGTAATTCAGATAGATTCATTTCTATTCTCACGACCAGACGAAGCCAATGACGAATAATAGACATTAAGACTCAAATACGAAGATATAATACATACCCGAGGTGATGCCGAGACGAAAAGCCCTTCCGAAAGATGTGGACGAAGACACAGCTGGTGCCCACGAAGCCTCCAGGCCAAAGAGGAAGCGCAACCCTTCCCTCAAGCTGAGAGAGATTGCGGAGGATGAGGAAATCACAGTTGCACCCAAGAGGAGAAAGTCGACGACCAAAGACGACGAAGATGCCGTGATCGAAATAGATCCTCCCCAACCGGAGCCCGAGTCTGAGCCTGAATCCGAACCTGAGCCTACGCCTGAACCCGAGCCAACGACGACGACGCCCAGGCGAAGAGGGAGGCCGCCTAAAGTCGCCCCGACAACACCCATAGAGAGGCAGGCAGAGACACCCTCAAAACGAGGACGAGGCCGACCGAGCGCAAGCACCGCCGTGACGCCCTCGAGGTTACTAGACGGAAATGGCATCACGCCCCGCAGGCGCAACGCCGCCGACCGCTCGGCCCGGAAGAAGAGCATGAGGGCGCTGATACGCAACGTGGTCGACGACGAAGGCAGCGAGGACGAGGAGCAAGAAAACCTCGCACGGCAAATCTACGAATCTTCCGACGACGACCGCGACGATGGCGAGGGGTCAGAGGAAGAAGAGGAGACGGATGCTGCGACCAGCGCGCCGGATACACCGTCCAAAACGACGCCCCGTCGCGGTCGCGGACGCCCGAGGAAGATCAAGTCACCCTCGCCGCCGAGAGACCTACCCCCCCACGAGATGTACTTCTTCCACAACAAGCCCGGCAAGGTGAAGACGTCGGACAACACGCTCGCATCGCTGGACCTACTTACGCACGACGAATACTTCTCCTTCTGGCGGGACTACGAGGATCCGCACGCCGAAAACCTGCGGTTCCTCGAGTCCATCCACGTCGACTCGTTCCCGCAGTGGGAATTCGAACTGTCCGAGGGTTTTACGGTGTGTCTCTACGGAATGGGATCGAAGCGCTCCCTCATGCGCAAGTTTGCAACGCACATCTCCAAGAACAAATCCAACCGCGACGACGAAGCCGGTCCCAAAATCGTTATAGTGAATGGCTACGTCCGCACCATCACCCCACGCGACATCCTCTCCACCATCTGGTCGGCCCTCGAACCCTCCAAACCCGTCCCCGGCGCCCAACCCGCCGCCATCTTCCAATCCATCACCTCCCACCTCGCCAACGCTTCCCCCACAACCAACCTCACCATCCTCGTCAACTCCATCGACGCCCCTCCCCTCCGCAAACCCTCCACCCAATCCCTCCTCGCCCAACTCGCCTCCCACCCGCAAATCCACCTCATCTGCTCCGCCGACACTCCCGACTTCCCTTTCCTCTGGGACGTCTCCCTCCGCTCCACCTTCAATTTCGCCTTCCACGACGCCACCACCCTCGCCCCCTTAACCGCCGAGCTCGACGTAGTCGACGACGTCCACGAGCTCCTCGGCAGAGCCGCTCGCCGCGCGGGAGGTCGCCAGGCCGTTGCGTTCGTGCTGAAGAGCTTGACGCAGAATGCGAGGAGCTTATATGCTTTGCTCGTCGCGGAGGTCTTGACGGCGCTGGATGAGGATGGAGGAGGAGGGGGGGATGGTGGGGAGAATCCCGGGTTGGAGTATAGGATTTTGTATAATAAGGCTGTGGAGGCTTTTGTTTGTCCGAGCTCGGAGATGGCGTTTCGGCAGCTTTTGAGGGAGTGAGTAGCTTGGCCCCCCCCCTTTTTGTGGTTCCCATTTTCCTCTTTTTTTTTTGGGGATTCAAGCATTTAGAGTGCTAGAGGGCTAACTTTCTTTTTAGATTCCATGATCACCAGATGATTACGAGTAGGAAAGACGCGTTGGGCACAGAGCTTATCAGCGTGCCGTTTAGAAGAGATGAGATGGAGGCGATATTGGAGGATATCGAGTCTTGAATTCGGTGACCGGTTAGGACCGGCGGCGCATGGCGTCACTTATCAGTATCATAATGAACCAATTCTTAGGAGCGTTGTTCATGGATTATTGCATTGCCCAAGGGCATTCATGTTGCAAGCTTTAGACGATGGAAATAGCATGGAAGGGGAAAAAGCAAGGAAGAAAAAGGTCTAGAGACGTCTTGGTATGCGATAGACTGTGGCCATCGGGCGGTCTTCGAAACCGCACATCTATTATTATATCTTTCCATTATTATTTTTGAAAAGACTCTCCCGTCTAACTTTAGTGTAGAAACCGAATAGACGCGAAAAGAACACCAAAAAGAACCGTTCCCATACAGAGACACCCTTCATCAAAAGATCCGATTCAATTCCTCGCCGCCAACGCCAATGCTAGATGTATCATGTCCCGAATTCTATAAAAAACACAGCAATAAAAGCCGGAGATGGAAAAAGGACGGCGCAACAAGAACAGGGTTTGTTTTATCTCAAACCCCCAGACTCTTGACGCAAGTCCACAAAACAACCGGCACAATAACATTATCATTCCCCCCCGTCAACACCGCCTCCGTCAAGCTCGCCACGGAAGCGCAAACCCCGGCGTTCCGCATCTCCACGGGCCAACTGAGAAGCTTCCCCTCCGGGACAGGCCACCTACCCACCCTTAACCACAGGCTCGCGGACACGAGACCGACGAACACGGCCGTGGCGAAGGCGGCGCTACCCTCGAGGCTCTTGCCGCCGCCCCAGACCCACTTTCGGTGGCCCCATCGTCGGCCGATGAGGGAGGCGGCGGCATCGCCGAGGCCGACGCAGATGACACCCGAAACCATGCTGACTTCGCGGGTAGGGATTTCCCAGCCGGCGAGGTGGCCGGAACCGCTGCGCGGGAGCGAGGCGAGGGTGAGCCAGAGGGGTATGGCGCAACCGATAAGGAGGAAGATGTGAGAAATTACGACGGGCCCGCGGAAGTCTCTGCCGTCGACGTAAGGCGCGAGGAAATTAGCGATGGGCTTCGAGAGGGGCGGCAGCTGGCTCGCGCGGAGGAGATCGAGGAGGAGGAAGAGGGCTAGGGCGGCGGAGAGGGCGAGGGCAGCGAAGGCCGGGTCGACGTAGGTGGCCGGGAGAAGCATGCCGACCATCATAAAGTGGAAGACTTTGCGGCGGGTGTCGACCTCGTAGACGTCCTTGAGGCGGTACACGATGACGAGACCGAAGACGAGAATCATGAGCCAGTATCCGATAATCAGCAGCCTCGTGTTAGCGCTGCCAAAGGTTTCTAGTCGGATGTGCTGTACCCAGCCCTGGTGGCAGAACTGGCCAGCGTCAAGGTCGGTTCTTGGCGGGAGGCAGATCCACCCGTCTAAGTTCTCGCTGACGACCTTGAAGCGGAACCAGTTGATGTTTCCAAAGAGGTAACCCAGCGCCCAGCCAATGGCCTCCGCTCCATTTAGGGCGTAGTGGGTAATATAGGTTCGGATACCGACAAGGGCGATGCCGATGATGCATAGGTAGACGTAGCTCGCGTAAAACCACTTTCTAGCGGCGGCCTGTGACTGTGTCAAGCTGAAGAAGGCACGGACGGACATCGAGGTCGATCTCTTCTTGCGCCCCGCCGGCGTATGTGTCGCGAGCTGCCGCTTAACCCTACCCATAGCGGGAGCAAAGGGAAATGTATTCCGCCGCCCGATGGGCTTTCCGTTTGTAGGGGGTTCCGATCCCGTTTTGGCCAGTAATATCGATTGCTCCGCCTCTCTATTCAGCGAAAACGGGGACACAGCATCGTACCTCGACACGGGCGAGTCTAGGTCCGATTCTTCCGAAGAGGGCCAGGGCCAGACGGAAGGCAAACCGTTGGCGGAGCGGGATCGGTTATCTACGCCCTTTCGCAGGGACTTCTTGGGCCAGAGCAACCGGCGCATGAGCTGAGCAAGCGTTGACGAAGAAGACTGAAGAGGCTCTCTCATAAAACGCCACTTCGGCACACGCGCCAAGGATATTCCCCAGGTTATTACCTGGCCGCACAAGACCAAGACACCCAGTCCGCCAACCCATAACAGAGCTTTAAGAATCCTCATCTGGGGAGATGACGTTAAAAGTAAAAGGTTAATAAGAGCAATCGAGAATAATTCGAGTTCGGCTGGTAAGAGACTGGTCGTCGTGAGGTGGCGGAGAACTCGACGTAAACTTTCGTGGAGAGGATAGAGCATGACAACCACGCTAGGAGTAATATAGTGAGAATCCATCAACGACCATGTATTGTCCCCGGATTCTACAAGGTAAGGCGCCTGTCGAGAAGTCGCCCAAAACAACGGCACACATGACAGGACCCAATGGACGCTGTTGTACGTTTCATTCGAAAAAGTAAATGGGATAAGCTGCTCCGGAAAGGAGCAGAGACAGAGGATGATATTAGGGAGGACCAGGGTCGGATTGTCGCTCGCGAGGAGGAATGACGTAAGGACAGTGATGGTTTGCGGATAAAGCAGAGGCGCGGGATCGAATTGCATCGGGGCCCTTAAAGGAATGCGGTGTATCGGGGTGCGATGAAAATGAGCCCAGAGAGCTAGGCGAAGAGGATAGAGAGCTAGCAGTACTCCAAAGAGGGAGAGCGCCACGACGCATTCTAAATGGACGTTAGCAGGAGCTAGAGCGACGGCAAGGCTGTATGCGCGGGCTCTCTCGGCTTACCTGGGAACCAGAATCTCATTACCGGCTGCACTCTGCGGTTGGACAACACCATCATGATGAGACCAGCCAACAGGGCAACCTCCACATATCTTCTCGCAACATGGCGGGCCTGGCGGACTCTATTGATGGCGAAGCGTTTATCACCTTTGATCGCCTCGGGCAATTTCTCGCCAAGCTCCTCGACATGATGTGCTGGGATAGATGGGGATAGAAGAGGCGTCGAAGATCCTGATATTGTCTCATTGCGGCCTCTCAAACCCTTATGCAGTCTCGCCCTGGGCGCGGGGAGACCCTTGAGGAAGTGCTCATCATCGGCCTCAGTACCGCTATCGCTGGCGAGGGGGGAGTCCTTCGGGAGCTGCGGATTTGACGCATCGGTCTCGTCATTGTTCGCGGTCAGCGTCGCCAGGCGCGATCGGCCCGTGTATTCGATGCGGTCGGTCGGGTGGAGAAGCTCGAAGCTCTGGCGGTGGTAGGGATGAGGAGAGCGCGATAGGAGCTGTAGATTGGGTTCCTCTTCCAAGCTGTCAGGGTTGCTGGCAGGCTGCCATGCTGTCCTCTCTAAGTTCTCAGGTTTGGGCATGGCGGGGCCTTTGCTCCGTTGAAGGTCATCAGGATGTGTCGGGCATGGGAGGAGAAGAGGGGTTGCAGGGATGAATTTGCGATTTGAATGGCGAAGTTGGGGTTGGGAACGAAATGCCTGACCTTGGCAAGCCTATCTCGAGAGTGTTGTTGTCGGTTCTGTGAATTTGTTGGGTGTAATGTTCAGATGTGTTGGTGGACAAAGGCCATTACCAAAGACATTTGATCCATTGGCATTAGCCTACAACAGTCATCATTGATAAGACCATGAACCAGCTGTGAAGAGTTGTTCCTAGTTGGATTATCACATGAATGTTGACTCTTGGGAGGATTGACACGTTACGACATTCAGGAAGAGCCAAGATGCTACATCAACTTGGCCCTGAGCCTTGCATTGGATCCAAGTACCTCAGTATAAAAAGCTACTTCCAAACCTGGTTTTCCTCCCAGGTTGTTGCTGCCCTCTTCAAGGGGCTGGTGGCCCCTGAATTCGTAATCAGCCCACTAAAACAGCTTTGAGCGAAACGAAATTGGAAGGAACGATTACATAATGGAGCTTTACTCTCTTCGCTGTTGGTCTGTTGGAGCCGCCTTCCCGTTGTAGGCTCCGAGCTCATATGTCATAATGTTACCATGTTTGGGTCTGTAGTCCAAGGATCAGCAGAGCTGTCTTCCATCGCAAGCAGATCAGTTGCCTGGCCGTACCAGCCCACCCGCCTGGGCCGAGAGAAGTGGGGAGGCGGATCGCCACCAGACCACAAGCTGGCAGGGAAGAGACGTCCGGACATCCACCTCGGCCAGATCGTTTGAGTCTCTCATTGCTAAGCATGTGGTTTAGACAAAACCCCTGGATATGACCAATTTCATTTTGCTCCAGAACAGCACATATCGACCGAAGAACTTTGGGCATCTAGATGACAAGTTTTGCCTCAACCAGAGGGAAAGCCTTTTGCCGTGAGCATTACGGAGTAACTTTGCTGATATGACCTTAAAAGGACTTCAACTCAGACTTTCTCTTGAGGGGCTAGCGCAATGGATGCTCGATTTGGGCAAGGTTAACAACCTTCAATTCGAGACCACGTCATCACATCCCAAGCCCGCGGTTCCTAACTGTAAGCCTAGAACGCTCCTTGAAACCCCCTCCAATAGCAATAGGTGATGGTTCAATCCTCAAGTGCCGAGCCTCAACGGAGTGCAAGTACTGATAGTTGCGTAACATCAAACGCCTGCAAGAATATATGGATGAGTGGTTACAATGCTTCAATATTTGATACCCTGCCATGCCCAGAACAATTCACGGCTCGGACAGCCGCAATTCGATAGCACTTTAGCTCCTAAATGGAAACCGGGCAGCCAAGTAAATATTGAGGTGTTCTGGCTAGCCAACGAGACATCAACACCAATTTGTATGTACTATCTCGCAGCATCATCAAATACTCCGTACTCGGTAGATCTGCGCTAGTAAATTAGACAACTGGATGTCTTATTAGCCCTGTGCATTTTATATGCAGAAATAATTGATGAAGGCGTCAATCCCGTCATTTAGTGACAAAGAATATTGGATTGCAACAAGTTGAACACCCAAGGTCTCGTCGTCGTTGATTGATTGAATTTGACTGTTCACGTTCCCACCATCCACCCATCGTCGTCGACACAGCCACCGCATGTCTGGACAGTGGGCCGGACCACTTTTCAGACAGGCAGAAGGTGCTACCTCAACCAATGGAAACAGCGGCACGGAGACCAGTTTGCGTCAACTCCTTCGTTCTCGCCACACCCGACGACGAAGCTCGTATTTCTCCATTCATCGACTGACACGAAGAAGTGTCGCAAGTGATGGCCACAGGGGAGATGATATTCGACCTCATCCGCGCCGATTTGACTTGATCCTGGGCATCAATGCCAAATACGAAACGAAAGTTGCTTGAAGGTCGCAGTGGGGTCCTTCCTGTCTATGAATGGAAGAGCGTTCCGGAGCATTCATAACTGCATGCAATTCGGTAGTCTCCGATATTTTGCGTGCTGGGATAGCAGCTATTCTGGGTGTCACAATCTGTAAGCCCGGTGATGTGATGTCATTTCTGGGTAGGGACGAAGCAGTCCTGAGAAGAGGCGGCTCGAACGCCAAAGCAATGCATTCTGTGGTCATTTTTAAACTACTTCGCTCGACGCGCCCGTCAACTAAACTACTGAGTACGTGATGCCACATTCGGCGATTCATCGACCTGAAACTGACGAAGACTAGATTATAATGGTTGGAGAGTTCAATCAACATCCTCAATATTAGTGGACACTGCGAGGTACTCAAGCCAACAAAAACATAGTCCTCCGTATACACTGCGGATACATGACAAGTTACCTGTGGATGCTTGCAAGTTTTGGTTCAAACTTCAAGACTTCAAGACAATATTAATAGCGCTTCGTGCCTGAGAGTGGAGCATGGCAAAGTCAATGTGGACCAGTGTTGATGAAATCAAATTTCAATTGAGCGCCCTGAGATCAACATGAATGAAGCTGTGGACACTATTGTCACAAAGTACGAAGTAATCAACTACTTCATAGTTTATATCCTTCAGCTTCCCCATCCAGCCGTCTTGGAATACACTAGTGCGCTCGGAAGTTCATTTCACGCATCAACCGACGAGGTCTGTTCAAGTTATCCAGCACTCCGTACTTCGTGCATACATAATCTAGATTGGCCAAGTCACCTTGTCTTAACACAACATCAGATCCTTTTGTAAAACGAAGTACGAAGTACGACTGTATTGAATCAATTGATATATCCACCCACCAACTCGAGCAGCACGGCTTCCAAGGAAACCGGAGCACAATGTCGGCAACTTCACTCTGTAACATGACAGTCTCCAGGAGTGCTAGTCACTGAGGTGCTTATGATGTGCTTGCCCTTGCGAATGAGTTGATAGATGCCGTTTATTACTCCACCCATGAGTGACACTTGACACTTGGACTTTCGAGAAACAGAATATGGGATGATGAGTGAAGGATATCTTCACCTTCCTTCGTTTGTTCATCGGTCTTGCATTAATCCTTCGTTGACGAATTTGATACTGTTACATACGGAGTACGCCCCAGCCACCAGACATTTTTGTCCAGGGTCCCCGCTTCTGCCTTGGCGCTGTCCCTCTTTTTCGTATCTCACTGTGTTTCCACTCATCCTTGGTACCGCAGCACAGCGGACTTCGTATGGAGCACCAGTCCAAGAAGATCAATACCCATCCCGGTCCAGCTGAGTCGGCAAGCCGGCTAGAGCCTGGCGCAGTGGCTCGTCCCAGCCGAGGGGTCGTACACACGGTGGCACATCCTTGCAACTGAACCCGCTGCAGCTTGGACAGCGGATAGTCTCCAGAACCCCAACCAGGAAGTTGACACTGACTGACAATCGTCGCTTTCCTCTATGAACCTCCTCCGCATTATCTTTGCATCTTATGACTTTTTTGCCTGTAAGCCTGCAGCTGTTGTGTCGTATTCTCCATGTTGTGTACTTCGTACTTCGTACTTTCATTGATGCCCTCCATCCGCACCGCATCCCTTGATCCCTTTCCATGTATTTCCGGGCCTCCACTTTTTCAACCACCCTCCCTGGGCACGGCAAAGCCCAAAGATCCGGAGTCGCAGGCGAGGCCGAGATGAAGTACGAAGTAAACAGATCCCACCCACTACAGACATTATACGGAGTACCTCGTACCTCGCAGGGGTCAGCTCAACACACTCACTCACACACCTGCGCTAATAATCCCAGTGGCGCCTCAAGAACTCCCCACGCTCACGCCTCCTCTCCCAGAGTCTTTCCAAGTTAGGACTGCACCCCGTACCACTTGTGCGAAGTACCTCCTTCGTATCAAGGAACAAGGCACTGGCCAAGGGGCCCGTTCGTATCATCATCAAAAGTTTAAGACGCCTGGCCTTGCCGACCTTTCTCTTAGTCTGAACTCTTTTCCTCCTGAAGTCCTGAAGATCCAACACACTCCACCAATAAGAACATCTCCCTGACAGGTTCCTTTCCCTTAGACTCGTTCTCTAGTCGGATCGAGCGTCGTGGCTAAACGTGCCTGGCTGTGTCAAAGAGAAAGAGTCTCGTACCTTCGAGGTAGATACGAAAGTTTTGCCCTGGAGTGCCATGCAAACCGCACGCTGATCGCCTCAAGCCATCATCTTTAGCGCGGGTCCCCTTAGTCCCTAGTGTCTACTGCCCCATTCCGGAAGGGAAACCAAAAGCTAGCCGACCGGACCGGCCTTTCGTTGCCCACTTCGTTTTCTGGAGCCCTTCCTGTCCGGTGTTTTGGTCTTGGTTTTGTCGATTTTGATTCGGTTCCTAGACGCACCATCTGCTTCATTGGACCCGCTTTCTTCACCAATCTCACCCCAAGGAACAAGCACACCACCAACTTGTTGACGTACCTCTTCGCCAGCTTCTCGCTCTCCGAACCTTCCTTCATATATACCCTTTCCTTTCCCATCAGGCATTTGTTTTCTCTTCCTTTCGGAATGTCAGCTCAAACCCCGACAAGTGACAACTCCCTTGAGGCCGGACTCTTGAGTACCGTAGACGAGAAGAGAGCCCTTGAGAACTCTACCAACCCTCCACGAGCACCCGGAACACAGCAGAAGAACAGGATGACGACCCTGAGGCGATTCCTCGTTGCCTTGACCGTCAGTGTCTTGGTTTCCTTGACCATTGCTGCCCAGATACCCGTCCAGGCACGCGGGAATGTTAACGATGTAGCTGTCAACGACGGGGCAGCCGGAGAGCAAACTTTGGCCCAGATCATCAGGTCCGTTTTCCCCCAGGGCCCTGTGGAAGCTTTCCGGAGAAGCTCCAGCACTGTGTCCTTACATCTGATGAAGTGACCACGAAGGCTGACCATGACAACAGTGACGCTCTCGGCAACAAATTTGTCCAGATCGCCAAGCGCCAGAACAACAACTCGACCTCCGAGCCCACGGAGACTCCCCCGACGTCGCAGGGACCCGAGCCCACCAGCCAGGAGCCCTCCCAGGAGCCCACGCAGCCTCCCACCAGCAACCCGCCTCCTACCAGCCAGACTCCCGAGCCCACCACCCCCGAGCCTACTCCCTCGTCTACCGACAAGAATCCTGGTACGTCGTCGGACGAGCCGTCTTCTTCCTCTCTAGGATCGACTGATCCTATTCCTTCCTCTTCTACCCTTTCCCCCTCTTCTTCTTCTTCTCAAGTCCCTTCCTCGTCCAAGAGGCCTGGTACGTGGGGACCTTTTTAATTCAGCTTAAGCCTTGTGCGAAGCTTTTTTAATTTTTCTTTTTTTTCCCCTCTCTTTTTCAATCTTCTTGTTGCCTTGTTCTTTTTTTACTCTTTTCTCCCCTCTCCATTACATACGCGGGATGTGAAGGGATGCAAACAGCATTCGACTCACTCACCTAGTCCCACTCATCACTACACTCACTGTACTCGGCGAACAACTTGAACATTTCAACTAACATGGCAAAATAGAACCTACTTCCTCTTCCAACAAGCAAACCACCAGCCGAAGCGCAACCACCAACACCCGCACCTCGACCCTTCCCGGCGGCGGCATCACCGTGATCACCTCCACCTCGTACTACGACGTCGTTCCCCAACCCACGGGTGATGGCTCTGGCTCCGATCCCGAGCTCCAGAACGCTGCCCCCGGGCAAAACGCTATTGCCATCATCCCCGCGCTCTTTGGCATCGTTGCGGCAATGGCTCTCTAAGTTCTCATTGACCCTCTGAAACTGCATAGCCGGATTGGTTCCGATTTTTAAAGTACTTTGTTTTTTTGCAAGGGCAATTTCTTTATTGCCGGTTTCATTCCTTTTACATATGTCCGTCCTTGATATACCCGATGAGAAACACGCCGAGGGGGAAAAAATAGACTGGTTTTTGCATGGTCCCCAACTGAACCTGGCATCGAAACAGGGAAAGTTTGGTGGACTCTGGGGAGTTTGTATATACAAAGATGAAAAGAGGTGGATAGATTTCGGGAATTTGACATTTGCACGGCGCATTTATTGCGGATTCGGGCGGACTTTAATGACCACTGCATAGACTAGGACAGACATACGAACTTTGGTAAATACGACGATCCTTACGTATTTTATCAATGGCTGCTTGAGGTTTGGACTGGTGTGAATTAGATGAGTTGGAGACGGATGATGATGAAGTAGCGTAGAATATCCCCAGGACACATTGAAACTATCTCAAACGCCGCCCTTCAAAGTCGGCGGCAATGGAAGAAACGTAAACCGGACGACTGCCGCATCTCGGAAGCTTTTCAAGCGCTTTTCGTGGGGTTATTCGGTTAACAATCCCCTGTTTGGACTGGTCCTGTCCTTGAGCGGGCAAGTCGATAAAGTGTAATTGCTAACCTCTTTACATCAACGTAGAGAAGTTATGCTCACATTTGCTCAAAATCATTTACTCGTTGAATGCCAGTTCTATTTTCCAATGTAATGTACAACCCCCTATCAAAACCAGATGAAAAACCGGGTATGCCATGCCAGAAACCCCAAAATGCACCCATATAACTCCGTCATGTCGTGCTGTCGCTTCCACCGCTCGGAAATAAGGACTTCTTTAACCAGGCCCAATCTTGGGCATATCGTTGTGTTCAGAGAGTTTCGACAAGAAACTATTAAGCTCTTCAACCCTTTCCTTGTGAGTCTTCAGTAGCTCTGGTCTCGCGTCTGGATTCTCAGCCAATTCGAGGAACTATAACAAAAACAAAGTTAGACATAATTCAAAGCCGTGGACCGTGAAGGACCTTGGGAGCCAAGCAACTTACCCGTTTCCTCCTAACTTCATCAAGTTTCCGCTGCGCTTCCGTCTTGCGCGCAACAGGCACGGCCTCCTCGTCATCTTCTTCATCATTCTTCTCCTTGCGCGACTTCTTGCTTTTCTTCTCTATCACCTCATCCCCGCTGTCCTTCTTTACGAGGGCGAGCGATTCGCCACCGGCTTCAGAGAGGGCCTTTTCTAAGTCGGCCTTGTCCTTCTTCTTCTTTTTTTTCGGCTTCGTTACTTTTGCGCCCTTAAGACGGAGAGCACCGCCTCCACCTACGGCGGCGTAGTCATCGAGCGGCATATTGGAGGTGTATGGCGCGAATAGGTTGATGGGAAGAAAGCTCGGAAGCGAGTCAATGTCTTTTGAGGTTACTTGTCAGTGAACTTAACCTTTTTGGCAGGGGACACTTGCGCTTATATAATCAGAACGGCACTTTGACCATTGAAGATCTTCGCTTTGGCACGCACAGACAGGTACTTTGTACTCGTGACCAGGGGCAAATCAAGGTTGAAGAAGGGACCAATCAGGATCCCGGAAAATGCCAAGGCTAGGAACTGGGATTGATTCTCATTGGCACCGGCTTTAGGGGGCCAAACCAAAGTTTTACACCTGAAATGTGCCTTTGGCACTGAAATTACCCCTGAACCTGTGCCAAATTCAGGTCCAACCATGTGCCAATAACCGCAATCCCAGTGCCTAAAACCCATCAAATTGAATTGATGCTCCATTCTATCTGGACGCATCGTTTCGCATGCAGAGAGTCTGGTCCCACGCGCTTCTCCTTTCCATCATCAATTTAACTTTCTTTCTAAAACTGAACTACCTCCTTTTCTGAAGTATACCACCCCAGTGCACATTCGAAACGACTTATTCGCTCTTCTTCGTACAATCATTAGCTCGTTCTTGTCCCGTCTAAAGCACCCGGCCAGTGTTTCCACGATCTTGTCGCTTGGGCCATTGACTTGTTTCCGTTGCATAAACTTGGAGAGCATCAGTTCCAAACCTGTCATCGCTTTCCCGCTTACTGCCCTAAATCTGGGACTCTTTCTCATTCCAGGTTTAGCAACCTCTAATTCCGCCGCATTATACCGTCGATATCGATATCGTGTCCTCGAAAACCCAGCCATCTTGCCGTCATGTTATGAAAGAAGACTGCATTTCCATGAACCGTTTATACCACCCGAGCCAGCATTAAGGCGTATGACACTGGCTCCTCCATACCTATAACACGTACGACCGAACGCCTTCAATCCGCATACCACGTTTCCATCTATTCCTCCCCACGAAACAGCCATGTCGGCGGGATATACATCCGTCTTCCCACAGCACTCGCGGGACTCGCTAGAACTCGCCTCGCTCGCTAGTTCCAGCGGGCTCGGAGACGACGATGCCGCGTCCAACGCCCTCTCCTCACGGGCAAGTTTCTCCTCTTCCCGACAAGCCTCCCTCGAACAAGAGGACCCCCTAGACAGCGCCAACCCAGCGGCGCGAGGAATGAGGTCCTACTCAGTCTCGTCCAACTTCGACTTCGCCGCGAACCTGTTCCCCCTGAGCTCGACGACGGGGGCCAGCGGATACGCGCCCATCGGGGTGTCGGAGTCGTCCCGGTCGCAAGGAGCCGGTCTCGGCGGCGCCGCATTAGAGAAGCGCAAGTCGCTGACATACATGAACGGGTTATCGCTGGTCGTTGGCCTCATCATCGGATCGGGCATCTTTTCATCCCCTAGTCAGGTCAGCTCGAACGTGGGGTCGCCTGGAGCGGCGCTCATCGTGTGGGTTGTCGCAGGCGTGCTGGCGTGGACGGGCGCCGCTAGCTACGCGGAGCTGGGGGGCGCGATACCGCTCAATGGCGGTGCGCAGGTGTACCTCGCCAAGATATTTGGCGAGGTTGTGGGGTTCCTGTTTGCGTGGGTGGCCGTGCTTGTGCTCAAGCCCGGAAGTGCCGCTATTATCGCCATCATCATGGGCGAGTATCTCGTTCGAGCCGTTGTAGGCCCCAACGCAGAGACGATTAGCCCGTGGGTGACGAAGTCGATGGCTATGGCGGGACTCATGCTGGTTACGTTTTTGAACTGCATTTCGACGAAGGTGGGGACGAGGATTAACGACATGCTTATGTTTCTCAAGTTTGTTGCATTGATTGGCGTTACGGTTATCGGCATCGTTGTTGCGGCGACGGGATTTTCGTCTTCTGGGGAGGCGAGTAGGGACTGGAAGGACCATCCTTGGTTTGAAGGAACGTCGAAAGACCCGTCGGCCTGGGCTGTGGCTCTCTACGCCGGACTCTGGGCCTACGATGGTTGGGACAACACCAACTACGTCGTGGGAGAGTTCCGTCGTCCAACTCGCGACCTTCCGAGGGTAATACACTCGGCGATGCCCCTCGTGATTCTTAGCTACGTCCTCGCCAACGTGTCCTACTTCCTAGTCCTCCCCCTCGAGTCCATCAATGCGACCAACACCGTCGCCGTCATGTTCGGCGCCAAAGTCTTCGGCTCCATCGGCTCCTTCGTCTTCGCCCTCATAGTCGCACTCTCGTGTCTCGGCGCCCTCAACTCATCCACCTTCACATCGTCCCGCCTTATCTACGCCGCCGGCAAAGAAGGCTACATTCCCACCTTCTTCAGCCGCATCGGCTTCCGCCAGCCCGATCCCCACCACCACTTATCGACTCAACGTACACGCGGATGCCTTACCAAATGCCTAGGCTCCCTACTCGGCGACGACGACGCGGGCCTCTTCTACACGCCCGTCTACGCGCTCCTGCTCAATTTCGCCCTCACGCTCGCCTACGTCATCGTCGGCGAGTTCTCTACCCTGCTCACGTTTTACGGTGTGGCGGGGTACACCTTTTATTTTCTAACAGTGCTGGGTGTCATCGTGCTTCGGGTCAAGGAGCCGAACCTCGAGAGGCCGTACCGCACGTGGATCACGACGCCCATCATCTTCTGCTGCGTCAGTCTGTTCTTGCTCAGCAGGGCCGTGTTTGCGCAGCCGCTGCAGACGCTGATCGTGGTTACGTTTGTGGTGGCGGGGGTGCCGGTTTATTTCTGGAGGATCATGGGGAGGGACGAGGTTGTTAAGAGGGAGAGGGGGGTGAGTGGGGAGAGGAGGAGGCCTTGGTGGAAATTTTGGAGTAAGGAGTAAATGATGTTTAATCCCGAGCGGCGTTTTTCCTTTCTTCTTCTTTCTTGCATGAGCTATGTATACTTTTTTGATGGACGGGGTGCATTCGAGATAGAGGATGGGACTTTTTCTGTTGGGGAGGTGGAATAGAGGATACCCATGAGAAACATGAAGCTCTATTGATCAATGTATCAAGTGTACTAGTATGTCCCCTCGCTGGGGCCGAGACGGGGACTAAGATGAGAGAGAATAATCATAGCGTGGTTTATTAAGGGTTTCTATCGCCCGCGGTGCTTCTCAGGCTTAGCATTTCTGTGCGTTGCGGACACAAATGATGATTTCCGATGAGTGCCCTCGGGCCCTTGGACTGGTGAGGCCACTCTCCCCTATTCTTATCCATCCTGCGTTTCGTCTGACTCTCCCGCTCTCCAGCTTGACATAGGCAATCTACATTGGCAGCGGAAAACACGCCCTCCCCGGCAATTGAAGCAAGGAATTGCAATTACAACCTGCGGACTCATAGCTCGAACCATCTCTCGTCTATGTACAGACTTCAATGTTCTACTTTCTTTCTGCCTTCACGCTCTTACTTGCTATATCACAAGCAAATAGCAAGCCCGGTACAATTGTGTACGGCTAGGTAAGTTTGACAATTTCACAGAGCGAGAAGGGAAAGTGAGGAAGAGTTCCAGAGCCAGTTATGAACATGTGCCTATCTCAAGCTTTGGAGATTCCATGTACTAGATTCAACTTGGCCTCTCACATGTAAACTATTCTGGCCTCCAACTTGACCTAGCCTGAAGATCACGCGGGTTTTATTTTGGTACTTCCTACCCTCTTGACCACAATCTCCCAACACAATCCGGTCTAGATTCGTCAAATGTGGCGGTCCTGGGCTTTCACCGACCAGTGCTCCTTCTCCAATTCTAACCTTCGTTCGAGTACGCCTTCCTTTAAGTAACCCAACTCCATCCCCTCCCTCTCCGGCAGCGCGTCGTGGTTAGCCAAAGCCCACTGGCCTTGCATTCCAGTCGATCCTACCCCTCCCAGTGGTTTCCCAGAGATTTCACACAAACCACGCACTTCCGATACCAAGACTGGACCGGTACGAACTTTTCTTACAAAATGCAACAACTTCCAGGAGCAACCCATCCGCTACCAGTTTGCCTGGGATGCGAAGAGGGTATAATTGCCTACACCTTCGATTCCCATATGACGGTCCTTATGCTCTTTTTCATCACCAGTCATGCCGTCTCGGGTTATTCTTTCTTTCTATTCCTTTACGTCTATCCCTAGATTTACCACCCGCCTTCTCCTGTTGATATGTTTGTTGCTGTTGGTGGTATTTGGCTTAAGACAACTATCCTCCTTGGAGTTCTTGGAGTCGGCGCGGAGACCCTGAGCTACACAGGATGGTTTTTTACGGGACAGCTTAGGCGAGGTGGCCTCCGGCACGAGTACGGATACCCGATGTTTAGGATCTACTGGGGGGCGTTCAACATCTTGGCCGCGATGGTGGGCAAGCTGAGTAGGTGTACCGCATCTCCCAATGGGCGCTTGAAGCGGAAAGGAGATACCGAGTACCAACTTCGGACCCTGTTTGGACGGTTCATAAATATGTGTTTGGCACCCGGTTGGTCAGCTCATACGACGGCCAAGGATCCGAGAGGTAGCATACAAAACGAGGGTAGATCGAAGAAGAAGGAAGAGTGATCAATTGATACCAGCCTAGGAACTATGCGACCATCGTACTTGCCTTTAGATATTAGCCCGGTACATGGTGAATCCTAACAATGTGAATCTACCGGAAGGAATTAACGGTCCGTGTAATACATTTCTATGCCGGGTCAGCTTCCCTTCCCAGATATGCAACCTCCAAATTCAACCAATGCTAATCTCTACTTCCTTCAGTGAACCGAACATCCCCACTGATGAGAATCGTAGTTTCCTTACTGTCATCGATGACGCCGGTTGATTTCGGTCCTCAACTAGTCTGGTCCCAAGGTCTCGAGGCAAGAGCAAACTCGACATGGCTAGGATGACCAAAACTACTTCTGGCGCAGGTCGAGCTTCGCTTTTTTCTCTTCTTTTCCTTTTTCGTCTTCTCGTTGCGGACTCCTAAAATACGCAAATGGATTCATTATCTTTTTCTACTTCGGAGCGGCAAGGGAAGTCGTATTCGGACATCCTTTGCGTGTTGTTCTGCTTCAGCACCCTCATATCTGTTCCTGTGACAATTTCGATCAACATGCACTAGCCCGCTCAGTCCGAGTCGTCTACATCCAGCATCCTAGGTTTCCTCAAGCTGTATTCTTTGGCAGTCTTCGGACTGACATGGGTTGCATTCTTTTGTGAGCTCGGGTTGGCTCGGGTGCGGCTCGGCCGGGACAGGGAGCATTCCCTCAGGGAGATTGAGGGCATTGAGGAAGGTTATTTTGTGAAGGCTTACTACCACCTATCTGTGGGGGCGTTCGCGTGGCTTCTTCGGAAGTTGGGCGCTTCGTCACTATAGATGGGTAGTCTGTAGGTTGGAAACAACCTGGTTTAGTGGCTTCCCACTACGACATCAGTGTTGGCAAATGATCCCGAATCAATCTCGTCAAGGCTGAAGCAGAAGGGAGGCCGCGGTTGGGTGGCGGGTTGGGCCTGGGACAAGCCCCTTCGACAAAGTGTTGTTCCTTTCAACTCAAACTTCATGAATGTTGGTGAGTGATGGGCCACCCGCAATTCTACTGACAGACATGGCTAGATGCGTCTCCACTGAGGTTTTGCAGAAATATAACGATATTTTAAGTACAAGAATACTGGTATTGTCCTGCCTATGCCCACATGAGACGTATGGATCGCTGACTTACTCTAGTTCGACATACACCCAGTCTATAACTCGGCCGTTGCGGCAGCCTTGAGATTATCACGTCCTCACCGGAGGCTCCAGAAGCTATATCGGCGATTGGATTAAGACTCGGAGGAGAAATCAATCCGTGGATATAAATGGAGGTTCCCTGATGGAGACGCTGAACTGGGATATACATATTATTAAGGATCGGGAACAGCTTTCGGTTATAAGGCCAGTGTGGAATGCGTACTTCCTACCACTTTCTAGAAGGTTTATGTATGTAAATTTTATTAAAATAGCCAATCTTCATATGTGGCAAAAATGATTAATGACCCCATCGATCTTTTGGAGCTTCTTCATGTCTTCAGTTAATGTTCTGAGAACGCTCCCTGACGGCTTTGTGAGTCGGCTTCTGCAATTATCATGGAGAGGTCAGTCGTAGAAGACAGCCCCTTAGTGTTCATGGATTTCGTATGTCGTCTTCGCTCTCTTAGAGTGTTCGTCCTACAGCTTCACCGTTCTCACATTCTCAGAATTCCAGCAAAGTCTTAGTTCCGATGTAATGAGCCTTGGCTCGGCTCAGAAGTAGAGATCAGTTCTTACTCTTTCCCCTTCCTCTCATGGCTCCAGGGAGAGGATCGCCTTTCCTTTGCCCCTCTCACACTCGATCGATCATATCCGAGTCATGAGTTAGAATGTCCAAGTTCGTGGCTAGACCCCTTCATCTTCTCTCAACAGGGGAAGACAGTAGGCTATTCGTGAGGCAAAGGTAGTAACTGAGCCGGAGACGATGCCCTCAACACACGAGGAAGGAGCCACCAAGGCCACCCGCCGAGCCCGAGTTAACCATATAGAAACAAACAAAGTCCAGCGCTTCTAACGGGATCTGCCAGCTAAGCTTCTGGTTAATCCTTTCTCCTCTAGGCAGCTGGTGAAAGCGCTAGAGGTCTCCGCGGTTCGAACCCGGTTCGGGCCAAGGTGTAATGGGATTTTTCAGAAAGCTGGCACCGGCGGGTCCTGTTTTTATTTTTGTTATTTATCATTCGTTTATTTTATTTTATTTTATTTTTTTCTCATGTTAACTGTATTGGTATTTCTCTTCCCTGGTTGGATAATGTTCGTTCGCCGCCTACGTGTAGTTTAAGGAGCTAGCAGTTTGGCAGAGAGCTGTGACTTGTGAGCATCTGAGGTGAGGCATTCACAAGAGACTATAATGGCCAAGTCTTCAAAAGGGGCATCGGCATTTACTAACACTGCTTAGACAACTTATTCAGGGCCGGCGTTGGTAGCGAGCGCCACGACGACTCCGGGTGGTGACGGGTTGGCGGATGCCAGTTTCCTCAACTCGAGTCTGTCGAGCTATCGAGGATGCCGTCGACGGGGCATCAGGACTTCCATTGTAAAGCACCGCTTGTTACTAGTATGATTCTCATCCGAAGATGAATCACTCGTCATATTGACCGTTCCCCTCCTAACTTTCCGCCCTGTACTCTATCTCTATATACCTCTCTTCTTCCTCCAGATCCCAGTGCCCCTTCGTAAATCCCTCCAAGACCATCTCAATCTCTCCAAAGTAGTTAGCAGCCCCAACCTCCACGAAGCCCAAACTCTTAAACAAGGCCCTACTCGAGACATTCCTCTCTTTAATCTTAGCCACAAGCTTCGTCAACCGTACCTCCTCGACCTTGCCCTGGCAAAAGGCACCCGCATACTCCGCGAGTATCCTCTCCAAATTCGTCCGTATAAACGCCAGGAAAGCCCTCAGAGCTGCCCTTCCCAGCCCCTGTCCCCTCTGGGCACTCTCCGCAATCATAATGTCAACCTCCCCAAAGACTTTCCTCTCCTTTCTTCCTCCTCTCGCAGGATCAGCAGATTCTTCGGCCTCGTCATCTTCATCTTCGTTGTCATCGTACAGGAAGAAGTTGATGTCACCGAGCATCCTCTCCTCCGCATCATCCTTCCCCACCTCGGCCTTTTCCCCGCCGTTACTCGCGTCCCGGGGGAGGCAAATGATAAAGGTTAGTTTGTCGGCGCTTTGCCTCCATGAGATCTGGTTCTCGTATTCTTCTTCGAGTGAGAGCGGTTCCGAGGCTGTGAGTTCTTGGATTTCCTTTTGTTTTCCCAAAGCGCGCCATGTGTTAGTGCCCCAGCCAGAGAGTAATAAAATTTTTCATTTTTCCAATAGAATTGACCAAGAGGCACGTCTACTAACAGCATCCTTCATCCATGTGTGATACCGCGGAACATGGTGCGCTTCATATGGAACGAGAAGGACTCGAGATGTCGAGACGGCTTAAAACGGTTAGTGAGCGTGTTTCGTGTCTCGGTTGAGGGTGTGTCTCCAAGGATTGGAACATGCCTATATGTTCGTTAAACTTCATTATATCTTATTTCATCTCATTTCAGGCGGTGGCTTTTTTCGTTTTCCGATAGTCTTGGACAATGATTCCGGCGGGTTGGCTGTTTTTGGGCGTTGAAGGACTTTGAGAGATGAGATTTTAGTCTTGGTGCTCCTAAATCGGGCTCCGTTGACGGCAAAGTTACCGCTAGCAGGACGCAAGCTGAGCTAAACTCGGACTGAATAAAGGAAACAAACCGCCATTGCACCCACGATATATAAAATCTCCCTTTCTATAAGAGTGGTTACGCCAAGATAAATATCACACTAATCCTACAAATTTTTTTTCTCTTTACAAAACTTCTGCTCCCTCAGACTGCGGCGCCTCCTCACTCACCCTCTTCCCCTTCCCCCTAGACTTCTTCCCCTCCCTCTTCCCCTTCCTCGCCTTCCGATCCTCAACAAGCGGCTCCCCGTCCTCCTCAGGAAACTCATCCCCAAGCGGCGGGAACAGCGAGCCCGTCGAACCCTTGAGCTCGGCCCTCGGCTTCCGACTCATGCCGTACGTGTTATCGGCACCGCGCACGGCGTACTCGAACGTGCGCTTCTCCGGGTCGACGCCCAGGCGGTCGAGGGCCTCGGAGGCGCGCTCGGGCATGTAGGGGAGGAGCAGGATGGAGGAGATGCGGAAGGATTCGGCGAGGGTGAAGATGACGTAGCTGAGGCGGGCGAGGTTGGCGGGGTCCTGCTTTGCGGCTGCGCTGCAGAGGTTCCAGGGTTCGGTTTGAGACATGTATTTATTGGCCTTGTCGTCTTGTTAGTTTCGAGTCAAGAAAAGAGAAGAGAGAAAAGGAGGGGGGAGTGGGATGTAAGTTACCTCTGTGAGGGTATCCATGATCAAGGCCAAGGCCTTGTCCGGACGCAGAGCATCCATCTCGGCCGCCACCTTCTCACGCAGAGTCTCCAGACCAAGCGGACAAGGTTCAGTATCACTACCCTTCGCCGTCTCCGTCTGCACGGCCAACACCACGCTCCACCTCTTCGTCTTCATAACCCTCGACAACAAATTCCCAAACGTACCCGCCAAATCAGTCCTATACACCCTCGCAACCTCGCCATTCTCAAAGAGCGAGTCGTCCCTAATGGCGCCCTTCCTCATGAGGAAGAACCGAATAGTATCGGGCCCGAACCTGTCGACAGCGAAGATGGGCGATACCCCGTTGCCTGCCGACTTGGAGATTTTCCTCCCGCCGATCGTCCAGTGGGCGTGCGTCAGCAGGTGCTTGGGCAGGGGCAAGTCTAGCGCGAGGAGCAAGGCGGGCCAGTACACGCCGTGGAAGCGTAGAATGTCCTTGCCGATGACGTGCACGTCGGCCGGCCACCCCCGCTCGCGCATGATTTCGGGGGTCCAGTTCGGATAGCCCGTGTTGCTGATGTAGTTGATGAGGGCGTCGACCCACACGTAGACCGTTTGACTTGGGTCGTCCGGCACGGGGATACCCCACGAAAGCCTGTTCGACGGCCTCGAGATGGAAAGGTCCTCGAGGTTGTTCTCGACCCACGAGACGACCTCCTTCATCTTATGTTGCGGCGTGATCCAATCGGGATTCGCCCTGTAAAACTCCAACAACTGATCCCTAAACGCCGTCATCCGGAAATGATAATTCTTCTCCTCAACCCACTCCACCTCGCTCCCGCTCTCCACAGCGGACCAAATCACCTTACCCGTCTCCGGCACGAATGACCTTTGGATCATGCTCTCGGGGTAAAAGCACTCGTCGCTCACGCTATACCACCCCTTGTGCGTAGTCTCGTATATCAGATCCCTATCGTTGAGCTCTTTCCAAAACTGCTGCACGGCCGCGACGTGGTGCGCGTCGGTCGTCCGGATGAAGTCATGCTCCGAAAGGGTGAGGGAGTCGGCGATCTCGCGGAACTTTTGCGCGTAGGTGTCGCAGAAGTCCTTGGGCGGGTGGCCGGCCTTGGTGGCGGCGCGCTGGATCTTCATGCCGTGCTCGTCGGTGCCGGTACAGAGGATGGCGCGTTTGCCCTGGAGGGTGGCCCAGCGCTTGAAGACGTCGGCGAGGACCATGGAGTGTGCGTGGCCGATGTGGGGAGCTGTTGTCCGTGATGTTAGCTTTTTGGGACTAGGGTGTAGAAACATGCGAGCGTCGGGGGACCTTACAGGCATTGACGTAAAAGATGGGCGTCGTCGCGTAGAACGGTTTTTCCCCGGCCTCGATGGCGGAGGACTGGAACCGCCTCTGAAGGAAGGCATGGCGACAAGCGTTGGGGATAGAGGCTCTCGAGATTCGGGCTGGCAGGGCGCGGCTTTGATGCCTACTCAGGATCCTGCACTGAGCAGGTATCCTTAGCAACTGCATTGCGAGGTGTTGCGTCTTATATGGCTCCTAGAATGGACATTGAGAATTGTCGAAAGCTCTTCGCGCATCGGAATCTCGCGCATCCAGCCGGGTCTCGTTTTCTGGGGAAAGCTCTCGCAATATCTGGTGACTTTCTCTCTGGAGGAGCAAGTCCAGGTCCAAGCAAGTAACGATGTACTTAGTACGATGGGCTGCTGCGACTGGTCAATGCTCACATGCCTCCAAAAATTTGGAGCTAATCGATAAGAATAACAGTGTTAATTGGAAATCCTCGTCACTGTACATATTATTTCATCACTCAATTGTCCAAAGTCTCGAGGTCGCATGTCAACTGACCTATGACCCCTGAGGTCAGCCTGTTTTTGCAGGGGTTGATGGCGTCATTTCCATAGGTCGGTTGAACTGCGGAAACATCAACCGACCTATGGGTCACTGGTCAGGCGAGCCACAGAGGAACCAAAACCTTTAAAAAGCTAATCCTCAAAATTCCTTCTATTAAGAGCAATTATTCCCTAATCAATCCTAGATCAATTCACATTCCTTCTATTAAGAATAACTACTCCTTAATCAATCCTGGATTAATTCTATATAGATAATAGATAACTAATTTTTAGAGCTCTTAATATAATTAATTAGAATTAATTCTAAATCGAATTAGAAGTAATTAAAAATAAAATAAAATATATTTATAGGGGATTGATTCAGGATTAATTAAGAGTAAATTTCAAATTCGATTATACCTTCTATTTTTTTTTTCTTTTTTAGTTGCTCGTGCTAGCTTCTTTTTCAGTGGCTTGCTCCTGGTTTCTCTGTGGCTCGCCTGACCAGTGACCCATAGGTCGGTTGATGTTTCCGCAGTTCAACTGACCTATGGGAATGACGCCATCAACCCCTGCAAAAACAGGCTGACCTCAGGGGTCATAGGTCGGTTGACATGCGACCTCGTGACGCGCATTCGAAAAATTGCTCCCCCAAGCCATGGTGACAGTCAAGGTGAGCGGCCACAACGCGCGCCCAAAATGGCGATATGACTGAAGCCGGGACCACAAAGGCACAGACGCATAAAGAACTAAGCTGTAGTACAGAGCATCTTTTAGTAAGTCATTCAGGCGATCTGAGATGAGCTCTCATATCACTGTATCGCCCAGGTAGATTAGCGGTTGTTAGGCCTGCATTGTGAGTAGCTGATGCTCGAATTGAGCATAAATTTCTTGGGGAAACGAAACAGCAAGAGGAGCTTTCGGACATTTCATTTCATATTCGCGAGTGGAAGCATGAAATTACTTGACAGGAGGACCAAGCGAGGGGAAATTTTATCCTTCATACATGATTTTCCAGCCGCACTTAGGTTTGTGTGTCCTGTGTTGCTTGAGACTGCCGTGGCTGATCTGCCACGATTGTGGGTTGCCTCCCTGACATGAAGGGCAACGCGCCAACTGCATCACGTCAAGTGAGATTGTCTCCAGACTGTTAAATAGAGTTATCCTTGGCGACAGGGCATTAACAACAGAAGATGGGACGCCACCTGGAAACTGGAAACGAGGGCTTCCGATCACTGCCCCATGGTGAACTCAAATTCTCTGTCCTTGACCTTGGACACTACCCTCACCACTCCAACTTCCAACTGGCGTTGGAGGCAGGGGCAACTATATTTAGTAGCTCTAACGAAGTTCGGTAATAAACCACCCTTCTATGTATCCTCTTCCTGTCAATTTCACTGGGTGGGTATACGCATTGTTCATATTGGTTGGTCTAACTGTAGTACGACGAAATAATAGTAGTCTCTCCAAAAAGCCCTAAGAAGGATAAAAGAGAACATGGTAAGATTTTCCAGGGGCCTCGTGTGTGCGGCAAAGCTGTCGATATTTCCAATGTCCCCTCCCCTCACCAACCTCGAGCATTGATGCTTGCGAGGTGTGCATACTCTCAACCCATCACCAGTCCAGCTAAAACAGCCATGGCAACACACACAGTTGCTGTAAATGAACAGCTCCCTGCGGAAGCTGCTGAGTCGCCGTCCGAGCTCTGGGAAGTCGGCGTTGTAATGTTGTACGACAATGAAACGTTTCTATCGGAAGTAAATGCCCAGAGCGAGATACCAAAAGCCTCTTCAGAAATCTGAAATGTCACTGTATGAGCCTGGGAATCCGCGCTCAATCCACGCTCTAGTTCGGCGATTGTTTCGCCTTGGGCATCTATCACGCGGACTTCACTGAATGTGCCCGCGCCGACGTTGAGCGTGTAGTTGTAACTGTCATTAATGTTCGTTAACCCCTGTTCTACTCTTCACTGTCCGTTTTCTCTCTCGACTTCTTCAAATGGACTCATCACTCACGTTCCGGCATCGACATCACCAAGATAGAGCATCAAAGCATTCTTTCCATCGTCGGTAAAGTTGTGGAAGAAATCATCTGAGTTTTCGTTAGAGGAAGAAAGCGCACCGATACGACATCGCTGGAGTAAGGGATCCATACCTTCGTTAAGGGTGCTTCCTGGGAGTTCATCTCTCTTTGTTTGCCCTCGTCCGCACTGCGTCGACTTGGTGGGCCTTCCCTTCGCGCAATCCCATCCCGTTACTTCAATAATGTAGTCATTTCCAGCACCAACCCTTCGACTTAGTTGGTTTATCTTGCCCCCTTGGTAGCTGTTTTGCCAGCCCGGAATGCAGATACTAGTACCCGATCCGGGTTTTCCTCCTTGGGCAGAGTTGGCTTTCAGATTGGTTTTAGCAGGTGATTGAGCACTCGGGAAAGAAAGTTGTGAGAGAAGCAGAGACGTACCGAAAGGGAACTCATCACAGGTCAAGTGGAATGGGTCATGCTTAATCGACGCGATCGGGCGGGTCATGTAGTTTGCGTAGGGGTTGCAGAGCATATTTGGTTGTGCTGGATCACACTCAACATCTTGGGAGGCTGCATACCCGGTAAAAAAGAAAAGTATGTCAGAGTCGAATAGTGCGACGGTGATGACCATAGCTGGCGGCATATCATATCGGATGATCTTTTATCAGGTAAAGCTTACCGCAGTACTTCTGCGAATCGACATCGGGACACATGTTCTTGCGGTTTGTCGTGGCATCTGATGGTTTGTAGGTGAGTCTCATCTGGTTCGTGACGCAATGTTGATTCTTCTTCATTCCTGTTTCAGTTTTAGTACATGACGGATCAAGAATATGATCTATACTCCTTCCTCATGCCAGTTGTTTCCATACCTTGACACATGCTGTTCATCAACTGGACGAGAAAACTCTTAGCCCTGAACTTTTTATAACTAGAACAAGTTTTGTGTTTGGGACACTCTTGTGGGCGGAATAAGATGGGCAAGATAATACCTCTCGGTTATCGAGGCAAACCTTTCCGACACGCGAGTTCGGAATGGTGGTTTCTCTCTCAACGTACTCGACCGTGAATGTGGGCAGGTTCTGACGCTTGTCAATACGACAGGCCGTGGCTGTTTCCGTGGCAGTTATTTTGGAGCTCAAGATGGATGTTTTTGTTGTTAATTGACTTGTGGTTCGAGTTATTTCACGAGGTCGCTCACAGTAGCCCATTTGGCTGGAGCACCTCGATCCTGAAGGACAGCCTAGAGGACGGTATTAACGTCAGCGCGAGTGTTTGTCTTTTTTGAGTATTGATGTGTCTTCTGCCTGAAGAGACTGGATCTGCCGAAAATGTAATAGTGCGTCATGGACTCACAGCCACCCGCGCAGTTGAGTTCGCCCGTCCTGCAGCATCCCCGCGCGCCACCAATCTCGTTGCACTTGTATCCAGATTGACAGACGTACGACGAGCAGCAAACGGTCCCAGCTTCCGCACAAGCTTTACCTCCGCATGTCTGGGCTGTTTTAGGACAGCACTTGTTGGGGAAATCTGACCGACAATTGGAATCAATAGGACAGCAGCCAGGTCCGGTACACTGTTGCCACCGTCAGTCTTGCAAAACCATTTGACTTTTTTTTTTCTTTTTGGTTCATCGCCAGGAGTGGGCATGGAGGAAACATCATAATGCTTAATGCTTACACAATTCGTCCCCGCCGGGCAGCATGATGTGGCGCTACACATCACAGGGTATGGGCATTGCGATTGTCGACCAAAAAGATGACCCACTTCGCTCAGCTCTGGGCTTCCAAACAGAGCAGCCAGAGAGAGGGTGCCGTCCACTTCCTCCCCGCCATTCGCCTTGAAAATTTCCCAGTTCTCAGCTGCCGTCGTCCCCGTATCTGGAAACTGCTGGCCGTGGGCTGCTATGCAGACGGCTGCCAACAGGATCAAATTCAGCAGTAATGATGAAGGCATTGCGTTCTTGGGCAGAGTCGGGGCTAGGCTCAAGAAAAAGGATGACACAAATATCAATGATGTTGGGGGATCACTGACGAGCAGGACAAAATACCAAGTTTGGTTCGGATTCTCGAACGATGTTTGTTGGTATTTCTGGATTTAAGTAGAGGGCAGCCTTGCCGATCTTTTCTGTATCTCTTTGCACTAGACATCGCCTCCAGGAACTGCAACACAGGGACCCTAAGAGCTAAAATAAGAGATAGCATTACTTTATAGGTGTTGTCTTCTACTTGGAATGCTGGCAATTACATCGTACCACGATGGGTTCCGAACGACCAACTTGCGGAGAGGAATAAGACGGTTGAAATGGTCTCCGGCTGCTCCAATCAACAACCAGGCCGTCATGATCATCGCCGGAACTGGCTAGTCTCGTGGGCAATCGCTGGCAATCTCAATGCTACCTTCGGTTTTTCAACCACCATTTCGAGGACTCAGCCACATCACCAGACTTTGCTCAGCAAAATATCGAACCAGGCGTCCTTGCACCCCATCGGTTGGAATATTTTCGATATTGCAGGACTGGCCAGGCGTTTTTCTCGTCCGTGTGGCTTGTCCCTTCATGTTGACATGAGAAATACGACTGTCACAAGTGTATGATAACTGATGACAAGGAGAGATGCCTACACGATATTATAGGAAATGCTTATTCAATTTATTGCACTCTATTATTCTCTGCGATCCAGGATCTTCACTTGTAAATACTGCCACTCAGTTTCCTATGCACAAAACTGCGCCCCGTGCCAAACAGGGAGTCCAAAAACGGCATAATAGGAGGGGTTAGCCCGGAGTGCCTGTTCGCTCCATGTCCACAAGGTCAGATCCGAAATCGGTCTCCGCATCCCAGAGATCTTCGGTATCAAAATCGGACAAATCCTCTCCAAAATCTGAATCGATATCGAGCTCCGGGAGAGGACTGGTCGATTGATCTTGATTCGCTGGCTGCGCCGTAGCCTGAGTTAGAGGATTCCCCGCGGCGCCTTCGTGAGAAGGACTTTGTTACAGGTTCCTCCGGCGTCAAGGGCGCCGTCGGGGTATCGTTGATACTAGAATGAGTACTCGTGCCTTGGAAGTCGATCATTAAAACCAGAAGCCACATAATCACGGGATTGTTTTTGCATACTATACGTACCGGATGTCAATGGTGTCCCTTCGGCTAGTCCGTCTGAGAAGAGAGACGGATCCGAGACCATTGGGCCAGTAGTTGCCGGCAACACGTCAGTGATCAATTGCTGCGTCGATGAAGTATTATCGTCGGCTGAACGAATATCCGCGCCACCACGCGAATGGACACCAGCATCAACCGGGCGCAACAGAAAGGCGATTTTGACGAGATCCTCAAATGATACATCCAGAATTTCAGCAGCGAGATGAATGATGGCTCTCTGAGTAGTAGTCCACTCGCGGTAAAGGCCACTCGTGCCCTGCTCCCTAGACTGGGCTCTCGGGCGCATGATGGGCGCGACTTGCAACAAGTCGTGGAGCGAGACCTTCATGATATCCGCAGCGTGTTCAACCACACGCCTCTAGTCGGCGTCCATTCGATGTACGGCGTGACGACTGGAACTTGGCGTTGCTGCCACAGGTGCAGGGTCCACTATTCTTGTCATTTGCGCGGGGCTTTGCTCAGGACCTGGGGGCAAGATAGGGGTTTGGTCTAAAGGATCCTTGATTGAGAGAATAATTAGCTGAAGTAAACAAGAATTGAAAGACGAGAGAGAGGACGGGCGGTGGTTGGGTAGATGGGTGGCGATTCAAATATAGACTGTGGAGATCCGTGGGTAGAGCCTTCCTCGAAGTTAATCCTGCCCTTCGCGCTCAACTTCAAGTTCACAGGCTTCAGTTTCCTGATTTGAAATGAGTGAGGCCTAAAGTAGAAGTCGCAAGGCAGAACACATATTCACTGGGGCATTCGCACCCTTTCCTTTCTCTCCCTTCCGCTCCCTTGCACTTTCTCCTTCCAGTCCCTTTCTCGTCCACCACTACCCGACACCCTCACACAATCTTTTCAATACCATACCACGTTAGCAGCCATGCCTGACGTAGCCTCCAAAGCGCCAATGTCCTTTCTGGACGTCGTGAATGAATGCGACAAGTAAGGATCTCTAATGTCCAGCTGTCCTTGCCTCCGTCCGTGTCATGTACTGACCCTGTTCTCTACTCCAGTTTCCCGCTTCCTCAGCGCGACCTGAAGAAGTACACAGAAGCAGTCAACAGCTACTATCACCTCATCGTTCCATATCGTTCCATTTGTCAGCTCGCGTAGCGTCGGGTTCGTTGTGCCCTCAGTCGCCACTGCCTTTCGTAATCAACTCGGCTGGCGCCTCGACGAGTCCACCACTCCCAAGACCCTCGCTCTGGTTGGGGGCAACAATCCATCTTCGAGATCAGCCGTCGTTGAAAAGACTCTCCTCAAGATCCGCGACGAAAAAAAGTTCGTCATTCTGTCCCGATGGCGTAACGAAAGGAAGCCGGTTTACGGCCCCGCCGGTCAGCTGCTCTTCGCCGTTGAGCGAGCTGCCACCCCACTTCTTGGAGTCGTGACCTACGGCATCCACATGACCGCCTTCACCGGATCGGAGTCCGGCCAGACCAAGATCTGGCTCCAAAGGCGTTCCAAAACACCGCCTTCTACCCTGGCCTTCTCGACAACACCGTCGCTGGCGGTATTTCCGTAGGAGAGGAGCCCAACGACGCCGCCGTCCACGAGGGTTTCGAAGAAGCTTCTATACCTGAATCTCTCGTGCGTCCCAATATAAAGCCGTGTGGTACTCTGACTTGCATGCATTTACGTGGCGATACAGCCATCGGAGAGGTTGGATTGGTCCAACCCATCGTCGAGTACCTGTTCGAACTTGAACTGCCCGCTGGCTTTGTGCCCAAACCTCACGACCACGAAGCCGAATCGTTTAAGCTGTTAGATGTTGACGAGATCAAGGCTGCCCTACTCGAAGGTACGTGCCGCTTTTTTCAGTATAATCAATTTCTTCTGCCAGCATTATTTCCTTTTCCCAGGACAGACTGAAAGAATGCTGACAGTCTCTTTCTTCTTCGGCAAGGCCAATTTAAACCTAGTTATGCTCTTGTTATGCTGGATTTCCTAGTCCGGCATGGCTTCATACATGATGCAAATGTTCCCCGTTTCGCCGAGCTCACAACGAGGCTACACCGCGTCCTCGAATTCCAGATCGTGTATGACAAGCTCTCTCTATTCCATTCTTTCGTTCACTATCACTGACAGCAAAGTAGTTCGGGGCCCGCGCATAAAGCTAGGATTTAATGGAGCTCGGGAAGGGGGGCCGCGGCAAACTGCAGCTTCCGCAAACGGGTAGCTTTCTCCTGCCTTGGTATTGCCTATACATTGGTGTGCCTAGCCTGAGAGAGGTCGTGGCATGTAGTGTAATGGCCTTCGTGGACGTTGCCATAGCAGAAAGGGCCGAAGCATCGACAACTTTACTGAACATTAGTCCGCTTATAAACTTTAGCGAAATATAAAGTTTACTTAAGAAGATGCTAGCTTCTATGCAATCCCAGTGAAAATATGCTGTTCGGCAATCCAATCTGCCGTAGCAAATTGCTAAAATCGCAAGATGATCTTGTTTCCAAAATTGAAGAGGGCGTACTATATATAGGTATAGTATACCCCTACAGTCACCGCGTCCGCTATGCAAGCAAGGAGACGGCGATAAAAGACACGGCTCGTTGGTTTTGTAACAGTATCGCAGGTATACATTATCTTATTCTACTAAGAGTAGGTAGACCTCGTCAAGGTCCTGAGCCATTATGTACAAAGGAGCAGGCTCTAGATTTAAGACGACTTTAAGATGGTATTAAGGGTTTAGTTTATAATTTTCTTTATTTATCTAGAAATAGATTTAGAGTACTTCTTATTTCTTATCCTAGACTTCCCTCGGCAAAACATCGAACCAGGCGTCCTTGGGCCACATTACGCAAATAGTTGTATTATTTCGATATTGCAGGACTGGCCAGACATTTTCCTCGTCCGTCCATGCAGCTTGTCCTTTCGTATTGACATGAGAAAAACGGTGGAGCGACTGTCGCAAGTGTATCCCAAAGAGAGATGCCTACACGATATCATACCAAATATTTGTTCAATTCGTTAATGCATTTTTCTTGCACTCTATCCCTCTGCTATTCAAGATATTTACGGTAAACATTGCCACTCAGTTTCCTATCTCATAGATCTAGAGGTCCGCTGTCGAACCACCATACGAGTGAATGGTCTGGTCCGCACACCCTGCAGGCGTTTGGTACAGGTAGGCGCCAGTATTAATGAACAGCTGCTGGCCCTCACAGACATACCACGCCGCCTCGTTCTGCCGCGAAATATCGTCGGCATGCCACGTGAGAGTATCGCCCTGGAAGGCGAACTTGCCGTAGCTGTTCGGCGTCGCATCGAACCACGTCTCCAAAACCCTCTGCGTCTTGTCGGACGGGTTCTCGACGTGCATGTACAATGTCGTGGACCCGGTATTGAAGACTAGCTGCCCGTTGACGATGTTGAATTGGCCAGCGTTGGCACCATCGTCGAGGTATGCGGCGGAGGGTGAACCGGCCGGCTTCGACTGGAGGTACTTGTGGTAATTGGGCTCGGCGACGGCACGGATCCAGTACCATCCGCTGACAAGGGTCGGTCCGGCGGAGGAGCCAGTTCCGGTCCGTGTGCTCGTCTGGAGAGTAGAGCGGGAGCTAGAGACAGTACCAGGGGTTGTGGTCACGCCGGCAGAGGAAGACTTGGATGTGGAGGTGGTTGAGGGCGTTGTCGGAGCCGCACCCGGCACGCATTGGTAGTACCAGTCACTGCACACTATCGTCAGCTGAGTTGACCCTCTTAGAGCGAGCTATGCTTGAAGGGCGAGTGAAAATGGGGGGAAAAATCTAGAGAGGAGAAGTGCTGACTTCAGGTGGGTGCAGGTATATCCAGATCCACAAGCAGTCGCACCAGTCCAGCCGTTTCCACCGCACTGACCCCAGGGCGTCTGCGTCTGGGCAGCCACGAAGGACGCGAAGATTGGGAGGGAAATAGAGCTTCGGAGATGCATTGTGCGTTCTTGGTTTGTTGAAGCTTGGGTTATAGGGCCTCTAGATTTGATAACTCTTAACGACGTCAGCCAGTCGTCTAACCAAGAGCCAAGGCATCCTTTTTATAGTCCTTGGCACCGACTCAGCGGACAAGCTCTTTAGCAGTGTTCCGATGACAGGATACACCTCAGCACTTTGTAATCGATACAATCGGCAACATGTTGCTCCAACAGCACATACAAGAGAGGTGCACATCATGTGGAGAAAATTGGCTCCGCGTATCGTGAAATTTTTCCATTCCATGGAACGTTGCCATTATCCCGAAAATCGACGACGATGGGATCCGTCTAAATTGAGGCGAGATTGGTCCCGGGCCGAAAAGTCGAGATGCTTGTCGGTGTCTGGTGGAAATTGAAAAGACTGGCGATGTTTTAGAATTTAGATGCACCAATCATCATTTTCCGGACTGGGGTCAAGTTTTCCACATTTAACCTTGTAGGGGTATTTCTCGACCCGATTCTGGGAAGGGAATTTAAGCCAAGGCGCCCCTCGCCCTTCGACCTATATAGGTTTCCCAGATATCACCAGCTGGGCTCACAAATGGTGGTGCTCCTGCGCTAAGGGCAAAAAAAAAAAGAGAAGGAAAAAAAGAAATATGATAAGAGTGAGATTCGAACTCACGCCCAGTTTCCTGGACCAGGAATTACTTGTTAAGGTAACCTTAACCTGGCGCCTTAGACCGCTCGGCCATCTTACCTGTTTTTGTTCCACTTGGTGTCGAACTGGGCCTAGAGTGGTTAGTTCGTCGCGGAGCCATGTTTCGTCAACCGATGCGCCATTGTCGAAGGTGTCTTCCAATTTCATTGGGTGGCTGACAATGCTAGTAAAATCCCAAGGATATTGCATTCTGGGCAGTCTAGCGTCTATCTATATATTACAACCGACTCAGCTCCAAGCCAATCCGACGTGTCCTAGTTCTTACAGGTGGTAATCATCTGGCTTGACCGCTCTGACTCCCCGTCTCTCCCAAACACTCTCGATCTTCATATCCTCCGCGCCATCCTCTTTCATGTTGATAAACGGTTCGGTAGCTCCGCTGGCCGTCGCCGGGTTCCTGAAAATCATATTCTTTTTCTAGTTTACTTGTTAGCATTGCCGCGGATGTAGGTAGGCCCACTACAATACGGGGCTGAATTCACTTACCAGACCCAAGGTCAAGTGGATCGCTGGAGGGTTTATTTGGAGCTTTTCACTTGGTTCGTGTCCTTCAATCATGGCAAAGATATTTTTTGCCACAACTTCGGCCTGGGCCATTCCAGGCCGTGCCGCCTTGTGCGCTCCGGTATCAGCGATATCGCCAGCAGCGAAGATGTTGGGATAGGCTGGGTCCTTCAGCTGGAGAGTTGGCTGGACGTTGAGGAATCCGTTCGCAGGGTTTATGATGGGTGTTTCGGTCGTAGGTTCTAAAGTCTCTACGAACTGGTTGTTTGGGGTCTGGCCAGTGGCCGGAATGACGAGGTCGGCCGGGATTCTCCTGGAGTCTTTCAACTCGAGCTCGAAAGGTGTTCCATCACTCGGGAACCCTCCCTCGGGAACAACAGCGCGTACCCCGGTTATTACCCTGCGAATATCAATGTCAGCACTTGCCATATCCAGAGACAGCCTTGAACGAGCTGCAACTTACTTCACTCCAAGCTCGTCAAACCGATCCCTAATAACCTTATCCATCTTGGGATGGTAGAGCTGCATGAGCCTGTCCCGAGAGTGGATGAGAGTAACATCTTTCTCCGGGTAGACCTCCTTCAAGTCTGTGGCCATTTGAACTCCAACCGCTCCTCCGCCCACTATAACGATCTTAGACGCCCTCTTCACCTGTTGTTGGTACGACCTCAGGTAGTCGACAGATAGCGCCTTTTCGTCGTGCTCCATAGTTCCCGGTGGTTGGAGTCGTGTGCCCGTGGTGATGACTAGATAATCAAAAGGCACTTTTTTGGAGCCTTGCCAATCTCTATCTAAGAGTACATAGTCTGGTTGTAGGGATATGGCTCGGGCCTTGATAACGGAGTGGCGAGAGGGCTCCGGGGATGCCGCAAAGGCCGCTGAATAGGGGATGAAGGCTTTGTGCTCATGATTCGATACAATTGAAAATCGAGGCTCCAAAAGCGTCAGTAGGTTCAAAATTATCAGAGAGGAGGAGGACGAGTAACCTCTAAAATGACGTACAAATGCGAAGAGATGGTGAAAATGGCTATGAGGTTCGACCAAAAGAACCTGGACAGAAATGTCGACGATTAGCCTAATGATCTCAACCAGACCAATGTTTACTCTGGAAGATTACCCGATGTGTGACAGGGAGAATATTGACAAGTTCTTTGACGGCTGCCTAAGACAGAAAGTCAGTATTGAATTCCAGAGCCAGGTAGGTCCCAGTGCAGATCGATCCAGGCTTACCAGTCCGACGTACGAACCGCCAATTACGACGACATTCTTGAGTCCCGCGATCATGATAGCTTTTACCTCAACGTCAGCCTGAAGACTCGTGTGTGCTCGGAAGAAGGGAACAGTGGATTATCAAGACCGGTATTGAGGCAGAGATGAAACTGAACACGGTGAGACGGTGAACCATCGCTTTATTACACGACCGAACCATCGCGCCATACGGGTATGCGGAGAGAGGAAGACGTAGCACTCCCCCTTGCGAACTCGGCCTCAGCTCTCGCCAGCTCGAAGGTCTCGAACCAATCGGATGGTCGGCTCTCGGCGTTAGGGGAGTCCAGGAGCGCCGCCGGGTCTAGTGTCGGCAAATTCAGCTCGAGATCGGAGATTGATAAGCAAATCCTGGGAAATTTGGCCGGACTTTTGCAAAATAATGCGACCGGGACGTACTTCGTAGATTATCTAAAATCCCTCTCGGCTTGTGGCCCACCGGGGGGAGCGAACTTCTATGTATGGACGAAGGAGTCTTATTCGGCAACATCATGCCAAGGTGGGGAGAACAAAAAAGATGGTTGGTTCGGGAAACCCTGAGCGGCCGAACGACGCTATTAGGATTTAATTCCTAATCGCGAATACACCGAGTCCCTGCCTGAAGCGGTTTTGTGTGTGTGCGTGCGTCAGTTGCGCTCGGCATTCCGACGTCGCGGCCCCTCCCCCACCGGAACCTAAGAGTAGGACTGAGACATCATGAGAGCTAGGAATAGTATTAGAGTATACTATTTTGGGGCGTGCATTTGCTCTCTCTGCTTGAGCCTTGTCCCAATCGAATATTTACCTTGGGTTCCCTTCATCTCTCCCGCTTGCCCTGGCCACTGCTGCTTTCACCCCGTTTGTCGGTGTCGCCACGGAGGAGGGCATTTTCCAACCCGACAAAATATTAATGGCCTCTTCACGCCTTTGTGATGGGATTCATCAGATATTATCAGACAGCCCGCTTAGCACCTCGTTCAATCGAACTCATGATCCATGCTTAGGGCGGTGAATATTGCATGTGCAGGATTTGCAATTTGGAGGGGGAGCGATGCTCGGGCGAGAGTGCTCTGACAGCAACACGATGTCCTTTAATTGAAGAGAGCAGTTTGACTTTCCGGCTTCCAAAGTACCACCATTCCACACCCGAACTCGAAAATCACTAATAGAAGGGCTTAGAGCTAGTAAAGGACTAGGGGCTATGCGTCAAGCTCGCTTCGTGGTTGCTTTGTGGTCGACGGGTATTAGGAGGGTTTTATTTCTATGCGAACGCAATAATTGTGCGAATCGAGTTCGCCCAATTGTTGATACAATAATACTATACAGGCCCGAGTTATCCTCTCTCAGGAGTCTTAAAGAAGAAAAAAACCCCGATTTACCGTGCAACGCGCTTTCGCTGCACTTTCTTTAGCTCTGCGAACTCCCTCATCTCTTCAGTCAAAGCCGCTCTCTTGTTTGCCTTTTCTTCAATTCTCTGTTGTCGATACGCCTCTGTCCTTTCGGCATTCCGTTGTTCCCTCTCCTCGAGCGACATACGCTCTGGCTCCGGGGCAGAACGCCGTCTGCGGCGGGTAGGGGTATCGGAATCATGATCATCCTCCTTCTCGTTCTCGTCCTCCTGCGTCTTTTTCTTCTTCTTCTTCTTCTTCTCCTCCTCCTTCTTTCTATCGCATTCCTCCGCGATCGACGCAATGAACTCATCATAGACCCTCTTTTCCACAAGCTCACCCTTTCCGGAAGCCTTCATCGAGTCATTGAGCCGACGCTGCCTTTCATGTCTGTTGCGCAGTTGTCGGGATACTGGTAAGCCGAGGATGTCAATCTCGCAGCGGGTGCCATCTCGGAGCTTCAACTTCGCCCTAGACTTCCCAGCAAGGGCAACCACCCTACTGACGGGATAGTTGTTGATACGATGTCCCCAAGCTTCGTCTTCAAATGTAGATGGCGGCAGCCTAAGCTGCTCAGTGATAGCGGTGGAAACGTGAACGCAGAAGTTGTACCTGAAACCCCGACACATCTCCTTCATAACCCTTTCGAGTTCGGTCTCGTCGTCTATTTCGAGCAAAGTCTGCATGGGCACAGGCCATGACGCCTTGAACACTATGGTAGGAGGTTCGTATTGGTTACAGCCCGCGACCCGCGCAGAGTAACTGCTATATTCTCTTTCCAACAGTGCCCCTAGTTCAAACGATTCGAGGTGAGGGAGCCTGTACGGAATCCTCAAGATCTTGTGGCCATGCTCGCTGAAATATTCGCGCTGAACCACCAGGGTTCGAAGGTTGCTGCATTCAAAGATGGCGTTCCAGAAGGGATCAAACCTGCCAGACGACTCCGGTTTGAAGTCGCGGCTAACTATGACAAGATGGTGAATCATCAGCAGTGTCTCCTCGGAGAGCACTTTGTTGACACCAAGGAGGAACTCCGCATTATCTCCGACCATGAAAGTATTGTGGGACCAGAGGAAAGGGCTTGCTTCTTCGTAGACGGTCCGGCAGCATCCCAGAAGCCCAAGACCCAGTCTCCGAGCGCAGGTACATTGAACGTGGTAAGCCCAAACATTTTTTTTCACTCGCGTTCGGTATGACAGCGAGTAAGGCGGTCGTTCAACCATGGTGACGCTCAGGGAGCAGTACTGACAGAAAGCGTGGTGGCGCTTTTCCCATCGTGGAGGCTCGACGAGAGCGTGGTAGTAGATGAGGTCCCGGATCTCACGAGGAAGGTCGAGAAGCCGCGAGGGTCCCCTGATGTCTCTTTCTGTAACGGCGACTGTGATACCGTTGGGGTTTGTCGGCGGAATGATCGTAATGACCGGGGCGGCCATGGCCGAAGGTACTCTGAATTGTGGACTCAGTCGGAGATTATCAGGCGGGATTCTGGGGTTACCATAACCCTCCTTCTTTGATTTACCTTTGCTCGCGGGTTGAAGCTTAATCAAGTACCTGGGAAGATGAAAAACGCGGGACAAGCAAATCGGGCTTTATTAAATACAAATTGGGGTCGGAGTTGAAACGAGTTGATTGCACGAAAGTCTAATGAGCAGGAGCCCGAACTCTGACGAGTCGCGGGGCGTTGACTCACTTGCCGACGATTGGGCATGGGGGTGCTCAGCCCCCAACTCCTTGGCGACACAGATTCTAGGCAGCAAAAGTCGACAAAGCCTCAGCTCAGCCGCAACCTGTGGAGACGAACAAAGCTTGAGGCAACGAACTAGGATCAGAGAGGGAAACTAGCGAGGACCAGCAAGACAAACATATGACACGAGCCTGGTGATGTCTGAGGTTTGGCATCAGCCCGGAATTTTAAGCGTTAAAGACCACTCGTCGACCAAGAAGAAGCACTAATGCGGCGTGATGAGCGACAGAAAGACAGATAGGTACCTTTATACTTGTGTAGATAATAAATAAATACACAAGCGTACTCAAGCTGTCAGTCAATCCTTTTTCAAAAAGAAAATAATTTACAAAGGTAATAGAAGCAGTAAATTTAAAAAGTCTCAACGTTTCCTGCGGAAAAGAAGAAAAAAATGGCTGGGGGAAGATAGCAAAAAGGCTCGGCTCCGGGATCGAACGCATCACCTACGAAAACAATCCGGGGTCGTTTTCTACCCTATTGAGTCGTCTGGTTTTGGCCAGCCAGACCACCTTGAGTGCAGACTCACTTGAACAACTCGGCTGGTAGGTTTGCCCTATCCCCTCATATTAAAGCTATGTGGGAGTTGATTTCGGGTGGCGGGGACGAAGAAAGGAGGGATGGGGACGGCTGCTCCTTCCCTCCACACATTCTAAAATGGAGTCATGCGATTTTCGGAGGGGTTTGATATCGATACTTGTAGACTCTCAAACACGCGCCGAAGGCTAAGACAACATCAACAGCGAAATATGGTCACTTCTCATGACTTACAGGGTCGGGAACGTTGATTTGAGGGATCTCTGAGTGCTCCTACCTCTTCTCAAAGTCAAGAAGCTATTGGAAGATATATAACAGGGGCGATTGGAACCATCGAGACAGCGACTGCTCCGCAGTAATAGTGGCTATATCACTTCCAAAAGGTGTAGCTGATTCACCCTCTAGAAGCATCCTGAATCCTGAGTCCTGACGGCTAGTAAGGGTTTGACTGCTTGTAGAAGGTAGCGAGGTACATCGACACACGCTATATCGAACTTAAAATAAATAGATAAATATATATAAAAGCTGGACCGTAGTAATCGAGTTGAGACCTGCCACTGACGACTTCCTTTCTCAAATTTATATTCTTAGGAACCTTAAGCTCAGCCAAGCGGTGTCCAACCTCGCGGCAAAGAAAAGCTGCCTGCCTGCACCACTGCGCAAATCGCCATTAGCTAGGTAGTCGCCCTCTCTAAGGCTTCGGGCGTGCCGAGGGTTGTCCTGACTCCGGGTGCCACCACAGTAGACAAGGTGTAGGCGAATGCCAAGGTTGTGGAGCTAACAGAGAGGGGAATGGAAGAGATCAACAGGATTCTGGCCCGACCCATTGTCAAATGCGATAGATATTCAGTATCTTGATAGCTAATTAGATCCACGGTTGTGGGATTGTGCAGGTTGCATGACGGCTTCTTATTTCCATTGCGGAGAGGTGAATTTTCTATCGTCACGTTCCTTCATATTAACTTCTGCTACGACTTGTATGCTGGAACCCACCTAGTAAAAGATATCCCGGCTGTAAGTAATCATACTACGTTGCAGATTCACATTGAGTGACGAAAATTAGTCACAGCAGTCCATCGTCTAGAGGATTTTGAAATGCTAGAATAAAAGTAGAAACAAGAACAAAATGGTTAGTTACAAAGATGCCTTTTGCCGATCCCCTAGTCTCCTGAGTCTCGAGGCGAAACTTCCATCAAACAAAGGTTGATTGGGATACCTGCTACGACAACAAAAATCACAAAGACTCCCAGAACTATTCGCTGTCATCTGAACATTCCTGCCATTCGAGTGTTAGCCCTTGTATATACTGGTCTTTCTGGCTGCTCCCGAGGGAGAGAGAGCCAGAGGCGTCCCGGCTGGTAGGTTTCAACTGGACCCTCAAGGTTACCTTGAGGAGCGACCACTCCGTTCCACAATGCGTAAACAAGTTTTCCTCCTCGGCGAAGTGGATCGAACGCGAAAATGCCTGACCCGCAGCCCAAGCTCCGCCTCCTTCTATTTCATCGGTGCCGATGACAGTTTCTTCCTCCAACAAGTTAACGTAGGAATCAGCAAACAGGCGGGCCGTTACGCCATCCCCAAGAGTGAGAAACCCGTCAAACAGAGCTTCCGTCACCCGAAGTTTGACGTCCGGTGGGTGAGTAACGAAAATGCTGAGCTGGCAGTTTACCTGGCCTTTCGTGGGAGGGTTGATATGTGGCCCGACGGAGGCGTCGAATTTGTTCAGTTGAAAAGTGATGGTCTAGAGTTACCAGCGGCTTAGCCGAGTATGGCCGGGCAAGTACGTGCTGAGAAAAGGGGGCATTTACATTTGTATCTGACGACAGCTGAGGCTGCAATAGCGCATCATTTTCTGGGAAGGGGCAGCCGTTTCCACTGAAAGTTGCGTTGAAGATCTGCCGCTCGCCTGCGAAGCCAGCCAGGGCCAGACTCGAGGTGTGAATGAGAAGGAATAGGAAAGTAGAGAAGGACATTTTGGAAACGCTGGAAAGGAGTGAGTGTCGGCTGAAAAGTTGGAACGTCTGGTTTGCGTGTAGATTCGTAGATTCAGGGGACGATGGTGGAAGTCTGCGATGGGATCATGGAACTTGGAGCTTGCCACTATCCCCAAGCGATATATATACCCGTGGACAACGGGCATGATCGGTACATAGCATTTTTTAGGAACGAAATTTGATCACCAGGCGCTATTCATAGGACAATGCCAATATACGATTCCAAAGGGCGAAATTCAAGCACTATATTTTCCGGGCTGTTATTGGTAACAAAATTCAAATAGGCAGAATCCTTATTCCAACGGAACTCTGAGAATCTGCTTTTTATAGCAACATTCATTACAACCAGGTCTCACGAGATTGCGCCGCGACCTTATTTCTTCTAATTTGCATTGCAATTTATAGAAGACCCTCCGGAACCGGCAGCTGGGACAGCACGTGCGGAGAATCTGTATTGCTCGGTGATACCTAACACGGGACCATCTGAAAAGCCTGAGACTAAGACATACTTGAGTCCGTATCTATCCTCTACGAGCGAAGCGTCGGAAGGATCTTGGTTGCAAGGTAGATGGTGCTCGACAGAGCCAACTTTCAATGGGCCATTCCTCTGTGAGAAAGCATCGGAACAGCTAATACTGAGCGATGAGCCTATAAGTTCCTCCGGCGAAGAGAATATGTCGCCTCGTCCGCCCGGGACTTTTTTGAACGGATCGATTTTTCAGGAGGGTCCCTACATGTTCAAGCACGGGGACTACTTCTATCTCTTTGTCTCCAAGGGCTCATGCTGCTGCCACGACAGGAATCGCCCCGCTCCTAGTAAGGGTATAGGATCGCCGTCTGTAGGTCTACCGCTGCTACCGGCGACTTCGTCGACAAGAGTCGCAAGCTTTGTATGGAAGGCGGGGGTGCGGTGGTGCTTGAGAGTCATAATTGGGTTTACGGACCAGGCGTCCAGGGCGTGGATGACCACCCAAAGCTAGAGCCGCTAAGGGCGTTTGCTTACCCAGTACTACATCCGTTCGGTGGCTGATTGATTTTAGCAGATCTTATACTACCACCATGTTCGATACCCGAGTTGGCTATGCTGACGGCCAGAAGTGATTTGGATGGAATAAAATTGACTATTCAAGTAGTTTGCCTATTGTCTAAGTAGAATGCCCTCAATATGCGAGGCTGCGTGTACAGGGACGAACCTTCTTGGTCAATGCCGGCGTTCCGGGCCCAGGTGCTTCATGGCCCTACTTTTGGATTGACTGTCCTCGAGATATGCAGCGAAATGAGTATGCAAGTCGAATCATGCCTCGTCTGCTCCGTGGTCCCAATCAGTTGGGCCGAAATGACGGCGCACGGATTGCGCCATATTATCCCGTGCTACCAACGATCGTTCCCGTCGGCACTGTGTCTTCCTCTCCTACGAGATATGTTTTCAATTATTACTGCTACACTAAGAGAGCTGCTCTTCATAGGGTAGGCACCACAGTGGACTTCCCAAGAATAGTTCTCCCCATATATATTTATATGGATTAATACAAGAGGTTTAGGGGATTTCATAATTTAATTACGGCATATAAAATGTAACGGCCTCGATAAAGAGTTCAAAAAAAAAAAAAAAAGGGAAAACCGCCTTGCTAACGGAAACCGGTCGGATATATGATTATCAGCCACTGTCGCGAACGCGTGACAACCCGTTACTGTCTAGCTGTCTACAACGTGTGAGGGTCCTCCTAGAAAAAACGGTCGTTTTCGGCGAGGGCGTCTGTCTAAGCCTTTCCCCATGGCGCCGGCTGTGACCATCGAGTTCACTACCAATCGGCTCTATTAGCTGTTAACAAGAAAACCGGACCTGCCACTGAACTAAGCGAATGTATTGCTGCTTCTCCTTCCCTCCTATACTAAGGCGTCAACCACAAACACCTCCGCACCACGCTCTTTAAATCCTTAGGCACTGGCGACTTCCCGGGCCCACAACCCCGTCTCGTGAGCGCACACCACGCCGTACTAGGTGAATGGCCCGTCGGCACGGCCTCGAATCATCCACTCATGCCACTTCCATCAGTTACAGTTCACTCGAACACTTTGGAACGCCTGGCTGCCAGTAATATGTCCGCAGACATTCGACCCACGCAAGTCCGCCTTGGAAAAGTAGGCACACTGGCCGTTACCAAAGAACTCTAGGTGACAGTTATTCCCAGTGGCTAGAACTGAGTACATATCGCGAAGCGTGCTGCCAGTGTAGTACGCAAAACATCCGTTGCCCACTCCCCAGTCGTAATGCTCGTCAGTGCAGTCTATTGTCCAGAGGTATCCCTTTACAGTGCCGGCGGCTCTCTTCTCGACAGCACCGCTAGACATTTTTTTTTAGGTTAGTTTACAGAGCGGGTGTTAAAGAGCATGATGGAAGGACTTACCCGCTGGAAGTGGTGACATTGGCTATTGGCACAAGAGTGCCATCATCGAGTACTTGGACAATGCCCTCGTAGTCGGCGGGGAGGCCTACGGGACCGGCCTCCTCGGTTAGCGCAGCAGCTGCCAGGGCGATGGCGCCAGCAAAAACGGCGGAGGCAACCGAAAAAAGCTTCATGATGTATGGCTGGAAGATCTTTTAAACAGGTATATGAACTAGATAAAAGTGATTGTATTCTTGATGTCAGGAGCTGTAAGTTAGAGACCATCGCAGCCAGAAACGGGGTTAAACCACGAGGTTATATAGTCATAATCTCTTGTCCTAATTGCCTCGTTCACAAGCTTGCATAGCTTGCATTGCTTATGGCTCCAGAGGCTTCGGAAATACAAACAGTACTGGAGTCCTGGTGCACTGTCGGTCCGATTTGTCCAGCTGTTAATGCACCCTCGTCGAGTGTAGATGTCAATAAACTATCGTGGTTCCAATGCCCAGATCCGAAAATAGAGGCTACGAGACGGGGTAATGGATGTAACGTCAACACTATCGTTCCTCTCTCGGTAATTTATTGAGTAGACTCCTGTCAGAATACAGGTTCGGGATTTGTCAGATGGGCCACTGCAGAGACGGACAAGCGTTACGTGATTGCTCCATGTGCCCTATCACAATCACAGACGCACCTATAGAAACGACGCCGCGGAAACGGGAGATTGATGGTCTACACGCCCTCATCAATCAATTGGTTGGATACAAAGAGCAGTCCATCGACTCACATCTCACGTCAGCCTGGCTAGCAGATCACCGGTCGGGCGCCTGCAAGCTGATGTTCTTTAGCCATGCCACGCTAATCACTGCAAGCATGCCCGTTGGGCGGCGCTTACTTGTACTTTCGTAATTTCTCATCTAAAACTCCTGGTCATTGCTCCGCCATCCATCCGAGTGGTTTCCGTGCCGTGATCGGGCTAATGCCGGTCTCGGTCGAAAAGCGGACGAAAAGCCCGTCTGCCCTCGGACGAGAGCTGCCTGTCTTGCGCCAATGCCCACATGCAACGGATGAAGCCACTTAAATCGGACGAAAATTACGGCGCGCGTGTTGTCAAACTAAAGTGACAGGGGAACGTTGCCTTTACACAATTCGTACTGAGCGGCTTATAGACTCCCTCAAGTGCCACATGTTGAACCGCCGTAGGTCCAGTGCAATCTGAATAGGAGGCAGAAATCCTAGGAAAACGTTGGCAAATGTGGAAATGAGTCAATATTTGAGGATGTGGAAAAAGCGGTGAAAATGGTGGATTTCTTGAAATCATAGATTTAATATTGAACCATATTTGTATTAGCCAATAAAGCTACAGCTACGAAGTACACAAAAACAGTTTCGATCGCACCCCAAAAAACTAACGAGTAGTTTAAACTCAGATTATCTTCTCATCTCTCACTCCCATCTTATCGTCCTCTAGTGATTACCAACCCAACACCCAAATTAGGCCAAATGAGGCTTTAGCTCAGCTTGCGTCCATTCCCAAAGTCTTTCCGCCAGCTCCGCGTCTTTTCCATCATCGCTCGCCTTTCCGGAAACACCGACAGGTTGATAGTACTCGCCGCTCTTCACATGCTTGGAAACACAAGCCCACAGCTGATTTTTCACGCCTTCATCAACAGTTGTCAAGAGACCTTTCCCGAGCTTTACCAACCACCCCACAATTTTTGGGACGCTGGTCGCGCCTTCAGCCAGGTTGGTGTTCACGACGCCGGGGTGAATGGCCGCGACTGTCAGCTGCGGGTACAGCTTTGCCAATTGCTTCGCGAAGAGCACGTTTGCAAGCTTGCTCTGGAAATATCGGTTCAAACCCCCTATAGCCTCCGCCGGCGTCTTGAGGGTGTCGAAGTTGAAAGCACCTTTCGCGAGCATCGCATGTCCGTTGGATGACAAGGACACAACCCGCACATCATGATCGGGGCTGTTTTCCGAGGTCTTGAGCAGGAGAGGTAGAAGTAGCTCCGTCAAAAGCGCGTGGCCCATGTGGTTGGTTCCGAATTGAAGTTCGTATCCGTCCTTGGTGAGGCCTGGTGGGGTTGCCATGATACCGGCGTTGAGCATCAAGATGTCCAAGCGGTCGGCTTCCGCCAAGAAGATCTTCGCCGCCTTTTTGATGGAATCGAATGAGGCCAGGTCTAACTCAAGGAGGTTTATGGGGGCTTCGGGGACTTGGCGTCTTATTTCTTCTTCGGCTGCCTGAGCTTTTTCGAGATTGCGTGCCGTGAGCCAAATTTGGGCGGGCTTGTGTCGGGAGAGCTCGAGGACAGACTGCTTGCCAAGGCCACTGTTCCCCCCTGTAACAAGGATGACTTTGCCATCCAGAGGAGGAATGTCCTTTTGAGGATCAAAGGGGACAGACTTGTTGAAAAACATTCTGCCGTTGAGTCGTCTGGTGTCGGGTGATGGCGAACTGGGTTGTTGGTGGAGGTGGAGGTTAGTTGGTATGTCTCCTCTCTCTAAAACACGAAGGTGAAGACACCGGGTTAGGGCGCAATTTATATACCCGCAGTCTCCTCGGAGCCCGAACATACATTGGAGACCTGCCCGTATTCTCCGAGTTGAATGATACCAGGGGAGGTGCAAAATGTCATGATCAGCTTGCCACTTCCGTCGAGATGGGATTGTTTTCCAAATCGGGTAAGCTCCAATCTCCCAGAGAAAGACACAGGGCCACTATTCCTAAAGTGGAATATAATCTCTCATTGGCCAGCGGCCCTGCATGTCGGGAGATTCGATTGCGCCATTCCCGAAGAGGAATACAATCTCGATCTGGGCATGATGAGCTGCTCGTCTTCCAGACTCCTCCTCGTCATTTCGTCGCCCCATTCATCATCTTGTCCACTTCCAGAAAACAATCTATCCGTAAAATCCGCAGTGATATCTTCTTAGCTTTATCGTCTCTTCGGAACTGAAGTCTTCGCCTAGAATACCCTAATCCTAGTTCCCACACATGTCCCAGTCGAGTCAAGCTCTGCACCAAGGCGAAGGTGGGAAGCGAGTCCCCGCCGCAGCTCCGGGATTCGCTCCTTTTATTGTGAGCACGTCCCTCGACAAACCGGACCCAACAACACGCAAGTTTATCCGCAGCCATGTGATGCGAGGGAAAAATGCTGGCAAATCAAGGCGCCGTCAAGGACAGCCGATGTCCACGACAGTAGAGAGGGAGAAGTCTGACGGGGTGCTGCATCCGGCTTCCCCGGACAGAGGAGAAACCTGTCGCAAAGAGAAAGAGACCTGGGCTCTGATGTCGCCGCGTAAGATCGCCTCCGAGCTCACCCTCTATAGATATGCAGAGACGGTTAGGCCTTATATGTTTGACCTCATCTTTCAAGGTAATATACCAGCCCCCTCCTCCACATCCTGCAGCCGAACTCACCATGTTAACACACTCGACAAGCCCTCACATATATTAAGCCTTCGGCGCATACCATGGATGGCATAACTTCCATGGCAAGCACAGAGTCTGATTTCTTCTGCATCGACCACCTTTCCGAGCACCCCGGCATGATCCACTCTATTGTGTTCGCAGCCCGGGCCTTCTACGATCTGTCGGTTGGGATACCGTTCAGCAATACCGCTCAGTTCCACCTGTCAAAAAGCCTCCAGCATCTCCAGCTCAGTCTAAACGACAAGACGGAAGTGACCAAAGATACCACAATCTCCATTGTGATATTACTAGCGACGGCAGCAATCCTGAGTGGCGAATTTGCAACAGCAGAAAAGCACAGGGATGGCCTCTACAGTCTAATAAACCTACGCGGAGGTGTAGACTCAATCCCTCCTGGAAGTTTGATAGAGCACAAGATTCAGACGTAAGTTGCTAAATTATAACATAGCTACTCTGTATTTGCTGTCCACATTGGTGTAGCTAAGATCGGATCTCCTAGGATCGATCTTGGTCTTGCAATCGGAGTCGGAAGCGAGCCATGCTTCATCCGGAAGAATATCTCATGGAGCCCTCACCTTGCGAGGGGTAGTCGTACATCTAGATTTCCCGAATTCGATATGCTGCGTCGTCGTCCTGACCCAAGACTGTTAAATGTTTGGGCCGATCTTCGCGAACTGTCCGACGCTGCAGATAGAGCTTCTGGAACTGGTGCAAAGATTCCAGGACACGACTTCTCACGCCTCAATACATCGGTGCCCTATCGGCTGGTCCGTCTGGATTGCGATCCTACATCGCTTGACGAGGTGTTGAGAGCATGCATGCTGGGTTATATGAAGATTCTTACCGTCAAAATCCACGGTATCGGCAGGAAAATGGTCTTCCTAGCCGCGAGAATGAAGACTGCCCTCCTCGCACAGGAGGCCCCGCCATTTGTTGAACATGCTAGAGTTCTATTCTGGGCTCTCATCATTACGAGACTCTCCGTCTTTGAGGATTTCGATCATGAGTGGCTCCAAACACTCCTCATGGAAACTGCCTCGGTACTTGGCCTTAACACTTGGGACGAGGCGAGGGCAATACTAAAGGAATATCTGTGGATCGACACGGTTCTTGATAAGCCTGCGTCACAGGTATTTAAGGAGTGGTGCATACCCAACACGTGTCCATAGGGAGGGAAACGGAGGGCGAGAAAATTGGAAGTAATGGTATCTTTTCAAAAGACTCTATTGTTGCGAAGTCACACGCCATATTTCACAAGAAACAAACTCCTTCGGAGTACATCCACTTTTCCAGGTTTATAATCTTGGCTTCGATTGTGCCTTGGGGCTCGCGAGAGCATCCCAGTCCACAGCACGTCTCGCCGCGCGAAACTGCCTTACACCATATACTGCCTCGGACTCGGGACCCATCATCTCTTCGAACAAGCGTGTTATGTTGCGCTTCTGGTTATCACTTCCCCCTTGTGACCAACCGAGTCTTACCAGCTCCTTAGACATGCGAATCCCGCTTGATGAAGCTAGACGTAGGTCGTGTAAGCACGTGTCTAGTGCGCGCTGCAGATCGGACGGGGATTCTGCAATGTGAGATATAACACCCCAAGCCCTCAGTTCTTTGGCAGTAACTGGCCGAGCTGTTATCATGGCCTCCCTCGAACGACTAACTCCCCATTCTCGGATAACGTATTTCGAGATCACGGCTGGGCAGAGGCCAAGCTTGACTTCGGATAGGGTGAACGACGCTGAGCTGATGCTGAGGCGCAGGTCGCAGACGAATGCCAGACCGACCCCCCCTCCGAATGCTGGGCCGTTTACACAGGCGACGGTCACTTTGGTGGAATTATCGATAAGTTCAAATAGAGTTGTTAAAGCGTTGAACTTATCTTTGCTGTCGGCGCCAAATGTTCCAGTCCCTTTTCCGAGATCCATACCCGTGCAGAAGAACTTCCCACTCGACGTGATGATGATGCGACGGATAGAGGCATCCTGTTCAAATTCGACGAATGCTCCACGAAGGTCGGATATTAACGATGGAGTAAGGGCATTTCCGTTTGCAGGCGTATTGAGCACAATCTTCCCATTGGCACCAGAGCGGTAGACAAGGACGCCCTGAGCATCTCTTATCAGAGTCCAAGGAAGACTGGATGGGGTTGACGGCTTTTCGGTGACCACCGGGGGTTGTTTTCGTGCCTTGGATGCAAGAGCTACACCGACACGACTGTCATTCGACTTGGATAGCTGTTGCGATATCCAAACCCCAGTTTCGGCCAATCGAGGCAGATCCACCCCAGTCTCGATGCCGGCTTGGTGGAACATGTACACAATGTCCTCCGTGGCCACGTTTCCAGTCGCTCCGGGGGCGAATGGGCATCCTCCTAAGCCCGCGACGCTGCTGTCAAACACTCTGAGACCACAGTTATAAGCCTCCCAAACATTAGCTAGCGCTTGGCCATAGGTGTCGTGGAAATGACCTGCAAGTTGAGGCATAATTATTCCACGGTCGCGTAAGTATGTGAGAAGGCTTCGGACGTCCGATGCCGTTCCAACGCCAAGTGTGTCTCCTAGGCTGACCTCGTAACATCCCATGCTCTGCAGAGCATTCACTGCATTGTAGACAGATTTGGGGGGCGTGGGACCATCAAATGGATCCGCGAATATGCATGAAACATAACTGTAGGAAAATCACGGATTAGACAAGATGATCGCTAGCCTGCCAGGTCCTCTTAGTCGCGTGCCGTTCCCTGAACCCTTACCCTCGAACGGCAATCCCGTGCCTGGCTGCCTCCGCAGCAACTTGCCTGGCTCTCTCAATTCCCTGGTCGACGGTGCAGTTGATGTTTGCTCGACTAAAACCCTCCGTGGCGCTAATGAACACGGCAATTTCTTTAACGCCGTATTCGAGGGCTATCTGGAAACCCTTAGCGTTGGGGATGAGCACTGGGAGCCGAAGTTCCTGCGACTCTCGCAGCCAGCCTTGCACCAATGCGGAGTCCAACACCTTGCGACAGTCCGCAAGCTGCGGAACTGCCTTGGGGCTGACGACGGAGGCGACTTCGATGCATTTGAGGCCGGATTGTTTTAATTTCTCGATAAGATCCAGTTTGGTCGCCGTGGGGACAGTGATTTTGATATTCTGCAGCCCGTCGCGAGGGCCAACCTCGACGATGCGAACGGAGGCCATTGCGGTGATGTGTAATTTGTTTGGGGAGTATAAGTTTGTGGGGGAAAAGCCTGCGGTCGCTGGAGGTAAATCCATTTGTAAAGGGCGATTTAAGTTACTGCCTCGGTGGCCAGCTCAGCACACTTCGGACCGGCTTCCGGAACCCCCGGTTCGTCTATCAGTGGTTGATGAGGGTCACAAGACCCCGGATTCGCAAGCCGAGGTTAGGCATAGAGCGCAGCCCAGTGGGAACGTGCTTCGTCAGTGAACCAAATCGTCAGCGGTGGCTTTCGGAGCAAATACGTGACGAGATGCAATTCTCGAACAAATCAATATGAGGGAAGCGAAAATGTCTCTCCGCCTCAGAGGCGGACTGGATCTCTACTGCATTCCAGTTCTATAATGCACTGTCTTCGGAACTATTAATTCTATCCATACAGAAACCTATTCGGAAATCTATTTAGAAACCTAGGCTGATCCTGGGTTCTCTCTTACTATCGACACAGAAAGCGATTGAATCCTATTCGGTCTTCTCTTACCCTCCTTAGCTCCGATACGTTGTTAATCGCCGGTTAAAGCTTGGGTTGGTAACTTTGGAATTTCAGCGCATCCCCCAACTTTCGAATCAAATGCTTCTGATACTTGCCGCTGCCCGTTTTGGGAAGAGTATCGCCAATTCCCGGATCACCCAGCCAAAATATGTATTGCGGCGCCTTAACCCTGCCCAATTTCTGGGTGATCCAGCCGCGAACCTCGTCATCGCTCAGTCTCTGCGAGCCCGCTGCTCGCAAAAAGGCACCAACCACTTCCCCGTACTTTTTGTCTGAGAGGCCGACGACGCACGCTTCGCAAATCACCGGGTGGCAAAGCAAGCGGTCCTCGATTTCGTTAGGTGACAGGTTCTCGCCGCCGCGAATAATGAGGTCCTTGATGCGGCCGGTGATGTATCCGTAGCCTTCGGCGTCGAGATACCCCTCGTCTCCGGTATGCATCCAGATGACTCCATTCTCGTCGCGCCTCATCGCTTCAAGTGTCTTCTCTTCGTCCTTCCAGTAGCCCTTCTGAAGAGCGAAGCCGCTGGTACAAATCTCGCCGCGTACACCTCGGGGTGTAATCTTGCCATCGCGGTCTACAATTTTTGCACTGGTGTGTGGGAGCACACGGCCAAGGCTCTCAAACATCCTCTCCTCCGTATCGTCCAGAGAAGTGATGAATGTCACGGGGCTGGTCTCCGTCATTCCGTACGCGATGAGCATACCCTGGACGTTCATCTTCTCTCGAAGCGACGCCATGAGAGACGGAGGTACTGCCGATCTAGCTGCAAGGCCCGTACGGACCGTAGTAATATCGCGGGGAGAACGCTCCAGCTCCTCCAACTCAGCCAAGAACATCGTAGGAACCCCGAGCAGAGCCGTAGCCTTCTCATCTACGACTGCATCTAGAGTCAATTTCGGATCGAAATTGCCCGACGGAAAGACGATAGAACTGCCGTGAATAAAAGACGCCAGGAATCCCATCACAAGTCCGAAGCAATGGAAGAGTGGAGGCGGGCAGCAGACAACATCCTTCACCGTCAGTTCCATGGCCCGGCCCACGAATCTCCCATTGTTTAGTAGGTTGCTTCAATCGCCTCGGTCAGTCAAGTTCTCTGGCAACCCGAAGGGCAGTGTTAGAAGCCAATCTCCTTACCTGTGAGTGAGCATGGCTGCTTTGGGTAGTCCAGTCGTTCCTGGTCTGTTATTAGTCGAGGTCTCATCTTCCTTAATACCCGAGCCCATCCAGCCAGGAAAGCGTACCAGACGTGAACTGGAGATTCAAGACGTCATGCGGTTTAACCTTCCTCTCTGCACGCCTAAGAACTGAATCCGACATGAAAACAGATGTGCCGAGAAGAAGGAAATTATGGTAGAGCATGCGCCCAGTGTTGTAAGATGAGGGTAGAGCCGCGGCAGCACTACCCAGTTCAACGATTCCAATTAAATCTGGTGATTCTGCCGAGTTCGAAAGAAGCTTTCGCAGGTGTTCCGAGGTGTCTCTGGGTCCTATTGTCGGAGCAATAAATAATAACTTGCAGCCTAGTTTAGGAGAAAGCGGTGTTTCTGCTAGAGCTTGCTAGGACAGGATTTGGTTGCTAGAGGTCCTACATACTGCTGCGAGTAACCGCGGTCTGGAGTTCGTCAGGCGAGAACGTATTGTTCAACACAACATAGGGGCAACCAATGCGGGCGGCTGCGAGGAAAAGCTCAATATATTGATGACAGTTCCCCGCGTAAATGCCAACGCAGTCTCCATGTTTCAGGCCATAATCGAGCATGGCTTTTGCAGTGATCCTGCTATTCTCGGCGAGTTCGCGGTAGGTGAGACGGACATTCTGCCATGGCACCACCACGGCTGTATACGGGCCGTAATCTCGCGCTTGTGCATCCACAAGTGCCCCGAGAGTCTGGTCGAGCAATGCAGGCGAGGTAGGTCCGTGGACTAAAGAGAGTCCACTGTCTCCATGGACTGCATTGGAGGGGGGTGAGGATAACATGATCCTTCGCTAATGGTGAGAAGAAAAGATACAGAGCTCAAAAGCAATGGTCTTAAACATGAAAGGGCTACGAGAAGACAATGACAGTATTTTCATGATTGTCCCATTTCTTTATTTCTACTCGTTTGGTGATTCGGTTCGAGTTCGGGCTCGATCCCCCACACCCCGGACCAGACAGCGGGCCGCCGGTCCGGGAGGCCTTTCCCGGTCCGAGAGTGAAAGTTGGGGATATTTGGACCGAGGGAAACAGCCATTGACGTCCCTGGAGTCTATTATGCAACGCAGACCCGACAAATGTCGTAAATCTGATTCCAAGATACCTCTTCCTACCAGATTATCACGAATTGAGATTCATCATGGCTTCTCAAACTTTCCCAGTAGAAATCTCCAACGTTGACATTCGGTCGAAGGAGAGTCAATCGAGGCAATCAAAATGGCTCCCAGTCATCGATACGTTCGAGCGCAACCTTCGACAAGTTGCAGGAGAAGGCTCGGGGACGTCCGTGATGCGACATCGAGAGCGCAATTGGTCTTCTCCTAGATGCAGATTCTCCATTCCTTGAACTGAGTTCTTTTGCTGGCTTCGGTAACCCGGCATCAAATAACTGCGCCAATCTCATTGTCGGCATTGGACTTGTGAGGTGAGATGCATCTCCACTTTGAAACACAATTCTTCTCCCCCGCCACGCCCTCAAAAGGGTGGGCTACGGTTACTCAGTGTAGAACTTGTTAATCAGTTTTCCAGTGCTCGTCCTTGCCTTATCATGTCTCACATCCCCACGCAAAGTGGCGTCGCCTGGAACGAGATGACAGGTGGGATATATGAATGCTTCTTCTTATTAGAGTAGGGCTGACAGGCCCGACAGTGATCAAGGTCAATCGAGCAATGGAGATTGCCTTTGAGAATGATCTTCCACTCATATCCCTTGTTCAATCGGTAACTTTTCATTGCTCCCGCATCGACGACAACGAGCTAACATATGGCGACGACAGGCTGGTGTTTTCCTCCCTCAGCAGTTCCGCGTGTTTCACAAGGGCGGGCAGCTGTTTCGTGACCTTGCGATCCGGACACAACATGGAAAGCCCTCATGCGCCATTGTCTTCGGCTCATCTACAGCCGGTGGCGCATATCACCCCGCTCTTTCGGATTACACAATATTTGTCGACAAGCAGGCGCAAGTTTTCCTGGGCGGTCCGCCCTTGGTGAAGATGGCTACGGGGGAGATTATAGATGCTGAGCAGCTTGGTGGCGCGAGTATCCATGCGTCTCTCACTGGTCTCGCAGATAGCATTGCTGAAGACGAGTGAGTAAAGACTTTGTGCTGCCGCTCTTCCATTAACCACGAGACACTTACTCCCATAGGTTTGACGCTATTCAGAAGGCGCGTCAGTGGTGCGCGATCCTACGCGACCCGAGCCCATCGCATCTTGAACCTGCTGCGTCAGAGCTCCCTTTGTACCCAGCGGATGACATCCTATCTCTGGTAGACCCCGATATACGGAGACCGTTTGACATGCGTGAAGTCCTTCTTCGTGTCATCGACGGCTCAAGGCTACTTGCGTTTAAACCCAAGTATGGCGTAAACATGCTAACCGCCTGGGCCCATATTCATGGTAAGGCGTCATGCACTACCAAAAGGCAATATCAAAGACTAGACTGACTTCTCTATTTAGGGTTCCGCGTTGGCATTGTCGCCAACCAGACCCCAGTCATTAACCCGAACGAAGCTCTCAAAACGGCTCAATTTATTCGCCTTTGTAATCAGGAGTGCGTGCCCCATCCACTTATCGAGTGCATTCTGTAACGATTAACAAAGTAACATTGAAGGCTTCTCCCAATAATCTTTTTCCACAATGTCACCGGCTTCATGGTCGGGTCGAAGGCTGAACACCAAGGAATCATTAAAGCTGGCGCTCAGCTAGTCTCAGCCGTTAGCTGCTCCAAGGTACCTCACATCAGCATCATCATGGGCGCATCGTATGGGGCAGGGAACTACGCCATGTGCGGACGCTCCTACCGCCCGCGGTTCTTGTTCACATGGCCCACTGGAATATGCGGCGTCATGGGACCAGATCAGCTTGCAGGTGTGATGGAAACTATAAAGGCGAAGTCTATGAAGTCGGCATGGTTACCGGAAGAAGCGGCGGCGCAGGGCCAGAAGCTACGGGAGGAGGCACATCGTGACGCTGAGTGCTACGCTACAAGTTCGGCACTCCTTGACGATGGGATAATAGACCCACGGGACACTAGGGACGTTCTCGGCATGTGTCTGGAAGTTGTTAGAATTCCAACTGCCCAGGATGTACAGAGTCAACGATTCCTCGCCCGGATCTAGATCACCAAGTCTGTAAGGTGTTAAAAAGTTCTAATGTAGTCTATTATCTTCATCGCCTGCCCAAACGCTGCTGTTAGAAATCGTGAGATGAACCTTATTGATAAATTACATGGAAATCCCTATTTAGTTTAAAACCCGTCTTCGTTTCCAAGGTTCCACTAGGAGTGGCCGCCTGACAAGCCCATCTCCAGGCGACTGTAGAGTGGTGAATGGCGGATCGTTCTGAGAGGTGCCTCGATGCGTCAGCTAGCAGCCCCGGCTTCCCTCTGATAACAGGACAAGTGCCCGTCTTGATCTAATCCCGTAGGAAATGGCCTTGAATAACGGGCGAGCCACGGAGCTCCCGGTTTGCTCTCCGCACCAATTTTTTTATTTTTTATTTTTTAATTTTAATTTTTAATTTTTTTTTTATATTTTTATATTTTATTTATTTTAATTTTTAATTTTTATTATTATTATTTTTTTTTTATAAAAAAACAAGGTGGGTGGGTCCCTCGGACTCGGACCGCGAACCGGTCGAGGCAAGATTCCCAACCCGACCTTTTCCTCGGTTCCAGAAACCAATCACGAAAGAAACCGGCCGCCAGGGCTTCCAGACGAAACGCAAATGCTTCGCGGTGGGCTTGCGGGGCGGCTATCATTTGCGCCTCGCTGGAGGCACATTAAAGTAAGACGACACCACCTTGGTTTAGTGCCGCACTCGGTGGGCGTTCTATTCGATTTCTCTCTTTGTTGTTATTGTTATTATTCTTAAAACATCTGCCCCCACTCGACGACCACAAAGTCCCCTGAACACATCAGGACGATTCTTTTTCTTTGTTCTTTCACGGAAACCAAGAGAGCAAGCACCGATTACGCGGCAACCGTTGGCATCTCGTCTAAATCTCGACAGCTTGCCCAACTCACCTCTCCCAACACGTGTTAGGTGCCCTCCTTGCAGAGGCAATGGCGCGAGATCTGTTTGTTGCAGATGTTCCGTTCGACAGCGAAGGTCAGCCCAAGATACGCAGGGTACTGATCGCTAATCGAGGCGAAATTGCGTGTCGCATCATAGCAACTTGCCGCAGGCTCAACATTACAGCTATCGTTGTTTATACGCACGAGTATGTTTACAACAAACATCCCCCCGAGATCAGTTGAGCATTGACCGTGATACCTGGGGTTCCCATGTAACTGACCGTTGTTCTTTCAGGGATACTCTGTCCCGTCACGTCTCAGACGCGGACGAGTCGATCTGCATAGGCAGCATCCAGCACGATGCAACGAATCCATTCCTCAACATTGAGCTCCTTGTGAAGACCGCCTTGGCTGCCGGGGCGCAGGCAATTCACCCTGGGTACGGCTACCTAAGCGAGAACGCAGATTTCTCTGATCGTGTACGAAAAGCTGGCTTGTTATTTGTTGGCCCGACAGGAACAGCCATGTCGACGCTTGGTGACAAGCGTAGCTCCAAGGCTTACCTCCGGGCGAGGGCCCCTGATGTTCCCCTTATACCGGGCTTCGAAGGCTCTAGTCAGGATGTGGCGGACCTCGAGGAGGCAGCCGTTCGCATGGGATTTCCTGTCATGCTCAAAGCGTCGGCTGGGGGCGGTGGCAAGGGCATGCGCGTCGTTCGAGAACAGACTCAACTCCGTGGTGAGCTGGAGCGGGCACAATCGGAAGCGCAACGCTCTTTTGGTTCCAGCGACGTCATACTGGAAAAGTTTATCGAATACAGCAAGCACGTCGAAGTACAGATTATCGGTGACCAGCATGGTCATATCCTTCCCCTTTTCGAGCGCGACTGCTCCGTCCAACGCCGCAATCAAAAGGTGATTGAGGAGACACCGTGTCTCTACTTGAGCCAAGATACTAAGCAGCGCATGATAGACGCTGCTGTCCGCATTGTCAAGCTCATCGGCTACGAAAATGCAGGGACAGTCGAATTCGTCCTGGATACAACGACAATGCAGTTTTATTTCTTAGAAGTCAACACCCGGCTCCAGGTAGAGCATCCGATCACTGAAGAAGTTGTCGGCGTGGATCTCGTGGCACTGCAGCTATACGTGGCCGCTGGTGGTCGTCTCTTGGACCTCCCACAATTGAGCAGTCTAGAGCCGAAGGGACACGCAATCGAATGTCGCTTGTGCGCGGAAGACCCCCAATGCGACTTTTTCCCAGACCACGGCAAAATTCTGATCTGGCGCCCGGGGTCATCACCAGACAACAAGGCCAACTCTGTAGTCCGCTACGAGACGGCGGTGCGCAGTGGAGCAACGGTATCTATCTATTTCGACTCCATGATTTGCAAGGTCATTGTATGGGCGCCCACGAGGGCTCTCGCCATCAGCTTGATGATAAAAGAGCTTTCTGAGACAGCCTGTATCGGAGTCAAGACCAATCAGCGTTTTCTCCAGGACTGTCTCTTGCATCCTGCCTTCCGCGATCCAGGCTACAAGACGTCTTTCATCCCAGCCCATCTCAGTGAATTGCTGGGAAGTTCGTCTCATTCAGGAGTTCCGGCCCGGATTTCACTCTTGCCTAGCGTATACCTGAGGATGCTGCGAGATCAGGCCACTGCCTTCCGTGGGATCAACAGACAATTTCGCAATCAGTGCTTCGATCCCTTAGGTTCGGGGAGCGAAATAATTACCTTGAAGTATGCTTCCAAGTCTCCTCGTGGAACGTCTTCTGATACTATTCGCTGCGATGTTTTGATTAGACGTCCAAGCTCTGGCGCCCACCCATCCGACGGGAGTCGTGTCTGCCTCCTGCCAGTTCCAACAAAAAAGGATGAAGGAAAGGGGACGAGCGCCGACTATGATGCCCTTAGCCAAATCCTGCGCAAGGTCGAATCGCTGCCAGGACCCGCTTTCACCGTATCCAATGTTCAACTTGAGCGGCTGGACCTATCGTCCACAGAGCAATCTTCCTCCATCTTGGAGTTTTATGTAGATGGACGGAAAGTTCGAGCATATCTCGCAACCTCAAAACAGGAAAAGACTCATAAGAAATCAGGACCAACCCAAGACGACAAGGTCCGTATCCTCGCCCATATCCCCCAGCTTGGTGAATGGTTCGAGTTCACCCGCTACACCTTGCTGTCCTTCTTTGTCGAACAACGCCGATCCCTTGCCGCGGAAAAGGGCAAAGGCTCCAAAGACATTAAATCCCCCATGCCATGCAAGGTCTTGAGTATCAACGTTGGCGTGGGTGACGAGGTGAAGGCAGGTGACATTGTCATGGTTGTTGAGAGCATGAAGATGGAGATTACCATTGCCGCCGAGTTGCCAGGCAAATTCCAGACGAGATGGAAAGAAGGAGACGCTGTCAGTGAGGGGCAGGTGCTCTGCTTCGTGGAATGAACGCTGGGCACTGTCTCCTGGGGCTGGATAAAGCTCTCTAGAATATTGCACATATAACTGTGTTTCGTATTACTTTACAGATCTGATCAGGGCACGAGGGGTGGGGGAATCTGTCATAAGGGTCTGTATATAGGAAGGGTCTTTTCTTGGTTGCCCCCTGAGCCTACATAGAAATCCGGATGCCAGGATACATGTGGCATCACTGCCTTTGCGCTATCCATTCAATTGCATCCCGAAAGTAAGCCACAGAGACCCTCTAAGTACGCATCGCAGATGGCATCAACCAACCCCTCTAGTACGGTCGTCCTAATTTCACGTCACAACAAGCCTTCCACCCTGCCAGCTTCAACCCCCATTGCAGGCACACTCTAAAAGGTAATTTATGTCTGGGCTGTTTAGTTGCCATAAGACATCAGCGTCGATATTTTCAGGGCCCAGCGAGCAAGTATTTGAGCCCTCATCCGGCAAAAGTGTGGGATGTAGACCTAGCTGTGTACTCTCTGACACAGGTGTGACTGTAATCTCTGGAATGCGCGTGAATGATTCTGGTGATGAGGCAGGGAATTCAAATTGCGCATCCGAGCACAATGACCCGTAGTCCACCATGTGCCAAAGCCCCCTTTCCCAATCCAATCCAATATCAGAAAACCAAGAAACGTCTAGCAAGGGCGGCAGCGTATGTATACGGGTGTTGAAAGAGACAAGGTGATTGTACTGACGTGGCAAAAATTCTCGTAAGCGATGCTAGCCTTATCAAGTCCACACCAAGGTCGACGGAACTCACCATCTTGGTAGCGTGACCCCATTTTAACCCCATTCTTTTGAGGATGCGGAGGCTACACCGATATCCAGTCAACAGATCTGGTGATTCTACCTCGCCGAGTCGCCTCTGAGCTTGGAGATGCATGGCTGCAATAGACCCCGCGACGCAGGCAGAGTAGGCATAGAAAGAAGACGTGACGTGGGCCCCAGAAGTCGCAGCGTCTTCAATTGTGTTGATCAATTTAAGGGCATGGCTGAGACTTTTGGTGAATGTGTTGGAGAGAAAACCGGGCGGAAGGTCGAAGGGCAGGAGACCATGGAGCCGCCTCCGGATGAGGAACGGGTGGTTTAGCAGGCAATGGCATAAGTGAAGGATCGTATGGGCGAAGATGATGTGCTCTAACAGTTGGTGATCGAAGCCTGCACCCGTATTGGAGCCGCTCTCAAGGAGCGACCAGTCGTCAATTTGGAGGTGCCATTCAACCAGACGCAGGGCCGAGTTTACTGCGGCAAAGTCAGATGTCGACTCCCAAGGCACGGTGGTCTTCATGCTTTCTTGCTCATAGAATACGCATCGGACACATTGTCCGAGGGCGGACGCTGCCAACAGTGTCATGGCAAAAGACCCCCGAGACTGACATGCCCCTTTACTCCACCGATGGAGGTCGTTGAGCGTCCCAGTCACTGACGGCTGGCTATCCCGAAACGTAGGCCCGTCACATGGAAGCTGCGTGTGACAGTCCCCATCTGAAATGGCGGCGTGGCGGCCCCTACCACAGGATACTAACTTATCGAGGAGGTACACAGACCAGAAAGTCCGCCGCTGCTCCTCCTGCTCAATGACTGGCAGTGATTTGTCGGGCTCTGTCATCAACCGTAGGTCCTGGACAATGCGGATGGCGAGGCCGATCTTCAGCCAGCCAGAGCCAGTGTGGCCGTCTGGGTGTTATCAGTCAATCCACTCGTTCTTTAAACACGCCACGATTATTGCCGGGGCGGGACCTAACCTGTGAAGTCGATAATGGCGAGTATATTGAGCGTTTGGGCAACAAACAGCTCTGGAGGGTTGTCTGAAGGCATGTGATTGGTGAGGACGATCATCCAAGCTTCTCGCGCATAGGACTTGGTGGCCTCGTGGTTTGATTTCCCGAAGTGCTCATGTTTGGAATACCTGGCGCCTGAGGCGAGGACGGCGAAGACGAGGCATCGCGGTAGCACCCCACGGGCTAACTTCTGTCGGAATGTTTCTTCGTGGAAGTATGAATATGGTTGGTTGTGGCACCAGTGAAAATGTTCGCCCACGACGTCTTGAACGACTTCATTCGGGGGTAAGCTGCAGAAGGTGTCAGTTGACCTGAATGCATCGACTCCAGGGCTGGAGTTTGGATTGTAGTGGGCTGTATCTTTCGACGTACGAAGGCCCCGCAGATACGGGCAGGACTGCTGGCAAAACATCTGGTGATGGCTCGACCGCTCCCGCAGCCGTCGATGCTTCTGAACTGTCTCGCGCGATGAGACTGGGCGGGGGTGACGAATGTTGTTCCTCCGATGGCCTATTCACCGTTAATGAGCTTGCAACTAGGGTCGAAGCCGTCGGAAGAGGAAAGCAAACCTTGGCTCCGGGCTGTCCCCACCCAACCTGACCAGACGGTTCTCTAATGTGCTGATTCTCTGTAATATCTGCAACGACTGGGAAAGTAAGCACAACGCTCTCTAGGCGAAGCAATTCAAGAATAGGTACAAAAGTTTCGACCGAAACACACGCAATTTAGTAAAGGGGTCATGGGCAATAAAGGGTCGTTGGAAGGTGCGCCCTGCGGGTGGACTGACGCTAATAGTCTCGCCGGCCGATGGCTTGTAGTGGCAGGGCAGTGCGGTCCGCCGACAATTGGTGCAAGTCGGCCGGTCTCCCGAGCATTTTATCTTCTTGCGGCTGGCATAGCAGTAATGTGAATTAACCATTAGCCCCAGCTTCACTCGTGGAAATCGCACAAGGGAGACAGACAATCCTCACCGACAGGTGTTGCAAGCCAACCGTATCCGCCTTATTCCATCAGTGGTACGAGACTTAAGGGGCATGACAGCGCCCTTACTGGTGGTGTCTGCGGGCTCCATCTCGATAGTGCTTAGGCAAGGAAAACAGCCGCCGAGGAACTCTCCGCTACGGCTTAGCAGGGCTGTTTCGGGCGAAGTCATGAAACGGCAAAGATGAGAGCGAGTGGATAGATACGTCGAGGACTTGAGGTGGGCCTTAACGGCACATCAAGCAGTTGGCAAATAGGGGTAAGCAGCGCAAGGGCCTGGGATACATCAATGACGATTCGGGAGAAGTGCATCACTCGAACAGACGTCTCTTCTTGGGACGCCCCCTTTGTCACTTTCCAAGACTCCATTCTGCTTGGCTGGCCGATTCCAGTACCGGCAACACCTGACACCAGGTGATCTGATACCCGCGCTAGCCCAGACATGCCCGCGATCCACTCTTTCCCCGCTTTCCACACGGAACTCCGAGACCATCCACTTTTCCGGGGGGCGGGGAGGACGGGGCGAAAGGGGTGACAGGGGTGACAGGTTGCTCGTCCGGGTTGTCGGGAACTTCACCCAATTTTCAGACTGTCACGCAGCTGACGCCCGTGAAAATCGAAGGTGCTGCCGAAGCAAGGAGAGGGGCCATCGGATACCAGATGGTCTCGGCTCGGGGAGCCGTGAAGCTTATTTCCTGCAGTAAATGTCCATCGTGGTTACACTCTCGCTAGTCTCCGTGATCGTCTGATGGAAGGAAAGAGGAGTTGAAAATCAGAATGCTTAAAAAAGCAAACGAGCGCGATCAACATCTCCGTCGCTGGTCTTCTAAATTCCATAGCCTCATTCTTCATTGCGCCTTCTTTTTATATTTACGATATTTTGAACACTTCAGATTCCGCTGCACAATCGACAATGTCCGTGACCATCAAGCCCGTGATTATTGTCGGATTCGGGCCGGTAGGCGCCGTCCTCAGCCTTCTTCTCGCACGCAAAGGGATCCCGAGCATTGTCATCGAAGCTTTAGTTACTTTCTCCGACGAACCACGGGCGGTGGGGTTCTTTGGCCCTTCGCAAGGTGTTCTCCATGAAGCGGGATTGTATGAAGAGGCCAAAGAGCAGGGGTTGGCTGCGTCGGGCTTGTGCTTCCGGAAGCTGGCTCGTGATGATGGTGCTGGCGGGCAGGTATGGGGGGACATCGTTGCCTCTTCACACATCGGAGCACAAACAAGTGGAGAACCAGATATCGGGTCCTATATGCTCCTGCTTCCACAGGCTCGGTTGGTCAGAATTGCCGCCAAAAAGGTTGAGAAATTTGGTGCGGCCAGCCTTGTCGACCTTCACCTTGGCCACCGTTTCATCTCCTCCGAGGAAGGACCTGATGGCGTGACCGTGACCGCAGAAGACCAACAGGGCAACAAAAAGGTCTTCAGCGGCAGCTACCTTGTCGGTGCCGACGGAAGCCAGTCCGAAGTTAGAAGAGGGCTTGGTCTCAAACTATGCGGCTATACTTGGCCGGATAGGTTGGTATCCACCGACATCTCCCGGACCATCGCCGAGCTCCCCGAGATTCCCTGCTGCAATATCGTCGACCAGAGGTATTGGGCGGCCATAACACCACTGGAGCCTATCAAACCTGGTGTGCCCGGTCTTTGGCGCTACTCGATGGCCGTCACTGACACGACGATTCCCGACGAACAGCTGGAAGACATGGATTTCATTCGAAGCTTGGTTAGAAGGCACCTCGACGGCCCCAGGGACCAGCATTTTGAAGTAGTTCGGTTCAGGCCCTACAAGATGCATCAACTCTTGTGCCCAGTTTGGCGAAGGGGAAGAACCTTGCTAGCCGGTGACTCTGCACATATCAATAACGTAAGTAACATCGTTGCCATCGTTGCCGCTGCTCGTTGCGACAATGCTAACCTGCTGTTCTATGAAGCCCATGGGAGGCCTCGGCCTCAACACTGGTATCCTTGATGCCGATGCGTTGGCCCAAACCCTCGACCTCGTTTTGAATCAGGGTCAACCAGAATCACTCTTCGATCGCTATTCGCATGAGCGACGACGCGTGTACCAGCTTTTCGTGAATCCGATGTCGGCGGCTAATAAGCAGCGCCTTCACGATTCCAACCCCGATACCGCGGCACAGGAAGACTGGTTCTTTGCGGGCCTGAAGAGCGATGACCCTGAGGAGAGATTGGCACCAAACAAGGGTCTCATGGAGAATTGGAAGACCGATATGAGCCGCTTTCGAACCAAAGTGTGAATGAGAGAGATATATACTGGGCCCCTGAATGCGTGCCACAGATTCTTGAGGTCATGTACCTTTGTTGATATTTTGATGAAGTAGCTGCTTGTTCAATTTGTCGCTATCTCATTTGTGCTTGATCACCGGCAACGCAGCCAGGACCGCTCCTTGACGTAATCGTATTACTTAGTATCGTGGCCAACATCAGCGGATTAGTTTTAAGCAGAATTTTCTTTTTTTTTCTTTCTTTTCAGGGCACCTCAGCTTCCTCGCGATCGTAGGCCGATGTTTTATTTTCATCGTAGCTATTCATTGCAGAGTCAACGCCGTTTCCACGCACGAGAAGGCTCTACTGTCCCATTGCCTCACCCCCGTACCAGCCATCGCTATTAAACCCAAGTATATTGTAAGCTGTTCGCGGATCACTTGTAATATGTCGGCGTGAGGCCGATACCTCTGTTTGCGTTGGACACATCTTTCGGCGAGGACATCTAGTCCAGACTCCACCGGACGTTTCTCTAAAAAAAATCAGTTCCAGTAGTGGCTGTTGGTTTTTGCGAACGGTTACTCATACGTGGTCAAGTACACAGGCGCATCCGAGTCTCAAGGCATATCTATTATCTACCTCGCGTCTGGTGGAGAAATTTGTCCTGACTCCCAAACGTAAAACGTTTAATGAGGACGCTTCCAGCTCGAAAGCTCACGGCCCGCACGTTTATGAGAATCGTTTATTCCAATGCAATGTTGGCTATCTCGGCTTCACATGTTCAATCTCGGGCAGCCACTGGCCAATTTTGATATCTCCTATTTCCTGCTGGACAGAAAGAACTCGACAGAGTCATCAAAGGCCTTCGTATACTGCGCCAAGATCACTGGATTCGCAGAATCCGGCCTTGCAGCAAAACCGTGGTCTACCCCCGGATACACCTTTATACTCACCCTTGGCTTTGATCCAAGTGTACTCCCGGTCCAACGTTCCAAATCCTCCTTGATGGTAGGGGGGGTCATTTCGTCCAATTCGGCGAGGCCGATGAATGTCGGAGACGAGAGGCCCTGCACGTCCTCGGCCTCAACGTACATCTTGCTTGAGTTAGTCAAGTACGACATCAAGAAGACATTGAGTGTAGGTCATTCGAGTCTTACTGGGTGAAACGAAGCCACGGAGCTCACGGCTTTCCAGCTCGCCATTCGCAAGGCATGTTTTCCCCCGAAGCAATAGCCCGCAACATTCAAGGCCATGTTCCCACTTTCTTCTTCACGTAACAAGCTCTCAGTCAATTCCTGGAGAAGCGTTTCAACGTGGTCATGAGGATGGCTCGCCAGCCACTTGTCCAAATCAATATTTCGAAGAATTTCCTTATCTTCCTCTGAAAGATCCGGGTCATTTCGTCTCATATGTTGGATAGGAAGAGGGGTTCCTAATGGGCCAAATCAATCAGAATCACGGTCATTGCCCCAACGAGGAGTAGTGAAAACCCCCGGAAGAGTATTAAAAACCTTCATAGTAGTCTGGGATGATCGCCCTCCATCCCTTTGCTGCGAATGCGTCCGCGAGCACAAAGTTGTGCTTTGCTAACCCAAACCCGTCCGGGAGGATCAGAAGAACTCTTCTAGGTGATGTCGCGGCTGAGTTTGACGATGGATTGCTTTCGTAAACATTCAATCCGCCAATCTTGATGGTCTTTCCTTTTGGGACGTATCCATCTAGGGACAAAGACATTAGTCCGGGCCAGTGGCCGATGTGGTCTAGCAATAGGCCAAATTGCAGTAATCGTATCTTACCATCTGCCTTTTTCCCGAGAGTGCAACATTTCATAGCGTCCGACATCGTGGCTATCAAATGTTGTAGGTTCTATTCACACTTGGGGGAATAATACGGGTTTGAGTCGAGGCCAGGAAGATGCCAGTCCGTGAATGATTCTATTGAACAGACAGCACGAAGTAATGAACGACTATTTATCGATTGGTATTTTTGTTTCAATACAATGCCTTCTTTTCGTCTGGGACCCGTGCGGAGCTCGATTCTGTCGACGACGCTCTCCACACCGAACCCCGAAGGAACCGAAGGACGGACCAAGCAGAGAAAAGCGGAGCAACATGTACCACAATTTAGTTCGATTCGTCCTAGAGATGCCGGCGTTCATCCCGTTTCCGATCTTACGTGTACAGTACAAACGCACAGTCTCGAAAGGAAGTGAAAGACTGCCGGAATGTGTCCTTAGATTTTTTCATGCCCCCTGAGCACAGAGAGATGGGACTACACAAATCTCGGATTATATATGTCTTCGCCATAGACCGAAGATACTAGGGGAAGAACACACTGCAACTGGCGTATCAAGGGGAATGAAGGTGGCTTTCCAACTAACTAGCTACATGATTCAAAATCCATTCATACCTGGACGCTCCAGCTTCTAAAGTAGACAGGTCCTCCGAACTACAAACTAACCCAAACGCGATATCCTAACATGGCTACCCCTATGTCAAAAGTCCCCCTCCAGCAACTGGAATGTACAATCCATTCAGCCACTGAGATCTCTCCTCACAGAGCATTGCCACAGTCCAAGCAACGTCTGCCGGTTCTCCCATCCGCGCCGCTACCGGGATGTCCGCGCATCTCTCTTGCACAGCGTTGAGGAACTCGGCCGGTAAGGAAAGCATTTTCTCCGTTGCTATTGGTCCAGGGGCGACGGTATTCACCGTGCATCCGTATTTGCGAGGAAAAAATCGAGCCCAGCACCGAGTGAAACCTTCGATCATGCCCTTTGTCCCAGCATAGATGGTCAGATCGGGATCCGGATCGCGTGAAGTAGTGCTCCCAATGTTGATGATGCGGCCTCCCGTGGGGGGCAGGAGAGGGAGAACGGCACGTGTGAGAAGCATCGTTCCTCGGCCGTTTACATTCACTATCATATCCCAGGTCCGAAGGATATCCTCGTCGGATGCCTCGGAAATTTTGTCCAGAGCACTGATTCCGGCATTGTTGATAAGGAAATCGACTCTTCCAAACTCCGAAGATGCTGCGTCCGCGAGGTTCTTACCACCTTCGGGGGTGGAGAGATCGGCTTCGACAAGAATTGATCGAGAATTTCCCGGTAGAGACTCCAGGACGGCCCTCGCAAGAGCCTCCTCGGAGGGAAATGGATAGTGTAAAACAACATGAGCTCCCCGACGAGCAAGTTCTCGTGCGATGGCAGCACCAAGCCCTGACGAAGATCCGCTGACAAGGGCAACTTTCCCCAAGAGAGACAGCTGGGCAGGCTGGTCTTGCGCGGAAGAGCTCATGGTTATAGTCGTAGGTCTTATTGACCGTTGGGCCAACCAGGTCCGCAGAAGAGGAATCGAAGAAAGTTCAATGATGAAAGTTGGGCTCCTCGGTTAGCGATGGGACTTGTAGCAAGTCTACTCCAGCATGTATTATGGGAGACCATGGGAGAGAGAAAAAGAAAAAGTCATTGGCTGATGATATCTTTACATCGTAATCCTAGTGAACGGTCATATCGGATCGCTGTGCAGAGAGGGTGGTCCTCATCCATAAACTGCATTCGGAAAAACCGGCGGCCAAGTTAAGAATAGCGTCGACCAGTCGCTCCCGAAAGGACCAGAATCATTGCTTTGCAGTAGACTGCGGGGCGCGCTTCTGTTGGAGTGCTCGGGGTCGACTGCGGCACACGGATGCCCGAGGCGCTTACTTGTTTCGTCCACCATTTGCCACCGCAGCCACTCAAGCAACTCTCCGCAACTTACAGCTGCAGATGCCACCTACCCCATACCCCACAAAGATGGGAGATTGGTCAACAAACGAGGTTGCATCGCAGGCCGCCGAGTCCAGCCCTGGACTTTCTCTCCTGAGATGTTGGGTGATCGGGTGGATACCACCACTCTGATTTTGTCCTCACCTCCAGGTAGCCATTTCCTTGATGTGGACTACACCAGCAATGTAACCAATGTAATTCCGCGACACAATGAGACGGTTTCTAATACTTACCTCGGGAATCACTATGAATTCACTCGATTCTGAGACCTTCGCCGAGAATCCCAGGGACAAATATTCACGGCACGGAAGATTTCGGCGGAAAAGACTGTCTATAGAGCACCGGAGTCTAATTCTTGCTTTGAATTCGGTATCAGGGCCTGTATGGTAGTAATTTTTCGCTGTAAATAACCTAGACTTCCTGCCCGTGGACTTTGCATGTCTCAGGGATTCTACAACTCTAGACCAAGATGGAGATGCTGTTCTCGATAAATTTCGATGTTATTATTTCCTCGTCAGGCTTCTAAGTCTTGAGTTTTTGTATACTCTCACCAAGCGGGGGAATGCTTAGGAATAAGTGCTTCAGGAATTCCGCGCCCAAATTTTTCCAGGAGATGGTTTAGTATCCTACGGTGTGCGAACACCTTAGTCGTGGATCGGTCAGGGGGTTACTCTTTCACATACGAAACGAGCATTCACGTTGCACATACAAAACTAGTTCTCGAATGTTCCAATCAGACATGTGAATTTTCCATTGGATAAAGATAACCAGAGCTGGCCCATCGTTCTGAGAGTAGAAACCGGCGTGGAAACACCTTGCTCAAGCCTTGATGTCAATATCTGCAGCCTCGTGGCATTCCCTCATGATCAGCCGCCTGTGTGCCTCACTTCGCGGTTTGAAGATAACCTTGTACGGTTCAACCACAGCCGTGAGCGGGAACGGTTTGTCAACAGTCACTGGGTGTGACGGATCCTGTTCGATGTCGAAACAATATACCATCCGTGCAATGGCGATGAAGAGGTTGCCCGCCGCAACATTCAGACCGACACACACCCGCCGACCTAGGCAGGTATTCCGGCGAGATTAGTTGCAGGAACAAACAGATGAAAGTCTAGTGGCAGCAATCGCAACAAAGTGCTTACCGGCTCCAAATCCTAGATGACCTTTTCCGACTTTGTCAAGATCATCATCTAAAAACCGGTCGGGATAAAACCGTTCTGGCTGGTCGTATTCGCCCGAGCTGTGAGAAATTGCCCAGTGATTCCAGGTCACCACCGTGCCGGCAGGAAGCTTGTAGCCCTCAAACTCGTCATCTTTTGTCAACGCATGGGGAACACCCGTCTGCGTGTTTGTTGGCCTACATGCAGAAGTGACAAGTTAGATATAGTTGAACCAAAACAAAATCTACCCCTTTTTTGAGCAAAGTTCAAGTGACTCGGATTAAAAACATACCTCCAGCGTACGGTTTCCTTGACAGAGGCCCGGATCATCGGCAACCTGTCAATGTCGTCAAATGTAGGAAGCCGCTCGGCATTCTTACCGCAAACTTCGTCGAGTTCTGCTCGTGCTCGTTCAATCCAGTCGGGGTACATGGCCGTTCCTGCAACGGTCTCGAGAAGGCTGTTCCGAGTAGTATCGCTGCCAGCCTCTAAGAGAGTGACCGCGATGAAGGCAATCTCATCCCTTGTAAAGTTTTTGTCCTTAGATTCGGAGTCAAGAAGCTCGGTCATAAAACAAGGCTTTTGTGTGCCGGCCTTTTGACGCCTTTCAAGTTCGTCAAGAAGTCCTCTGAAAACACTAGATGCACCAAGGAACATTAGTTGATTGTTCATAATGCCCAGGGTTAGGGAATACCAAGACTTGGAACAGAGGGCAACAGTCTAGGTCGGGATAGGAAGACGTACCTCAAGGTTCTATCGTAAATCTCATCCCCCTTCCATCTCCAAGGTTGGAGCTTCTTCCAGATTGGGATATTTGCAAGGAAGGGAAACGAATCCACAATGGATGCGCCGGGCATTGTATATGGGACGAAATCTTCCTGCGTTTTAAAGATGTTCAAAAACGTCGGATCCCCGTGATTCGTTCGGCGGCCAAAGACGACGCTTAGGATCACGGAGCTCGAGAATCGTCCGAAGGACAGGTACCATTTCTCCGGTTGGACTAACAGCTCGTACATCAGGGCTTTGGATTCGAGGTCTTGGAACGGCTTGAAAATGGACTGCTGGCTTAAGTTGAGAACTTGATGCATCAACTTTCGTTGCTGCCGCCATTGGTCACCATAAGGCATTAGGACCATGCGCTTTCGTCTGGAGACGATCTCGTGTGCCATTGGAATGCTTTGCCGTGACGAGTAAATTGACGCTCTCTTTTCCAACAACTCATATGCAACCCGTCGTGAGTTAAGAATAACCCAGTACGTTTGCCCGAATTTCAACGTAAACCTTTTGAGAATCCATCGATCGCAGTTAGCTCTCTGAGTCGTTCTCAGCTGACGGGGGATCCTGGGTTACTTGTCGTCACTTACATTTCGCCGTACTTCTCTCCCAGCTTCTGCAGGTATGGCCCTTGGTCCACCATCGGTATTTGAAATGTATTTCCAACTATGGGTAGCCCAGGAACGAGAGGGGGGAATCGGTACTTCCGTCGGAGCCTGACGTCTTCAATGACCACCCAGCTCACCCAGCCGCTGATGACAGCGGCGACAGCCGCCAGCACGAGGCGAGCATCGATGTTTTCCAGAAACCCCATAATTTGGGCGTTCCTTTTCCCGAAATTCCCTGGGCACACAGAAACAAAGATAGGAAGAATCCGAAAGGCTACTTCACAAGCAGTATGGGGGCGGTGTTGAACACTAGATTTGAATTCGCATCTAGGCTGCGAGGTAGATGCTGATATATATCTAGGAAATCCATAGACTTCATGATCCGCCTACCCCAGACAGTGATACCCCTCACAATCAAGAAACTGCCGAACTGGCATTCCCCCGAATCTGGGGAAGGTGGAAGGTGTCTAGGGTCCGGGGTAGGCCTCTTCGGGCATCGGCTTTCTGCCGCACGGAGTTCCGCATCCCCACCGCGGCGAGATCCCGGGAGGTTGGGTCAGACGAAATCGAATCACGACCGTGCGCTAACCTAGTGGGGATCATTTTACCCTTGTCAGGTCCGGGGGAGTTAGAATCCACCATGGCATCCGAGAAGAAAGTTGTGGGGTAAAGGGGAAAAGAAGTGCTGCCGTTCACATCGGTGAGTGACAACCCGCAAAACCACCCCGGCATATATGCAGAAGCAGCGTCTTAATGTCACGCGTAAAACGAAGCAAAATATCCGAGTTCAAGTATCCGCTCAATGCTTTCGTCGGCCTGGACACTCAAGCATTGCTCATTTTCTCTTGCCACCCTCTCTTCCTTCGCTAGTCAGATTTCCTTGATTTTCTTCAGCGAGAATAGGATGTCTGAGTACACGCTCCAAAACGAATCGAAGCGAATCTTCGACGTCATTGTTGGCGACGAACGCCTGAACATACCGGACGAGGTTAAAGATTTAGCCCATACTGTCAAGTTTGCCGGAGATGAGACACAACCGTTCTTTCCCGTCCCATACAAGTGCGCAGAAGCGCAATCTAGCGTCATCGGAGTCGTGGGGTTGTTTGCCAATGCCATTGGAAAAGCCCGATATGGCATCGTACAGGAAGTTGAGGTCGACGTGTGAGTTTTGCCCTATGCTCCCCATTTAGCGGTGGCCATCGCTAACCTCAAATTTCTTGACAGTGACCATGCGATGCTAGCCGGCCTCGCCGCCTGTTTTCTGCGCCATAACGGCGCATGGCTGGCAAGTAGCAAGGTCCAAAACGAAGTTATCCAGCGCTGGGACCATGGCCAGACAAGGGAAATGTATCGGCAGCTGGGCACCAATATCTATCAAACAAAGGATGGTCGTTGGTTTCACACGCATGGAAGCATGAACCCAACACCACTGCTCAAGATGCTGGGTCTGCCACAGCATGACGAGCAAAACAGGGATTTCAAGGGAATTATTGAGATGTACATTGACGAAGTAAAGAAGTACGGCTCTGAGATCCTGGATAATCGCAGCAGCAACGTCTACAGAATTCCCGGTACCATTTGCTACGAAGAACAGGAATTCCTGAATCTTCCCCATGTAAGATGGACCTCCTTTCGTACAAGACTAACAACTAACCCAAGAATCAGGGCAAAGCTGTCCGGGACGAGCCGTACTACACACTCAGCAAGGAAGAATACTACACGCAACCTCCCGTGGCATGGCCGGAAGTCAACACCGACGACCAAAGACCCTTGACAGGAATCAAGATCTTGGATCTATCGAGGGCAATCGCGGCACCAACAATTGGAAAGGTTTGTGCCGCCTTGGGCGCAACCGTCATCAGAGTCGGTTCCGAAACAATTTCCGAATTCCCCATGACTCTAATTGATGGATGCACGGGCAAGATCTGCGTCGATATCAACCTCAAAACCTTCGAAGGGTGTCTGAAGCTTATGGAACTGATCAAGGATGCGGATATCTTCATTGACGGCTATCGGCCAGCCGTTATGGAACATCTAGGATTCGGCCGAGATTCTGTTCTTGGTCTCTGTGCCAAACGTGACAGGGGGATGATATACGTCCAAGAAAACTGTTATGGGTGGAAAGGTCCTTGGACCACTCGCCCCGGGTGGGCTCAGATTGCCGATTGCGTCAGACTCTCCTCTTCCTCTACCTGCTACTGTTAAACCACGAACTAACTCCCCTCAAGGTTTCCGGGATTGCCCTTGGAATCGGACGCTTCCATGGCTTTGACGAGGCGCAGATATTTCCTGGGCCCAATGCCGATTACTTGTTAGTACCACTTCATGCTTTTTAAATTCCCCCGACTTGACTGTCGAGGCTGATCCTGACACGCTATCATAGGACCGGTCATGCGGGAGTAATTGGCGTTCTCCATGCTCTTATCCAACGAAATAAGCTCGGCGGCTCCTATGTTGTAAAGTGCTCGTTAGTAACTTCTAACATGCAGCTCCTCAGCTACGGTCGCTACACTGAAGAACAGCTTGAGCATTTGAAAAGGAGGAATCCCAAAACCTACGGACAGATCCGCCATTACGATGAGATTTTGTCTCAGGCAAGGATGGGATATACGCACAATGCTTTCATCGCTGACAGGACGGAGGTATGCCTGAAGAAGGAATTCTATGAGGTTGTTGATGGTTCTGCCTGGGGCCTGGGGCCTATTGAACTCGTTTCTGTGCCACTAAAAATGAGCAAGACGCGGACCGATTTCAAGCTTGGTGTTCACCCTCCAGGCTACCACTTGCCTCAATGGACCATGGAAGAGAATGCCGACTTCAAGCGCCTTCCAAAAGTTGACAGCTCAGGATAGCATTTTAATAGATCATGATAATATCCACATCACACGCCCCGGCAACCAAATATTTATGCTCCAATTTTTTCCAGGGTCAGTGTGTCTCCTAAGCCGGGTTGCGATCCCTGAGCTTGAATGATGTCTTCCTGCGAGTTGAATCCGGGCGCGCATGTTGCCCGCCTTTCATATTCGCGTTGTCAGCCCCCCTCCCGAGGTTGGGCATCCAGGAAGCAGGCGCCCTAGAAGCAATACAATATGGCGTGGTGGAGTACGTCAAGACCGCAACGGTCATGTTGGGACGCGTGGAAGAATTACGGCGTCGAAACCCGATAAAATTGACAAGGCAACGGAAACATGTTGGTTTTTATTCTTGTCATAGTCCATCACGGATAGTGAGGACAACCTTGAGAAGAGCTTGTGTAAGTTTCCATACCCTCAATCGTCTCAGAATCTCAGCGGTTTCGTCAAGGACTTGTTTCAGCCCTTCCTCACAACAGAGTACGGGTACTCCATGAAGTCCAACGACTTCCTCCCCGCCTTCTCTAATCCATCTCGAGATGTTCACTGTTGTTGGATCGCCCGGGGAGCCCAAATGGTCTATCCGCAGCCCAGTCTTCCAATTCTGTACCCCGGGCAATACTAAACCCATGGACATCAAAAGTACACCAGCATGGAAAACTAGAAACGGCTCCATCGCCATGTTCTCTGGAAACTGTCTCGCTAAAGCCAGAATCTGTGCACAATGGAACGCGACATCTCTAGCTAGCCTGGGATTGTCGGCAGCCCACTGCTCCAGAAGAGCTCGCGATGCTGCGCCATCATCTTCTGTTCGTTGGAGCAAACAATTCCTAAGGTAGGGGAAGTAAAAGTTCATGAGGGTTCCGGCACCGTAGAGATGTGTCAGGTGGACGATATGCATCGAGTGAACCGAGCGTGCGATCTCCGTCTTTGGGTGGGAACGCGACATCAAGACAGGGTGTTGCCAGAACCAGTCGGTGGCATCCTGTATCTGTTGTCGGACATCGTTTAATTTGTTGCCGATGAGATCCCCCATTGGTGACCGGACGACATCTTTTAGGCTCCACATCATTCTGCCCAATGATAAAAGGACGATGATCCGATGCCGTTCATTGTTCAGCGACTCCGCCACCTCTCGATTGCCCTCCACAAGGCTATTGAGCATCGGTTGTAACTTAGGATTGGCGGGGAGAGCGTTAGTCATGGATTGCAAAGATGACCAGGCATACGCCGATTCGGCATCCCAGTATTTCATACAGCATGGGAGAGTCATCCGAGCATCCGCAATATGCAAGAATGGCTGGTCATTCTGTAAAAGAGAGATACAGGTATCATATTCCTATAAATCGGAGATGGTTAGTAGGAATCCATGCCCGGGGAGATAGGGGGCATAACGGTAATGAATTGGCAGGGGTGAGGATTAACCATCGGCTTCGATTCTCGGCGCACTTACATATACTGCCCAGCCGAGGCGACGACGTTTCTCCTGCCGGATCCATTCTTTCCATGTATCTTCGAGAGATCCCGAGGCCGGCGGCTGCGGTTCTGGCTCTTGAAATAGGCCCATGTATTTGGCATGGTAAACCACTGAGCTTCGACATGACTCACCCAGCTCGAAGAGGCGCTCGTTGCCACTGCCATATCCGTGCAATGCCTGCAAAAGCTGTGCCGTCAGAAGGGATTCTGTCCGTACAAACCGGCGATCGTACTCGGACTGAGGGGTTAGCCTTTCTATCAAGAAGAATTTCGGCGGGTTGGAAACAAGAACTGGTACATTTTGAATATCTTACCATGAACAGTATTAACCGACGATTCAATTCGGACACGGCATTGGAAAAAGCCTCCTTGCCGTCTAAATCGGAATAACATGCACCAATGGTGACCATAGCCAAGGTAACTATTAGACTTTCCCTAGGGTTAAAGGTTGAGCGGTGAATCAAAGGAAATTGCTAGAAAACCGCGACTGTTAGAGCGTGAGACTGTAGCTAGGTGGAGTCGATGATTGCGAAGGATGATTATACTTGCCTGATGGAAATGTACAAAATACATGTCAATACAATGGTCCACGGTCTGTTGACTGGGGAAAGATTCTACAAGAATGGACTTCCACGGGCTGTGCTCAGAGGGTATTTCAATACATTGTCTTAACGCATCATGAACCTCTGCGGAAAGGTCCCAGGTCGAGAAATGGCTTAGCGTCCGATGAGTCCCTGCGGCTTCTCCCAGCTGGGGAAGAACAATATGCGGCACATGGCGGGCACGGTGTTCCATGGGCCACGGATCATCCGGCGTGGGTGCATCGCGAAGTTCGGGTGTCGGAAGGTTCCCCCGGATCCAGCTCTCCTTGTCTGCTTTGGGATTAGAGACGCCGGAATCACCAGAAGTGATATTGAGCGAGTCCAATGCATCGGTCGGGTTTGCGAAAGGAATTCCCATATATCCTATTGAGGGGGGCTCATCGAACGACGACATGGGTAAATCGTGGCCGTGGTTATCAAACATCCATTCTAGATTTGAAGAAAACCCGTTATAGTCCTGTGTCTCAATCGAAGGAAAGAGGGTGTGTTGGGAAACGTCATTAGAAAATTGGGGAGTTTCAGCAGAAGATTGTCGCGGTTGTTCCAATATTAGATATTCTTGTGAGGGGGAGCCATTATGTAGAATTGTTGCGAAATGATCGATTGTCTGAGGTGTAAGAATAGAGTTTTGCGTCGTCGGTTGATCCGCGTCTTCGGGTCTCTCTGGGTTCGATGGCGATTGATCTTGGTGTGGTTGTTGTTGTGCATTGTAAGTGCAAGGAACCTTGCGTTTTATACAAGAAGAACATGACGGTTGTTCGCATTCGCATCGTATTTTCGCCCTAGATTTCAAGTACTATGTCAGGACTCATTCTCGGGTTAACCTTTGGTTAAGGCGAAGCTGGAAGCAACAAACCTGGAACAGGGCAAGCATGCCTTGCGTCGTGGCTTCGGCGGGCGACGCCTCTGGTCATGGATTTGTGAATGCCGCGAAAGGGTATCTCTATGTCACAAGTCACCTATTAGCACCTTGTCCGTCGAATTGCAGTGGGAAGCGATCAACAATTCGTACTTGCGGTCAAATCGGCGGCCGCAGATCCCACAGCAGTACCTAGCAGCGGACGAATGTCAGATGTTAGCAAAGATGCTTGGTTGCTTGCGGAACGGCTACCAGTGACCAATTGATCGGTCAGTACCTCGCTTGACTTCGCCCCCTGTCAACGACAGAAGCACCCATGGACTGTCCGTCTGAACTGATGCTCATGGATGACATTGTCACTTGGTTGGATGCTGGAAGGAGGATCTGGGTTGGACAAATGGAGACACTCTCTGAAGGATCAAGTCCATCACATGTTCAGGGGCGCTCTGGGACTCCAGACGACCCTGAGAAGACCCTGGCGACCCTGGGGATATGCCGTATAAGTAGTGGGTCTGGCTGATGTCGGTGACTCGGGATTTAAGGTTTCTCCGCAAACCAAAATGCGGGGGATTCCCCGCACGCCGCTCATTGGCCAGAAAATTCACACTGACCGACTGCACACTGGGGACACACACACACAACCTTTGATCACATTTTAGAATTGTTTTATTGGCTAAAATTCATATTACCTAATCTGAACCCAAGCCATTGGAAGTCGCGTGTCCCGGGTTGCGACTGCCGCGGTCCGAGCATCACGGATCAAGAAATAATCACACCATTTCCAGCTGGGGCGAGGACAGGATTACTAGTTTAGTTCCACCTCAATCGAGCTCGGGCACAGGGAGTCCATCGAGGAACGTGACCTTCCTCCCTTGTGCCTTCATGGCCTCCGCAGCTCTCTGCTCTCTCAATGCCAGGGCTTCAGACTCCAGCACGAGAACGAAATCATATTCAATAAGTGCACATCCAACGTAGGCACCGTAATTCTCGGCAACTTCGCGGTCTTTCACCTCCTTCACGTCAACTACTAGGGAGTTCTTGACTCCAAAAACGGCGTCGGAATTCTCGTAAGGGTCATTTCGGACATACAGAGCCCTATTGAAAACATTAACGTGTCAATATTTAGTTCCTCTTGAGTCTTGGCGATGGGGTCCGGATCAGTTTAGACACTCACGTTATAAGCGGATCGTAGCCTTCCTTGTCAAATTTGAAATGCATGTGACTTGGGCGATATGGGTGTCGACCAAGGCGTCCCAGCAGCTTCCCCACAGGACCATCATGGGGAATAGGATAAGGAACTGGCACAATCGCCTTGAACCAAAAGAGCCCATCATCGTCGCTAGTCACAATTCCTCGCCCGTCAGGTCCGGTGCGGTCGGCATACTGCACGTCGTAGAACCCCTTGGAGTCCGTCTCCCACACATCTATTCTTACCCCGGAAATTGGTTTGCCAGAAGTATCGCGGACGCTACAGAGAACAAGACATGGCTGGCCATCCGGATCACCGGCAATAGATTCGCCGTTGGCTACCGAGTGAGCTTCGTGGGTGTGGAAAGGTCCAAGAACCGTTCCTTCAGTGGCACCTTCGGGTTTGGGGTGGTCCACAGAGTCAACGAGAAGAGAAACGCCTAAAATATCACTCAGGAGAATGAATTCCTGGTATCTGGTTAGTCTCCCTGCCATGGACTTGGGAAGGAATGAAATTTTTTCGCAAGAGGTTGTCATACTTACCTGGCGGACGTCAGTACATATCTGCCCAACGGCTGTGAGAAACTCAATGCCCGTCATCCACTCATCAGTGCTCAATCTCGTCTCCCTGACAAAGTCATGCAAATGCGTGACCAGTCTCTCGAGGAGGTACTTCAATCTTCGGTTCTGGCACGGGGAGTTCACTAGATGCACATTCGGTGTTATGTTGTCAATCGTCAAGTCCTTGAGCGACGGCGCCGTGACTTTTGTAGAACCCATGATGCAATGAATTAATAGTTAAGTGCTCTTCAAGACGTCAGTTCTGAAGAAGGCTCCGTTTTGTCGTCGGATGAAGGGAGTGAGAGAGCTTCACAAAGATCGGCGACATTGTCGATATATATATATATATATATATATATATATATATATATATCAGAGAGGACATTCAGATTCAAGTTCGGAGTTGATCTTGTCTCGCAAGCGCAGCGATTCCGGACCGGGATGAAACGGCGGAAAGTCGTCGGGGCCGAGGCCACATCGATGTCCGGTCTTCCGATGCGATGCGATACCCGTATCAGTCCACTAGCATCTTCCGCCATCGCCACATACCAAAGTCAGGAGACCGGCTTAACGGGTGGGGTTGTGATAATCGGTGGGAGGAAACTCGGATGGCAGCAGAGGACTACGTCAAATCTGAAACGGCCATGTACGAGTCTACGACTGACTTCACCTGCATAACATCAAACTAGTGTCTCTAAAACTTGCATTATTTCACACTCAAAGGTCTGCTTTCGCCTCGCTTCCTTCATAAGCTCTCTGGATCAACTCTTCAATCAGATCCTTTTCGATCTCTCTTGGATTCCAGTACGAATTGGCCACTGCCAGCTCGGCTGCCTTCTCCACATCATCCTGCTTGAGTCCAAAATCCTTCAATGCACGCCTCACCTTCAGTCTCGTCAGCAGCATATTGAGTCCCCGAATCGCATCCCCCTCACTGCCCGGAAATATAGCTGCCAACTCCTCCATGACCTCTGGGATCTTGGGTGCGTTGTACGCCAACGCGTGAGGAAGGATTATTGTATGCGTTTCGGCATGGGGCATGTTGAAGCTGCCACCTAAAGTATGGCAGAGCTTGTGATGGATTGACATCCCGACTGAGCCGAGGCAGAGCCCACACAGCCAGGAGCCATATTGAGCTGCTGAACGAGCGGCGAGGTTAGACGGGTCGTCGATGATGATGGGGAGTGATCCAACGAGGGCTTTGATGCCCTCTTTCGCAAGGAGAGAGATGATGGGATTGGCGTTCTGGGCGTAGAGAGCCTCAACTACGCCATATTATTATTCACATCCCGGTAGTAGACTCACGGACGTGATTGGGAAGAAACATTGTCAACTTACCAGCGTGTGCAATCGAATTGAGCCCACTTGTCACGCTCATATCAGCCGGCAGCGTCAAAGTCAAATCGACGTCGTAAATAACCGTGCCAGGCAGGATCTTTGGGTCACTCCTCGTCCTCTTCTGCCCGTCCGCTGTCTCCCCAAGAATAGGCGTCATTTCTGAACCTGCATAAGTCGTTGGGATGCAGATATGTGGTAAATTTGTACGGATACCAATTGCCTTTCCGAGGCCAATCGTGCTGCCTCCTCCCACTGAGATGATTGAATCTGCATTGATGGCTTGCGCATAGGCGAGTGCTTTCTCTGTTACCGAAGTTGGTGTGTGCATGGCGGCCTCAGTGAAAACGCCAGCGACTTTGCCATTGAGGCTCAGCTCTAGAGACTCGGCGAGGCTCGCCTGTTGGGGAGTTGAAAGAACAATTAGGGCTTTGAGATTCTGGCGAGCCAACTCCTCTGGGAGTTTCTTCACGCTGCCCTGGCCGAAGATCACTCGTGCCGGCGACGCATTATAGACGAAGCTTCGCATGATGATCAAGTGAATCCGATTCTCCCGGGTAGTCCGGCTCTCTTGGCAGTTGTCGTAAGATACTTCCAAAGTAGATGTAGAAATTAATTCACAAATTGTAGAAGCTCAGCACGCTACAGCTGTACGTATTAAGGAAATCCTCCAACTCAAACCCCAACGTTCCTGGTGCAGGGTAAACGAAAAGACGGCATTCGTCCGACGACGACCCCGCAATCTCCAATTCTCCAATCCTCCACATGCCGCACGGAATTCCGAGAGCCACACTCAATCCCGCATTTTCGGTGACGGACCATCCACCGCTGCAAAACAAAGGAGTGTCGGCCAATGACTAAGAAAAGTAGTGGAAGCTGGTTATGTCTGTCGCATCCTCGAGAGAGCTAGAACTTGTTGATTACCTCCGAAAAATTCTTTCCGCCGGTGAGCGAGCGTCTCTCCCTTGAGCCAAGATTCATTGAGATGGACGTATTTCACAAGCAGCTGTCAGCTGCTATTTGGCTGCAGGGCTAGTAGAGGACTGTGGGAGGCTGGGGGTAAAAGGAAATATAACGCCTAGTCTACAGGAGATTGCAAGGGGATCAGCGATTAGTGACGTTTAACACCGGACCTACCCTTGACCTTCCCGCCATCCTGTTCCCCTTCACTCCATGACACGACCATCCTTACAAAGCAGTAATAGTATTTAAAATAATCAACGGATATAGCTACTCGCCCGACCAGTTGTGTTATTAGCGCGGGCTTCGAATCAATGAGGTTGTCCTCAATGTTCATATCTCAACCGACTCAGCGTTCACGCAGACGGATCCGCAGCCGGTTCCTGGACCGAGCCCTTGGCCTCTTTGGGGATACAACAACAAAGCGCGGGACAACAACAAAACGCGCACATGAGAGCGACGAATGAGAACACCAGTATAATTGGCAGACCAATTGATAGGAATCAATCTATACTCCTGATCTGGACGCCGTCTTGGCGGGGGTTGGGGGGTTCTCTATCATATTTCCCATCGGGAATGACCTCGCCAGGGGTCCACGTCGGCACGAACATGGAACGAGTCAGCGTAGGTAGCTCTGGTGTCAGTGTCGACAAGTCGGACGCAGCCCAGGCTACAGCCCAAGGCTTGTGCATTAGGAGCGTCTGGTCGGAGCCCGCAGCTTTGGGCGATGCATCATCGCCTGCCTCATCGGTGAGAGTTGTACATCGATATTCCGTTAGCGCGTCAGTGTTCGGGTAGGTGTAGCCGCTAGATTTAGTAATTGGGTAATTTGGTTAGCAACTTCATTCCACACTGGCGAAGTAGCTCTATCCAAACAAGAAAAGTAACTGAATCAAGAACTAGACCAACAAACCTATTGCAACAAAAAGCTATTGTGCTACGGCCGCCGCTCCCACCATCCCAATACTCGCCGATGCCGTAGTATATCCAGCCGCTAGGACACACAGCCGGACTGAGTATGGCGCTCTCCCAGCCAGACGGGTAGCATGATGCGATGGGCTGGGACACCAGAGCGGGAATCGTGGTCCAGGTGCTATTGTAGATAGTGACACTGGTGGAACTCCAGTGGGATTCGCAGCCAGGTCGCTGCACAAATGAGGTGGTGAGGGCAAGAAAGGACGTGACTGTCTTGTGGACAGACGGTGTGATGCGAGATGCCATAACTCGGTTCGGGGCTGGGATTGCATGTATTAGCAAAAGGTGCCGGAATCTGGGGGTTACTAAACTTTGAGTGGGGTGTTGAATTATGAAGTTCCATTTTCCATGCAGTCCATGAGAATAGACATGCGAGAAGTATGGAGTCCCGAGCTCAACGATGTAGTTTATTCTATTGAATCTGGGGCAGGGCAATCAACACCAAAACGGAAAGATCCGTTGGAAGGATCTTGCTGCTCAGCCCCCTGCTCTGGTCAATGCACACCGTTCCTCAGGAAGCGACTCCCTGATGGAGTAACTGATCTCCGTCGGAGAGGCGGCGGTGGTATTGGTCATGAGCCCTGCTCTTGGCATCTGTATTCGACCATCTATGCTGTCCTTATGGCTTTGAGGCGCACGACAATGCAGTTGAAGAGATTGGCTGCCGTATTTCCACCTAATGTACTTCGGATTTGTGTTGATTAAAACAAGCCTTCCTCAGAAACGTACCACCCCTAAAGACTACTAAAATTTGAACAAATCCAACGTCAAATACGCCCTGGGTGCAACAGACTCATTGCTTGGGTGTGAGTGTGGTGCACAAATTCGGCTTGGGGTTGTATTTGGTGAAGTCATTCCTAGAGTGCCGCATGAGCTTGCCAGGGATGCACAACTATCTCCCAAGACGACCCGGATATCACAGCAAAACCCTTGCCGCTCGTGGCGGAACGAGGTAGTTATAGTAGTGTTAAACTCGATAGTGGAAACGAGTAGGCTTATCCTGGCATCAACCTGTTGAGATGCCGAGCTACTCAACTCAACAGAGTTGCATTCACCCAACTCCTAACGGCTTCCTAGACCTCTAGCAACTTGTCGTCTAAGGTCCTGGTAAATACACGAAGAGCCTGGGAAACTGTGGTATTTCCCTTGCGGACCTGAAGCAGCCGGTCTCCCTGGTTGGCACGATGCTGGAATGCTTCGACAAAATCGCTTATATTTATAACTATATTCTAACTGTCATCTAAGGCTCTCTACTTTAACTGCTTAGTATCTTAACATTTCTAGGTATATGCCGAATTATAGCAAACATATTCGAGAACTAAAAACTTTTACACAGGTAGAGGTCTACAGTATCGCCGGCTTGAAGACCCTCTTCTGAAATCGCTCCGAAGCCACCTTGAGCTCAAAGGACTGTATATCTCTCATGCCAACAGAATATCTAAAGTTAGCCAAGAGTGAAATTGGACGTCCCTGCGATACAACTCGGACAGTGGTGGTCACAGAGCGCCATCTATGGGTCACTTGAGAAGTTGGGACGATTCAACTGCTCCGGGATTGCGCGCAATGACAAAATCGAATACTTGTGAGGTGACACAATACAATTCATTGTGGTACCAAGTACACATACTTCGTGCACACAGGTGTACATGGGTCATGGGCTAACCCCGAAACTGTAGACCTTCCTCAAAACAGTCGAGACGCAACGAGGCTGAGGCGAGTGATTACCCATGAGCCCATGACCCACACTGGACCACCGGACCCACGGAAATCAATGATACTGATTTTTTTGTGACTTGTCGCCTGGGGGGGTCGCCCGCGCAAGTTGGATCGCCAAGTCTCAGATCAGATCGTACTGTGGGTATGATAGGGTGGATAAGGTGGGACGCTTCGTGTTTGGGTAGCACCGTTTCAGCGATTAATTTCGCCAATGTCGATCTGCAGGCAGCAGCCCTTCCACAAAGCTAGGAGATCAAATTAATCATTAAACTCTGCATCCAAACCAACCACCTGCCTTTTTGGAAACCCTCAGTTCCTTCTCTCGGCACTTGCGTACTAACCGTGAGTTGGCTTACACGGCGCGTCTTTCGACTCTGTCTTTATCTGTGATAGTGATGATTCGGCGTTGGACGCGAAGGGTCGTCAGACATGGTGGCATGTGGAGTTAGATCGAATATTGCATGATGAGAGTGGCCAAGTGGGAGAACGAAACGAGATATCCACTCCATAAATAGATTTAAAGGCTATTCTGTTGATGTACATTCAGACTGAATCTTGGCCGTCTTCTGTTCAATTTCGGGCGATTCTCCACAACGCGACGTCCCCACACGCGGTAGATGGACCTCAGGAAATATGCCCGTTATTCTGGTTTTTGACCATAGACGACAACACTGCGGAACGGCGAAAGTTAGGCTCAATAGTATCTAAGTATCTTGGGGGGTTTAGAGGATATTACTCACATGTGCCAGTATCCATGAACGCTCTTGTTTTTGAATTGCTTCCTCACATCGACCAAGAAAACTTCCAGCTCTTCCGCAGTCCATCCCAAGACACGCGTAAACAACGCGAGGCTGATGCCTTGGAGACCTTCCATGATATTCTCAAGAGTCCATGATCCTGTGAGATAAGATGTCAGAATTCACGTTTGCCCTTGCGAACAGATATGCCTCAAGTCTAACCTAGTTCCTTGTATTTGGGATCCTTGGGCCAGGAGTTCATCGGCCATTTGTATCTCGTCTCGGTGACGTTGACAAATCCTGCATCAATCAAATGTTTCTTATACCTAAAGGCTTCGTCCAGGGGCTTTCCGACGGATGCTGCTGCCTTACACAACAGCCTATTCCATTCAAAAACAGAATTTTCTGGAGTCAGCGTCTCATCGTCGCAATCGACCGGGTATGTGGCATCCATCAGCTCGACATAACCACCGGGGCGAACATTTCTGGATAGATGTTAGAGCATGGACCAGTCGATGGATAAACGAAAGGCCGAAGGGCGGGAGACGCAGTCTTACTGGTACGCCTGCTTCAAAAGCCGTGGCCAGTCAGTGATAGACCCGACCATTAGACGAAAATAGATAAAGTCGAATGGATCGTTATAGGCCCATGGTTCTTCGAGGTCATCGACAAAGAATGAAACGTTTGGGGGGACACTGGGAGTGTCAGTGTGCCTAAGTAACCGAAGTGCGACAGTTGGTCCCATTAGAGACAAGGTAGAACTGACAATGATGGTTGAATTGGGCTCAGATCAACGCCAATAACCTAATAGAGTGTCAGATTCGTATGGCTAAGATAAATAGAATTTTTGCAATACTCACCTGCGTTTCGGGGTGCTCGTCCGCTGGGTTCTGTTAACCATGGCGATCACAGCACGGCCAAATTTTCGAAGTTGCCCACGGGACATACCGAAATCCACTGCCCAGATTCCTGTTCCACAGCCGGCGTCCAGGACGCGGTTGAACGGCTTGCCATCCCTCCCAGCTGCGCAAAGGTACAATTTATTGTTTAGCGTGAGTAAGCACGAGTGGTGTTGAAGATCTGGTTAATTAGCATCAGCATTTTGAACAGATGTAGGCACTATAGACCCGATTACGGGTGTTCTTACCTAGCCGGTCGTTCTCAACCTATTGAATGGCAGAGTATCTCAACGTTAATCCATTGGCAATCTCAGAGGGGAAAGACCGACAAGTCTTGTCGCTGACTTAGAGAATTGGAAGAGTGATACCTCGTCGTTTGGAAGAACGTAGGCTGGACGATGCCGATGATGAGTCCCGGAAACGTGTGCCGCGTGTGAGGGGAAAATACTCACATCCGTCCTTATAAGCATGATACGATCGGCCATTTTCCGTGCGAAATTTCGCTATACTCGACGCTAGAGATGTATGGCTAACAAGGGACACCTGAATTTGATGAGCATCGTATTGCCAGGTTCGCCGCACTGAAAAACCTTACAACTCCGAGAGCAGAATCCACGTCCCCTTCGACACTCTTTTATCGTATTAGAAACCCACCAGAGAAGCATCCTTCAGTCATGCGTATTCCTTAAACTCACGGCAAAATTGGCATCGGCCTCGATTACTTCAGCATGTGTATCCGGGCTCGGCGGACGCAGCGGCTGTTTCGGGGGTGAATTCGACATCGGTTACAGCTCAGGGAGGCGAGTAAAAGTGCTCCGAGTTGAAGAAGCGTGGTAGATGCATCCGAGCGACCTCAGCGGAACTGTCCTCCATCTTATTTAAAGCCGAGCGAGGGAGACCCTGGGATATGAGGAACCCGTCTGCACGTTGGTGGAGTGGACATGGGTTGGGCCACCCGGAGCACGGACATCATCTGCTAGAACCCTGACGCACATCACAAACCCTTTGTAGTTACACGAGAGAACCCTCCCCTCCCCCCTATTAGTTTTCTGTCATGCCACCTCCACGCCAGCACCTCAGAATTGACCAACATTAGCTCGCACGCTAGCTACCGGGATCTAAGCCTTGTCTGCAACCCCAACGCTAGGGGCTTTCAGGTACCATCGAGAAGGTCCGGTGGCACCGGAGCAAATATCCCTCGGTAGGCTACAAGGGCATGCACTACAACCGGCAAGTTTGGCGAGCCACCCCCCAATAGCGAGGCGGCGGAATTGTTTTCCGAGCAGATCCGCTCAGCATTTCCTGCAAAACTCGTACCATTGCTAGCTCCTGCCCGGAGTGGGATTCTTGGCAGAGGTGATGACGTGTATTGGTGCAAATTCGGACTCCGAAAGGCTCGGCTGCAGCCAACGTATTCAGTCTGTCTGCCACCTTCCCATAATAATAATTGTTAGGGCAGCGTGGGATGAAGCGGAGACACAAATATGCAAGTTGGGGGAAGGGGGTACGAAGTAGGTGACAGGTTTGTTAGTTCGGTCATCGCTAGCCAGTTCCACCCATGAAAGCATGAGTGCTCATGATCATGGTAATGGCCTTTACCGAGACGGTAGCTCGGCGTGAGCGATATATGGAGGTACAGGAGGTCTATTCGATGGAAAATGAGACTGTCTAGTGAGTTGATGACTCTTATGTCATATGGAGAGAAAGAAAAAGGAAAATAATCAATTCTCCTACACTGGGACCTCGCCGACTCCGTGTCTGGGGCGTAATACAGAAAAAAAGAAATCTATGAGACAAATTCATGCCGCAGCTGCCGTCTCGAGCGCTCTCTTCTCCAACGCCCAAGTATACGTCTGCGCCGGATCGATACCGTCTCCGTTGCACCCTGAGCCTACATACACGTTCGAACCACGGCTAGGCAACAGGAGATTCGAGCACATGGGCAACGAATTCGTTGGCGTAGGCATAGGCGGTGATGGAGGTGGAGGCGGATCTCCTCCGCCAGCATCACCTCCTCCTGAACCGGCGTCTCCGTCCGACCCTCCCGGTGCTTTCAACAAATTACCCGGATCGATAACGTCTTTATTATCCACTGGGTAGCCCTGCGCGCGGATGATGTCGTCGATGTTAGCAGGGCATGTGTCTCGTTTAGAGGGCCCAGCCGGCGGTGCAGCAGGAGCGGCGTCTTTCCAGATAGCAGGGCCATGGGCCAGTCCTGGAGGAACGAGGAGCCTAACTGCCCGGAATGTGTCGCATCCCCCGCCGTCGAGCCTCCTCACATGCTTCGGAACATACTCATAGACGGCGAGACCGTGCTCCTGGCCTTCGACTGTGTTGACGACTTGTTTCATGTTAGGGATGAGTGGATAAAGTGACACTTGGAATCGCAACAAATTGTGGAATTCCTCCGGAATGACGGCCTTTACAGCATCGGCGATCGGATCCATCCGGTGATAATACCAAGCATCAACGTCGGGACGACCCTCTCGGGGTGGAGGTATGATCGGAGTGCCGTCTTCCATTTTGCGATCGGGCAACCACATCGGCGTAAAAGCCCATACATGGATGATTTGGGGCGGTGCTCCGCCATCGGGATCCCTGCCGAAATATTTTGGCACGGCGTCTTTAAGACCAGGGTACCCATTTCCCGCATTCCCATCCTTGATAAACGGAAGAGTTATTTGCTCGAAGCCGGCGTCAATGTACATGTGCTCCCGTTCCCAAAAGTGAGCTTGCCAGACTCCACGATCCGAGAAAACGAAGAGCGACGTGCACCCCCACGACGGCCCGGCGCCGCTCTTGTAGGGGTAGTCGAGGCCCTTGTGGTCGAGCATCCGAGACGACGGGACAGCCCCCATACTCCCTCCGGCGTTACCCGCTCCGTTTCCGACGATGAAACTCCTGGCAGCACGGAACCACTCGACGCGCCCGCCCGGGAAAGCATTGGGGTCGTTGAAGTCATCGGTAAGGGATGGGTTGGTCTGCTTCACGGGAGGATTACCTGCCCGCTTCTGCAGACTTCGTTTCTCGTTGAACTTGACAATGTCGGGTGAGCTGCGACCGAGAACTGGCGTTGCCACCGGCAGCGGGGGAGCCGTTCGGGCCTTTAGGGCGCATGCGGCACCGCAGCCAGCAGGGTCACAAAAGTCACCGCCGGTAAGGGTCGTAGAGGTTGTCGACGTTGTACTTGTAGTTCCCGTGACTGTGCATGATTCGACGGGCTCGGCCGTGCACTCGATCTTGCTTTGGTCTTCTTCACATGATGTCGTAACCGATAAGGTCGGATGCGGGAAGATTTTGCATGTCTGTGTGCACGATACTGTCTGCTCACAGTTCTTGTCATCTTTATCCTTGTCGGGGTCATTGGGGTCATTGGGGTCCGGAGTATTCGGGCCTTTGGGATTATTCGGATCCGGGTTATTCGGGTCTGTGGGATTGTTGGGATCATTAGGATTCCCACCACCACCACCACCTCCTCCTCCTCCACCACCACCACCTCCGCCACCAGGGGGAACAATCACCACTACACCATCGTCCGATGTTGTAGTAGATGTGATAGTTGGCTCTGCTGGCGGGGGACCACCCGCATCCGGCTTGTCGGTGGTCGGCGGTGGCAAGGCGGCTGGATCGGGTGTCTTCACGGGGAAAGTTAGCGTTGGCTATCTGCTTGGAGATTGAAAAATGTTGGAGGAAGATAAGGTGACCGAGGGCAAAATATTGAAAGTCTCGCTCTACCGGACATACCTGTGGCCAAGGAAAGCCGCTAACCCCCGCGCCGTTCTGGTTCTCGCACTTTTGTACTGGGATTTGGCAGTCCGGGTTGCACAGATCGCCGACGCACACCCACCCTGGGACCTGCGTCGTAGTTGGAGCTCCGTTAACAACGGTAGTGATGGGAACCTCTGAGGAGACCCAAGTCACAGCGGCGGTGGGCGGTTGGTCTCCTGGATTTGCTGGTACTCCCGTAACCGTGACCACAGTCTGGCCAGGTGGTGGTGGTCCTGGTCCTGGGTCCAGAGGTGGCATGACAGGAGGCGAATCGGTTGGGTCTACCGGGATCGGAATACAACCTGGTATCCCGCCAAACGCATCGGTTGGGATAACGCATCTCTTGCCGACAACGACAGTCCTTCGGCGGACTTCTGTGATGAACTGAGAGCCATCTCGCCCTTCATCTAGTATTAGGGTGTCATGTTTAGTATACGGGCTAGGTTGGGATCGTTTGGGACAGGATAGGCTTACCGTCTGCACAAGCAGGAAGGATTAGATTGAGGGCGATAACGCCCCAGATCAGGGGACGCATCGTGGAAGAAACTTGAACTTATGTGCGTTTGTGGACTGATAAGTGTAAATTGAAGTTGAGGCCGTTTACCGACTGTCTGTTTAACTTGGTTTTGGCATATCATTAAACTCTTTGTAGGACTCGCGAAGACGCTCTTATTTATATTCTGCATTGATTGCGATGGTACCTGGACCTCAACGAGATATTATCTCCGTGTGTTTCTATAAATGGCGAATGGACAACATAGTTTCGCTTCTTCTTGCTTCAGACACCCACCCCTAGGTCCACAAGGAATCGCAGGATCATCTTCTACGCAATTGAGCCTGCTATTTTTGAATACTATCAGCTTACTGGTGTCGGCAGCTCGAGATGCCGAATTATAATTAGATGTTGTGAAATGCTGTAGTTCGTCCGTGGTGGCCCACAACTTGGGAGGATCACTCTTGCGTGTATAGGGGCTAAGTTTTCGGGGGCTAAGATATCGGGGGCCAAATTCCAAGTTTACTGACGACCGAACAGACTGATGCTTTTTGAGGACTTCGACTCCGAGAATCCTCTGGCTGGAGTAGCAGTGACACACTGGCACAGTGGCTATTTTCACCTTACATCCAGAAAAAAATCAATCATTAACTGCGAGGCGCTGACACTGCCGAGGGCAGGACGCCTGCCAATAGTTTCGTCGGGGCTAGCGACATAACGCCACTCGGAAGCAGGGGCGCATGCTGGCGAAGTCCAATCGGGAATTAACTGTTCACTGGAGCTGGAGTTAAAGTTAGCTCCCGTCCCGATCCTTCCTCCCAGTGGAGGCTGAGCCCCCTTGGTGGCGGAGCAGTGACATTCCAAATTACTGTCACTGGGGAAGTCTTCGCTAGACGCCTCTTTTTTTTTTTTTTTCTTTCTTTTTATCGCGGTCATGCACATACACACACATCTTAGCCGCCAGGCACTGCCTTTCCCTTTCCGCTCAACAACATTTAGCGCGTTCGAAGAGAGTACTCGGTCTATCAACATCAACATTGAGCGTCTCTCTATTGCGTTACAATCACCAAGAACAACATGGAATCCCTTCTATTCGAACTACCACCAGAGCTCATCGCTGAGATATGCCAGCACTTGACACTTCCTACAGTCGCATCCTGCCGCCTCGTGTCGAGGAGGGCCAGGCATGCATTTACCCCCGAGTTTCTTCTCTATATAGCGGAAGATCAGAGCTTCGATCTCACTCTAGACGGTTTCTGGAAACTGCATATCGTCTCATCCAGCCGTGATCTCCGCCGCGTTGTGCGCAACATTCACCTGGTGTGCCCTTATTATCACGAAATGCCAGGCGAACAGGGCCTAGAAACAACATTCCCGAGTTATCTGGACCCGGGAGACGAGCCCTTTGTTCGCGAACCGCGTCAACTTCTCCCAGAAAGGGAACGGAAATGGATGGATGACCGGCAAGCAGAGCAATACGCCTTTGCCGGGTCGTCGATGGCTGATGCGCTGTCCTGGATCTTTCGCCGGTTTGGGCAGCTCCAGGAGCTAAAACTTGAGGCGACCGTTATCCTGGGCGAGGGGAAAAGATTCAATCCAGATAGAGTGCAGCATCTCGCATGGCGCGAGCTGTGGTCGAGGGCTATCCAAGCTTACCGGGTGGTCCTCGCCGCTCTTGCCCGCTCACAGGTCCAAGTTTCTAACCTATCCATCTTCTCGGACACGAAATTATGCAGCATTCCGACAAACGAGGCCGCAGCAGTCCTACCTATGTTGAAACACGAAGGATTCAACCCCATTGGTGTGTATATTCGGAGCCTGTCTATCAGCGTCGCCACGACTGTCGAGCCGTGGAGGCCCTTGCACCAGACAGAAGTGGAGGGCGTAGACGACGACTTTTACGATATTTTCGATATCTCTGGTGGCCGAAAGCTCCCCATCTACGACCCAGCTATTGACGCCAATGCCGACTTCGAGGGGTTTGCTCGGCTAATCGCGTGCATGCCTAACCTCGAATCGCTTTCCCTCCATCTCTATCGCACTTGGAAAGAGGATCCTCAGTGGGCAATTGAGAACATCCCATACCAGGCACTTCTCCCCTCCCTTTTACGAACGGCATCACTCCGCCACCTGAAATATCTTTCGCTCAATGGCATCGCAACATGTCCAGAGGTAGTTCGAGACATACGGCCACACTGCCCAGATCTGGAGGAATTAACTCTGCGTAATATGTTCATCACGAGCGGGTTATGGGACTACGCGCTGGAGCAAATCGTCACGACACAGCCGCCGCTAAAGCGCCTCCGCCTGTCCAACTTGTGGCGCATGCCTGCAGATGAGAGTTTATTCCCTGCTTGTACAAATCTCGAGTCGCCGAGTAGGAGATTGACCCAGCAGGACTACCACGACCTCGCGCTGGGACGTGCATCGGCGGAACGTCAACACTATGCCATGAAGGACGCGATGGAGTGGCATACAAGGGAGTTCGGAGCGGAAGAACTGCAGGGGGGTCACCTAGATTTTGATGCCGGACGAGCAGGGGGCATGACAATGGCAAATTACGCAGATTTTACTTGGATGCTTACCACAGCACTCGAATGCGGCCCGCCGAAGTGAAGTTGGACTTGGGAATGTCCAGATGGATTTTGGCGGTCCTATCATACAAAGCAGAACGGCCTAGCGTAGGGCACACGATGGTCATTGGAACCTGTTACAATTTGAATTTGTTAAAATTGTAAGTTTCCTCGAAGCTTGCGTAAATGTCGTGAACAATTCCTTCGGATAGCGCTTTCGAAATGCCTACCGCTCAACTCTCATCTCATTCCCCCTGTATTATCTCAGTAGATCCATATGTAGACGTATTAGATGCAGAGACACCTTGATCCCTTTGAACTTCCGAATCATTATGTAATGTTGATAAAATTGTTGATGATAGCTGATGGGGTTATTTTGGGTGTGGTCATTTATAGTCTTCATTTATTCTCGACCCGTCAGCTTGCAAGCAATACCGGATAAGGAAGGTTGGCCAAGACTCGGGATGGTGCCACGCGAGCATTCTTCAAAACACCTTCTTCATCAAGATACTCTGCGGGTTGCACCCGGGAACCTTTGCGGATAACATGATCGCACGTCATGGCCATACGTCCACCTTACGTCCCGGTATATCAATGCCGTCAAGAGAACTGCCTTGTCCAAGTCCTCGGCAAGATAGCCAGGCGAAGTGTTCCATGGGTCATGGTGCCGGGAATACCTCCTGACTAAACCGGGAAGTCAAGGCATATACCAGTATGCCATTTCTATCTGGTGGATGGCATGCCGATGCCCCCTCCGGAAACATTGCTACTTAATCGTGATTTTCAGCGATTTGACGCAACTAACTGGGCCCGAAATCTCGGATACCCGGCATTTCTGCTCACGACGTCTCTACAGTTGTGGCTGCATGGCGATCTAGATTTCCCAGCTAATTGCATACAAGTGAAGAATGTGTATCCACGGAGTCCTTCGACTTGCCTTGCGAGGAAGGTGTTTGGGGTCCCGCTCATAAGAAGACGTGAAAGAGGCTTGGAGACGTCCAGATGTCCAGAGATAGTGTTTTCGATGGAAAAAAATAAATAGAGCATCGATCTTCCAGAGATTAACTATCGTCGATTAATCTCGCCTTTATTCAGACGTTTCAGTAAGATCATAATTAAAAAAAAAAATTGACTCCTCATCTGGAAAATGCGTGCCACTCCCAGTTATCTTTTGGCCTTGCCTTTGGCGCTCGCCAGACCGAGCCATGTGGCGCGTACCGATCCAGCGCCGCTTCTTCAGCCCCTGGATGCGCCAGTCATACCTGGACAGTATATCGTCAAGATCAAGGATGACGCTCCCAGTGTTGCTCTCGAGGGCGTCATTGACATTCTCAGCGGTCCTCCCGATCATATCTACCGGGCTAAGGGCTTCAGTGGATTTGCAGCCAAACTTGACGACGCGACTCTCAGTTCTCTGCAGAACGACCCAAACGTACGTACATGATGGACCCTAGCTTGATAACACCAGTCATCTGACGAGGATTTTGGGTGTCTAGGTTGAGTACATCGAGCAGGACGCAATCATCACTCTCGACTCGTACGTCACGGAGGCGAATGCGACCTGGGGAATCTCCCGCATTTCCCAGGCAGCACCGGGAATCAGCGACTACATCTATGACGACAGCGCTGGCGCCGGGACTTGTGCCTATGTAATCGATACCGGTATCTACACGGCCCATTCTGTATGTCTTCCGAAGCCACCCTGGCGCCAGCGTATGAGCTTCCCTACCGTCGGCTGACAACTGACAACACACATTTTTAGCAATTTGAGGGTCGCGCCACTTGGCTTGCAAACTTTGTAGATAGCATCGATGATGACCAGAATGGCCACGGGACTCATGTTTCCGGAACCATTGGCTCCGCCCTTTACGGCGTTGCAAAGCAAACGAAGTTGTACGCTGTCAAGGTCTTGAACGCAGGCGGATCTGGTACTACGTGAGTGGTTTTCACGATACGCGTCTTTCCCAACATTACATACATGTTTTCATGTGATGCTGGGGCCAATCCACTAATAATCCGCACCTCCTAGATCTGGTGTGATCGCCGGGATTGATTTCGTTAACAGCGATTCCCAAACCCGCGACTGCGCCAACGGCACCGTTGCCAACATGTCTCTCGGCGGTGGTCGTTCAACTTCCATCAACAGCGCCGCAGCAGCGGTTGTGAATGCCGGTGTCTTCCTTGCTGTTGCCGCTGGAAACAGCAACGCCGATGCGCAGAACTACTCGCCCGCCTCAGAGCCGTCAGTGACCACTGTCGGGTCGACAACCTCGGCGGATGCCAGATCCAGTTTCTCAAATTACGGTTCTGTTGTCGACATCTTCGCTCCAGGAACGGATATCCTGAGCACTTGGATCGGCGGAACGGAGGCTACTGTGAGTGACCTCCCAGGAATTACCATTCTCTTTTTCTTGTCAAGGATTGAGACTGACGACGGGCATAGAACATTATTTCTGGGACTTCCATGGCAACGCCTCACATTACCGGGCTTGGAGCTTACCTCTTGACTCTCTTTGGCCAGAAGAGCCCCTCGGAGCTGCGTGATTTTATCCAAAGTCTGGCGGCCAAGGATGTTATATCGGGTATTCCAAGCGGAACTGTCAATTTGCTGGCCTTTAACGGCCGCCCGTCTGAATAGGTAGATCTGGGGTTGTGAGAAGCAGAATCCGATCGGCCAATCTTCTGCACTTAGACAGGCATCTTGTCATTGTTCTACCTGTATTTCCCACCATGTCATTTCGGCGTTGTTAATAGCAAACCTCCCCATGACCCCTACACATAACGTGAAGCTAGTCCTCGAAAGTGATATCAGTATACGGGCAGTCAGTTATTCGCAGACTCGACTCTGAACTCGGAGATCTATCTGGTGAGGAAGGAGCGACCGCAACGGCCTCCGGAGGAAGGAAAGACCCAACACCCTTCACGCGAGGAAGGAACCACCTGGCCCACGCCGCCACACCGAGCAAACCATTGAGCACGTGATAAATTCCAGTGCCATCAAGGGATCCGCAAGGCTGGGTAGGCTGGTTAAGCTCACTTCCCCTGGCAGCTGGTTAAAAGCGCTCGAGGTGTTCCCGGTTCGACCCCAGGTTGGGCCGTCGATGTCATCGAGCTTTTCATGGAAAGCTTGGCACCGCGGGTTCCGACTTTTTTTTCCCTACTCTTCTTTTGTTTTTGATTTTTTTTCTCCTATTTTCCATTTTTTTTTATTTATTTTCTATCTTTCATTTCGGTCGTTTATTTCCCCATCGTTGCTACCTGTGCAGGTGCTTTTGTATAAATGGGGGCTTGAAACCGTCGCTTGACATGGCGAGATCGATGGCATTTTGGGATTGTCTCTTTCAGGGGATTCGCTTCAAACGTGCTGGCTTCCATTACCTTTAGTCGGGTCCCTCGCAGGCCACACACGCCTGGTGGGCTAATCTTCGCTATCATGAGCAACGGGGGAACAAGCACCTCGAGCCATACTCGTCCCCTATTTACGATCCGGGGGAAGAGCGAAAGTGTCTCACCCGGTGCGGGCTCTACAGGGTATGGGTGATAGTGCAGGCAGTGCTGTCGGCGATATCAAAGTACCGGAAATGCCATTGTTAGGTCATAGTCATTTGGGTTCGTCGATTCGGTGGCCGGAAGGGTTGGTTCGTGGAGGCACTGAGCCGGTATCAGGGCAGAGAACGAAGCAGATATTGTACCCCATCGCCATGTGTTGCGAATCTTATCCTTCGTCGTCTCGCCGAGTGATCGGAGTGAAAAGCGGAATCAACTATACGCGGAAATTGTCAGAAGACGAATACATTGCGAGCCGGCAGACAGAAGAAAGGTGTCGTCGAGTATTCTCGGATCATAATAAAGGGCGAAACCAATGCCCATAATTCTCAGCAGCGAAATCAGTTCGGCGAGTGAAATTTGAGATAATCATCGGAGTGGCAAAGCAAACAACATTTGAAGACGAAAACACACCAAACTTACCTTAGTGATATAGAAGATATGAAGCTCTTCAAGAGAGCGCCCCGATCAGATTTGTTCTGAAAGGGAGCATGATCCAGGCGACCCAAGGACAGAGATGCGATGGCTCTTTTATATCGATGGACGAAAACTGCAAGCACAAGCAAGGAAACGGATTCAACCGGTTTCCTGTCTTGGATAACTTAACGAGATACTTTCGTGTTCACTCAGAATCTCTTGGCGTTGAGGTCACGGAAGTACGTACTTGCGTGTTTGCCGGATTGAGTCACTCGCCGATGCATCCCTGGTGGACACGGGTGATTTTGTGGAACTTTTGGAGATGGTGCTCCATTCCCCGTCTTGAGAGGTTCTGGGTGATCGATTCGTGTTTGATGATCTATGAAGCACACTTCATCCAATAGGAGCCCGAGATATTCTATTCCAACTTGGTTTTTAGAACATTTGGTCGTTTCTTCTTGCTGAGGTTTGCCCCTGCTAGAGATGCGCCGTCCACACACGAAGGCAGCCTCTTGAGACGGTTGCCAACGCAACAGGCTTAGTGATTTGAACAAGTCTGCAGGGTCGTCCCCTAAAAGCAGTCAAGTAAGTCCGAAGTCGAAGGCTGCAAGTTTCGAAGAGTGTGGATGAACCAGCGTTGCAGATTAAATGACATGGGGACAGACGGCTTTTGCTTCAGGGTCGACCCGTTGCTCCACAAATCTGGCAGTGGACCATGTTGATGGCTGGAGACGGTTTAGCTGAAGATGATCTCTATGCCCAACGTCAGCTTCCTCCATCTAGCATGGAATGCGTGAAGACCGGAAAGCAGTGAAGTAACCGGCGTAATTTTCCGCCGAGTCCCAGCGACAAGAGCTAGCAAGAGCCAACCTCTCCCTTACTGAAACGCAGGATTCCCTGATTATTTCTTTTTTCCTCTCTTTTTTTGTGACGATAAATTTCCGGACAAAGAACATTCTCCACCCATGCGCCAAACCCTGGTTGACCCTCGTCAAGGCGCCCACCATGATGGAAAGCTCGGTGGAGAACCACGGATCAAAATATCTGAGAGAATAAGGATATATCACCCTTGGCTATTTCCTCGGCACTACTAAGGCCCATTCTCGGGTTCGCTGCTCGCAGCGGCCCACTCAATGGGTTTCCCGACGACAAACATCGGGCCGCTCACAGAAGTGTTCACGCCACCCAGCGACTGCAGCCAACTCCGCATCAACATCCGAACCAACAACGATGGCTACTTTGCCGACTCGGGTCGAAGATGCAAGGCACTCGGACTAGAAGGAGAGACGCTCGTTTTTTATGCAGCAGAATCCTGCTATCCAGGAAATTATGGTTCGTATATCAATAGCGGCGACGGCGCTTTTGTTTCTACCCTAGCCGTGTTCTCGCCGAGCTCTGTATGTCCCTTGGGGTATGAGCCCGCGTGCACGATTGAACGGCACGAAGGGGATCCTCCACCGAAATCACGTTTCCTGACGACGGCTGAGTGGGCGGTATGGAAACGCTGAAATATGACCAGACGGCCATCGGCTGTTGCCCGAGGTACACAGAACTCGCCAAAACCGCCGATCCGCTCTCGAGCAAGGAGGCCCTGTTGCTGGGAGACATGGCTGATATAGCGATTTATATTTTAGTGGTTACACCTGCGCCGACGACGATACACTCCGATGCACCTCTGACGCTACAGTAGGAAACGTGATTGTAGGTAAATCGTACATCTTCCGCTGCCTCGCCACTCCGACGGCGATCACGGTTGAAAATGCACAGACTCAAGCTATCGCATCTGCGCACAGGCTGTTCTTGATCCAGGGAACTGGCCGCCCGGTGCCAGGACCCCAACTCCCTCGCCTTCTCCCGATTCCGATGGAATGTCCTACACAGCGAAACGGCAACTTGCGTTATTTTAGTTACATTCTGTGCTGCTTGCTGCGTAAGGAGGAGAAAGAAACGATCCCCGACCCGGACACTAGGTCCTCTACCCGCCGGCGATGCGGGTGGAGGCGCTAGGAGGGTTGATCCTGCATCTGAGAGCCTCGTGGCCGACCAGGCAGGATTTGATATCCAGGGAGAAGCTCCACCATCATATGAAGAAGCGATCCAGCTTAACACTCGCTCGAAAATACTGGGACGGGCAGAGCCGGCCGGCAGTAGCTCAATGACCCCAGGGCGTTCTACAAACTAAGGACTAGAAGTATTCTGCGAGGGACGCGGCGCGGGTCTGGGGCACACTATCTTGTCCCCGTACGTGTCGTTTTATTTTACTATGTTTCCAATACCCTTACACTTTGACCCATGATCTCTGCACGAAGATTCATCCTACACTTCGTTTCCGCTGACAGGCTAAGACTCGGCTGCCGTCCAATCCCTTTGTTCGCCCGAAGCGGCCGAGAGACTGAGAGACCGCAATACTCGAAGTGGTACGATTAGACACCTATAAACATTCGTTTATCTCCCGGGTTAGGTCTCCTTCCCATGGGAATCCTATATGATATATTTCAAACATACTCCTTGGTCAACAATCCGTCAACAATCCTTCCCCGGTTACCTTAGCATGGCTCTCTCTGGTATACCTTCTATCCCGTAACTCGATCCTTCTCCGTGTCCACTTCCGTCTTCACCTTGCCGTAGACGTTGAGAAGCGCAGTAGCGTGATACTCCCAATACCCCACGCGCAATGTGACGTGGTGTATTGGGAGTATTCCAAAGGTGAGGAGCAGGGACTACTCAGTTGGAATTTTTGTCGTTCGACTCAACGGTAATTATTAGGTCTTTCATACCAACCTCGTGACGGAGGGTGACACAGTACTCGGGGAAATCCTAATTCGCGGCGACGTGCAGAATTAAAAATAGCAAAGGGAGAGAGCCTCCCTCATGTACTTTAGACGGTTGGCGAGAGCAATAGCAAGATCGGGCGATCCTTTGGAAGGAGTTCCTAGGATAATCGCACCTTAGTCCTGTTTCCTTGGGTGTGTATCGTCGGAATTACAAGTCATTACCGCGGCCAGATCCTCGTTAGGTTCGGACTCATACTGGTTCCTTATCCAGAAGATGGTTTGCCTCTTCACTCCAACAGCCGTGCTGCGACAAACTTCTCATTCAAGTCTCGACTCCGTCTCAGGGACACGAGCACGAACGTTAATTTTATCGGGGGGGAATTGCACACGGACAGTCAACCCAAACTCCTAAAATGGAGACGCAAATGGCACTTGGAGTTACCCCACAATTCTGTCTCTGGTGGGATAAACCGCTCGGCAGCAGTCAGAAGTAGGCCCTGTTCGTCAGCAGCTGGCAATATCGAAAGTTTGGCAATATTACACAACGGCAACTTGTGCTCTGCACTAGTGCCTCGGCATCCTTATACCTGTCTGAGACACTCACTGAGGACATTTAATGCACACACCCACCATTCTAATGCCTCAATGTCTTGCATTTTCCAAAAATGAGCGCACTTCACATCCGAGCTTCTGATAACCTTATCGCAGGCCGCCTAGCCCTGGTAACTGGATCAAGGTTAGTCCTGACATTTATCCAGAGAACGAGCCGTGATGGATTCTATTTGCTGACGGACAGGCAGCGGCGGTATCGGTTCTGCATGCGCAAGAGCCCTGGCTGCCGACGGTTGTGATGTTGTGCTCCATTATTCTTCTAGCCCAGTATGATGGCACCCGATCATTAGGAGCCGAACATGCGGGTTAACGCCATATTACAGGAGAAAGCGGAGTCCCTCGCCAACCAACTCCGGACCGAGTACCCCTCTCAGTTGTTCGTAACGGCAAGGGCCGATTTCTCTCGTCGCGACTCCACCAGGGCACTCGTGCCAAACATTCTACAGCGGGAAGATGTCGCCGAGAAGCACAAGACGATATCGATCCTCGTCGCGAATGCTGGCCTAGCGCGTCGTATCCGAGACATCAACGACATTGACGAAGCAGCCTGGGACGATGTGATTGAAGTGAACTCTCGGAGCCAGTTCGTGATTGTCAAAGCTTGTTTGACCGGGATGAGGGGCCAAGGATGGGGCAGAGTGATTCTGATCGGCAGCATCTCGAGCCGTGGGGGCGGCATAAACGGTTGTCATTATGCTGCATCCAAAGGCGCTCTAAGGTTTGTCCTCAATAACCTTGTCGGAATCCAATGTTCACAGGATCCTTGCTAAACGATACCGAAGCTCAATGGGCCTGAACCTAGCCACGCTGCTAGCTCCCGAAGGCATCACGGTTAACACGGTAGGGCGAACGAAGCCTCTGTCCTGAGCCATTTGACATGGAAACTGATTCGGCTTAGGTGCTACCTGCAATGATTGGAAATACCGGCATGATTCCGACACCGAAGTCGAAGTATGCGTTCGGTATCCCCCCGTGTGTAGACTTGACGCAGGCTGATCCTGGATCTAGGACGTGGTCGGGTAATAGCGAAGAGCTCGAAGATCTCAAGGCAGCGGACCTCGGACTCGCCATCGCCGCCAAGATACCTATGCATCGGTTAGGAGAACCAGAAGAGGTCTCTAATGTTGTCTCCATGTTCGTGAATAATAATTCTACTCTCCCACCCCTATAAAAAAGCCATCGAGACTGACTTGTTCCTGGCTAGGCTGGCAAAGACGGGATACATGACTGGGCAGGAGATTATATTAGCGGGAGGCTTGAAATAAGGCCAAGTCATCTTGCATCCGGTAGCTCATTCATCTGTGGTCGGTAATATGTCGGTGCAACCAAAGCAGAAGGTTTATTAGAACTGCAAGTCACAGATGAAATGAGCCGCACTCCAGGCTGGAATGGACAGGCCACCATCCCGATTCCTGTAGCTACGCCAAGCTTCATCCGCCAGGGGCGACATTGAGATGCGACAGCAGAAGGGGTGCTCCAAGTACCATTGACATTAACGCTCATAAAGATTATCTAGTATCTACCAGTTATAACCCATGTCCACCGTCTTTTTATTCATCTTATAATAATTCAGGACCGTATCCATAACGCTGTCGGCGGTATATTCAATCTCCCCCGGAACGACGGGCTCATAGGCCTGTTCCAGGTCGATTATTACGATCCCATCATCAATGAGAATGAAGTTGTCGAGTTTGATGTCATCAAGAACAACTCCGTAATGCTTCAAGGGCAAGAACGCATCCTCGATTTTCCGCCGAACTTCTTCAACTGTCAGGTTCGTAACTTGGGAAAGCCTTACGCCGTCAATAAAGGATACAAGTAAAGCTCTAGCCCGTTCGTATTTTGCTTTGCCATATAGTATTGGGATCACATCACCCTGGCGGGCTTTCATCTGCATATACATGGCTTTCTCGTTGTTGAACTCGTCCTCCCAGCCTGGTTTCATCTTCAGGATAAGGTGTTTGGGAAGGAAGAGGCCGGGAAAGTAGTGCTTGCAGAGATCCTGAAGGAATTAGGGGAGTCGTAAAATAACCGCAACGAGCATAGAGGCCAGGAAAGCAGGGCGTAACGTCAGCCGAGAACGTTTGGATGGGATCCATTATCAACCAAGGACGCATCCGCGTTCACGACATTCGGGCCAATTTGGAACTGAAGAAGTAGTCAAGTTAGCCATGGCGTCAAAAACACTGTGATAATGGCGTTATTACCTTGATTCCGTGAGGGAATTGCGATTCAATCCTGATCTCCATGCTGCCATAACTTCAAATTATTCCATGCGTATTTGGTGAAGGGAGTTGGATAAGAGAGAGAAGACGTCGACTTAATCAGAGACGAAAAGCGCGTAGACTAAAATCCATTTCCAGATTCGAAGCTGAGTTTTGGTATAACCAAGGCTGAGCAAGGGTGAGCGCCACAAAACAGGCCTACTTTTAGGAACAGCAGCATGATTCGGGGGGTTTTCAATGTTGACAATCTCCGCCGGCTAACTGTGTATGCTGCGTCGCGTGGATCTACATATCTTGATTAACGCAACGTGAAATCAACTCTGGTTGAAGGCTCGTATCACAGCGTATATACAAGCGGGGCTCTAGATTAGACGATATCCTCAAGATCACTCTCAGTCCACTCTTCCTCCTATGCTTCTTAGCATACTCCTCCCAATCCTCAAGCAACCCGGCAAACTTCTCTGGATGTCTCTCTCTCAGGTCAACCTCCTCAGCTAGGTCATTTGTCAAGCCGTACAGCTCCCATTCGCCTGTAGGGTTTGTGGGAACGTGGTGCGAGGACCAATAATATGCTTCCAGGCAAACGTGAATTTTACAACGGGCGCCCTCTTTGAGCCATTGAACGACGAGCCTATACGAATCCGTGGATCGGAAACAACCCAGCCGCAGATCCCTCCGCATTGAAGAATGGCTGCCGAGCCGTTTTCCCTCGCAGCGAATGTGTTTGCTGTTGTTGGCGCTGCCGACGTCGTCTTTCGGTCAGCAATCGAACTATCTCTCTTGCTCTCCCGGCCGAAATCATCGTAGACAACGTTGTTGAGTATAATGGACAGCTTGGAAGGTCTTCCCCTGGCTCTACAGGAGACCCGACCCTGGGCGGAATCCTTCGATCAGTCGGATTTGGTCAGGTTACGCCAAGCGAGTTGCTCCCGATATTGGACAAATGCAACGAGGCACTAAACGAGCTAATTGTCCGCACAAGGTGTTTCTTTAATGGGAAGTGGTACAATAGGATCGCTTTTACGCGGAATGAAGCGGATATTAGGCAATCTTCATAGCTTCTAGAAAGTTTCAAAGGCACATTGGTTTTGCTGGTTTGCAGCTGGACGAGCTATGTTTCAGCCCAGAGTACATGGTTGGTATATGTGATTTATTTGCTAATCATCGACGAATATTCAGCGAGGTAACCAGGACGTTTCTGACAAACTATTCACTTCAACCTCGTTTAGGGAAACGGCTAGCAGCGATATCATGGTTGAAGGACATGGCCTAGAGAACGCCATTGAACCATTGCGGCTGATGCGCTCTAAGCTTTCATCGGCACTATAAGCTGTCATAGAAGGCCATGTCCAGGACATCTCCTATACGGACATGGAACGGTTCGTCTCTGAGATGACTGGTCTGACGGAACGTGGTTATCAGGCCGCGGGTCGAGCCTTGTCGAGCGATCCCAAACCCATCTCCGCAACCTTCACGGCCCCATTTGGTGTTGTGTTTGACATTAAGCGTCAACTACGGACAGTTCCCCTTTTCTCCTCGGCCTCTTCCAAGGGACCGTATGGATTCATGGCGATTGAATATGCCGAAGGCATTGATGTGTACCGTCGAAATATTAAGCTTTCCGTTTCGCTTCTTTTGCGCAAGGCTCCCTGGGACATCCCGGAGTGGCTGGTGTTTTGGGGAACGCTGGAGCAATACGCCACTTACTGTAGTTCACAATTTTGTCGAACGAGCGGTGGTGCGAGAATTCCGCCAACATGGCGTAAAATAACGCACCGAACAGAAAAAAAATCAACAGGGTTTACCACCCAGCCAAGTTTAGTGAATGCAGGACACAACTCGATGGATTTCTCGCCTTTGGACTCTGGCGCTCTCGGCGAAATATCAAAACGTGCGTCCGATGGTCCCCTCAGGCCACCCGAAATTACTAAGGAAATGGCATGTTTGGCGGGCTGTCCCCTGAAAGGATCTCGGAACCGTTCATCACATGGATCCTTGCATTGGCCGACGCAATATATGATCCAGGGTCCCATTGGAACCCGATGATCTTCGGCAAACAACGACTCGACACCTCTGTCCGGCCTCTGGGATACGAATCAGAGCCCGCCCGATACAATTGCAGGTGTAGGGTGAGGCTAGAGAGAGATCTTTGATCTTTGGCTTCTCGGCTGGCACGAAGAGCACTCCAACACAATACAAGACCGATTGGTTGCCCTCCTTCGCGTAGTCATGTACCTAATATCGACGGTTCTAACTATCGACGGTTCTAACTATCGACGGTTCTAACGTTACTGATTTGGCTCGATGAATACGGACAATTATGGAATGTTCTTTCTAACTTCTAATGCCTTGAGTGTCGTAGGTCCGTATATTAGGAGGGCGATTGCTCTGCCATCCGAATATTTGGCCCGGTTGGGGATGGCTGATATATGAAGCCGCATGAGGGCCATGGGGATTGGTGTTGGCCTGACCCCGGGGTCTCTGACGTTGCTCGCCTCTGCGAATTAGCCATTGAAATCATGAAGAGAATCCATGGTCATCTTGACATGTTCCTGCGGGAGAACAGTTTTCGAGGCATTTTTCTGCGTTGCTTCAGCTTTCGCTCGCGTAAGAGCCTCTTCAAGCAGAACATTCCTGTTTAGGCTCTTCCCAAGCCCCAAATCTTCAAGTGGCGTTCTGTAATCGAATCAATCACTGTATTTGCCGGCCCACGATGGCAGTTCCCTGGGAGGACAGCTCTGAGAGAAGAGGCGTGTCAAGCTTGATACACATGCGAGATAGGTAGGCTCTAATAAAGCCCAGCGAGCCAAGTGTGCCAGTTGGACATAAGCTTTTCTGATTCATTATTAAAATCAATGGATTCCTGGATTCAACATGGAAACGGTCGGACCAGAATATGCCATGGCGTCGATTTGTGTCGGGTTCCCTTCTCAGTTCGTACAAAAGCGTCGCCTTGCGCCATCCTTCATGAAAATCACGTGATCTTCTACTTACGACAAGGAAAGCAGGGAGGCGGCTGTTCCGTTTTCTTCAATACATTGATGGATGGCCCTCGACGAAGGTTGTAAGAGAGTATCGCTCACTAGTGCTCTTCCCCCTGAGCTTTCTCTAGTCTATGTTGATCTTTGTCACTCTTGATTTGAGCGGGAGGTGTGAGTGAGTGATTCAAGGCTCATAACAGCCGAAGCGAAATCGGACCCCGCAGATGCCGAACCAACTCCACTTCTTTCATGCATCGAACTAGAAAATAGATCTCGTTTCGGTCGGCATTTTTTGAACATTCTGGGAGAGATAGAGCACCTTTACATATCTCTTTCTTTCCCCCAGAGAGCCACCCTTCTTCCAGCCGCCTTTCTTTGTTCCCGACGCAATGAAGCTGCTGTATCCCACATCGCTCGAGCTCGATGCCTCGCAACTCGAAGGTTTCTCTGTCGAGCTCCACCCCTACGATGTCCACCAGCCAATTCCCGAGGCGCACACCGATACCGATGTCCTCGTCACCTGGGCCAACAGCGCCGAAAACCTCAAGGACGCGGCCCAGCGCCTCAAGAACCTCCGCTGGATTCAATCTCTCGCTGCTGGACCCAACGATGTCTTAAACGCCGGGTTCGACACCTCCAAGATCGCCGTCACCACGGGCTCCGGCCTGCACGACTTCACCGTCGCCGAACATACGCTCGGCCTCCTCCTCGTAGCTGCTCGTCGCTTCTACGAGATGCGAGACTACCAGCTCCAGTCCAAGTGGCCCGGCCACCTCGGCGGACCCCAGCCGGACCGTCCAGCTGGTGCTTTCAGGACGCTGCGCGATGCCCACGTTCTCATTTGGGGCTTCGGAAACATCGCAAAGATGCTCACCCCGCACTTGACTACTCTCGGCGCCAAAGTCACTGGAGTCGCCCGTCACGCCGGCGTGCGCGATGGTATTGAGGTCTTCGCGGACGAGAGCCTACCCGAGCTCTTGCCTCAGACCGATGCGCTTGTGATGATTCTCCCGGGTTCGGAGTCGACGCGCCACGCTCTCAATGCCGAGCGTCTAAAGC